GAAATCAAAGCTTTTCGCTTGTCATTTTAATGGGAATAAAATGTAAAGTTTTATTCAACTTTCTGTTGGAAGGCCAGGTTTTTTAATTCAGGTTTCACAAGTTTCATACTTTCAGATTGGCAAAGACCAGGACATCTAAGGGTGTCAGAAAATCTAATTCAAAAGGATGTGGTGTCTGAACAGTGGGGGCATATGTGCCACTGGTAAATCACATAGGGAAATGTCTTGGTCTTCAGGGAACGCTTTTGGCAAATTTGTGGCACATGGAGAAATGTTGCCTCTTAGGCAGGACAAGAAGCCTTTGGGAAATTGTTTGAACTCATTACAGTACCTCACCATTCTTCCTCATTGTAGCTGTACTAATCCCACTGGAAAGCCATTCTGTCAAGCAGCCACTGCTGTGGTCTGGAGGGTATATTCTCAGGATGCAGAGGAGAAAAATTGTTTAGTTGGGTTTCTTCATTGTCTTTTTGGTATTCACAGTTCAAGGAAAAGTACATTATTTATGATTATTTTTGTGGCTTTCATGGTGTGGGTTGAGGTTGATTTATGAGCCTCCAATTTAAATTTTAGCATAGCCAAAAATTGCTAAAGTTGCTGTATCATTACTGGTTTAGTAATAATGGAAACAGCTCTTAGTACTAAGAGTGTAAAAACTGATTTTAAAGGTACTGGAAGGACTACAGATCCTTTCTAGTTTCATTCATGTTTGTACTAAATTTGAAACCTCCATTGCAAACTTACTGCAAAGTTGTGATTAGGGTTTGTTTTCCATGGCTAAAGATGAACTCCACATTTATCTAAAAGATCTTTGATATTGCAATGCCACAGTTGTGTATTTATCTAAATTACTTGGTATGGCAAATTACAGGTAAAGCTTTACCGTGCTAACAAAGGTAGGACAGGCAACTTCAGTAGGTTTATTAAATTCAGTGCTTGTCAAATCAAGGGCATGCACAATAGAAGGAATTACCTGAGTTAGCTCTGTATATTGTTAGGGGATTAATTAATGTTAGGGCACCTGACAGCTTTTGCTTTTCTTATTTTAAGTGCAGTTAAACATTCATTCTTTTTCTGTGGGAAGTCTTGATAGAATATGTTGGGATGTCTGAAGAATAGACATGCATCTGTAAATAGTTAGTGTTTCAACTAAATATAAGCCAAGAATGAAATATCCTTTAATATCAGGTTATTACTCAGGCAGCATGCAGAGTTTTGACTGAGAAAGAATTGTGGAATTTAAACAGTTTTGATGGTTCATGTAAATAACTTCAGGTTTCTCAGCCTTCTGAATGCATTAACAGAATTTTCATGTGGAATATTACTTTAATATATATGTTTTAGTAAAATTTAACATTGTTGTAACTTGAGCAAGTGTCATCCCAGAAGAGTGAGAAGGATGTGATTTCTTCGCCATTGAGAAAATAAAGTTCAGTTAAACATATTTTTCTGTTTTGAGGTATTAAATCCCCTTCAAATATCATATTTTATTTTAATGGGCAAATGTTATAGCTGTTTATTTGGATCTTAAACTATTTTGCTAGGTATTAAGTTCTGGCAATGAGAAGATCTACATGTACCTAATGTTATTTATTATGCACAACTCTGATTTCAAGGAGTCTCTGCAGACCAGAAGTTTCTGCTGCTGTTCATATATTGTTCTCTTACCTCTCTTTGTGGTACTAGATATTGTTTTCTTGAATTTATCATAATTTTGTCAGCTTCCTAATTAATGTTTTGTTATTTACACTTTCTTCCCCATCATTTCTGATACAAATTGTATCTAATTTCTAACACCTACACTAAGATCTCAAATGGCAGCAGTAATTTTAAAATAAATTAAATGATTAATGACTCTCAATGTGGAAGCCAAACCCTTGACTTAGGTGTGGCTGCAGCAGAAGCATCTTCTTTGCATGGAATGTTCCAACTCGACTGGGGTTTGGGATGTTTGTGTGTTTTCATGGCAAGGCCCCAGCCCACTGAAAAATCTGCCATAAGATGACTCACAATATTATGACAGAAGGTAGAGTCATTGTATGTTACTTAAAGGGCATTTAGTTTAATTTGTTCTTGATTATGCATAAAACTACTTAATAATGCTATGCAAGTTAATATAAAATATATTTATAATACATCATGAATAACTTCTACAAAACTCATATATTTGCTCTATAGCCTTAAAAATGCATGGACAATGCTTTTAAATCTACTTCAACGACAACAATTAAATATTTATTAGAGGATACTCATCACAACTGTGATTTCAACAGTTATTTTGAGTTTAGTGGACAGGTATATCTGCAAGCTTATAGCATGTAAAAATGGCATTTATTTCTATTTAGAATTGCAAAAATCCCCACTATTAAACAAAAGGAACAATATGGTAATCAGTGATTTCCTGAGCCATGTTTTTTTGGATGCATTTTGCTCAGGCAAAAAAAAAAGTCCTTTACTGAGCTCTGGTAGGTAAACTCCTTTCCCTGTGGATTTGTAATATATTCCTCTAGTACTTGTGAAGAGGAAAGGGTGATCTGCAGAGGGGGAGGCCCCAAGCCCTAGGCAGCATGATCTTGCTGTGCTTTGTGCCAGGTGCTTTTGCATTCAGGTGATAATACTTGTCTTTTCCCTTTTGTAAGCCATCAGTGGACTTGTTCTTAGTCAGCTGTGGAGCCTTATGTCTGCTTTAAAGAGCCAAATACATGCGCCATTAAGACAGGCATGAATGCCATCTTCTGTAGTATTTTCTTGTACATCAAGACTTTAGAAAAATATAGACCAGTTAATCTAGTTCTGTATACTATGTGCTAAATGTATAATTAACTGGAAATGACAGTATTCATTGCAATTTTTCCTTGTTCTTAAAGGGAAACTATTATAATCCAATGCTGGTAGGAGTTGCAGGGATGGGAAAATATGTTTAAAAGGCGTGGAGACATCTCTACATCTCTACAGAGCAGGCTCTTCTTCAACTGGGTGATGAAGCTGCAGAACTGATATAAAATGATTTATTATGAAAGAGCAGTTGTTTTTATTGATTTCGTTACCTGTGTCGCTGTGAGAATGTTACCTCTTCTTCAACTAAATGGAAGCTTTATTCTAAGGAGATTATTGTGTCAGTGTCTCTGCAGCTTGCAGCTTGTTTTCTGGGAATAGTCAAGGCTTTTACAACATGTCCTTTCGTGTTCTGAAAGTTGGCAATTGAGCAGGCAGTGCAAGTGATTATTCTTGGGACATTTTTATCAAATGTGAAACAAATGTAAAGAAGGCGGGAGGAAAATAATAACCTAAGCAACAGTGTTACAATTACAAAAACCTGATTCTCTTGTCAGAACTGCTGTTAAAGCAATCTTTATTACTCATACTATCTCCATTATTGTGGCTGAAACAGGAGATGGAGGTGCTCAGTTTTCTTTTCTAATACTGTCTTTTATTTTTCGTGGATTTTCTGTGCTGCTGAGAGCAACAGCTGATATTGGTTTCATTGCATTGTTTTCATTGCACTGAAATTTGGAGAAGAACAGTGTGAGCTTGATCATGCTCCCACTAAGCATATTGGAAGTGGAAAGTCCCGCTGCCTTAGGAGGATTATATTGCACTGCTTACATTTTGTTATTATTAAATGTTCTTTCAAGGCATAATGGGTGCAGTGTTATTATCTGTCTTGTAGACTTGTCTTCAAAAGAACACAAGGAACACAGTGATGCTAAATGGCTGAAAAGAAATAGATTTTTATTTACAGTGCCCTTGTAGTTAGTTCAAAGACAAAATTGTACTGAGTTTCCTGAAGTTAATACCATTTTGTTATCAAGGGAATTTAGGGTGCTGCCAAATGAAATGTTAGTTTTGAACAATTGTATTTAACAGTTTTATTTCTATCTATTGCAATTATTTAAAACTTCTACTTGATAAAACTAAGAAAATAGTTTCTCTAGAAGCAAAAATGAGAAAATTGAAAAACTGAATTGTTCGCTGAAAGTTGTATGCCATTTTTTTTTTTGTTTTAGGTTTTTTTTTTTTTCATGGTGAGTCTGGTTTTCAGTAGTGTAGGATTTCAGTAGCAAAGGTTTCAGACCCTTGTGGCTCTAGTTGACTTTAATGAGATGAGCTTTCAAATATGCTCAGCTTGTTTGAAAATCCCTTATTTCTTTTGTTGGATAGCTGTGAGAATTCCAAGTGCTGAAAGAGGCAAAGAGTAACACACTGAGAATCACAAGATCTAAAACGCAACTCCTACATAGCAAACATCAATGACAATATTAGTTTTGAAGTTTTGCATTAATTTAAAACATTAAAGTAGTGATGCTGGTAAGGATTATAATTATGAGCCTTAGAAATATTTACAGGCGAGATTGGGTTAAGACAGTTATTCCATTAAAGCAAGCATATTGTGGCTGGAAATGGAATCTAGCAGGATGAGGTGTGGAGGTTTAAGTGCATGGGACTGAGAGTTACCTATAAGAGATTTGGCACCAATGTATATCTGAAAGCAGGGCTTAAATGTGTTTGAAGACCTCTTTAAAGCTCATCAGAAAAGATTAAAGTGATGTTTTTGTGACTAAACTTTGTTACTGTGTGGCTTCTGACACATGCTGAAGAATTTGATACAGCATGACTGAAAACTTGTGAAAGCAGTAGAAAGTAACTCCCTTCTGTAAAAGAGAAAAATGAATTTAATCTCCTCAAGGGCAGTGGAAAGGACAAGGTGTTGAAATACAATGTCAGTGCTCATGAATAAGTATGCATAAGAAAATAGAGGTGTATACAAGGGATGGCTGGAAACCAGCTTGTACATCAAGAGCAGAATGTTGTAGTTTTCTGCTGCTTGTGTTTCTCAGTTAGCAGTGGTCTCAGCTTATTCAACTGATTTTAATGAAATTCTTTTATAATGAACACTCTGCTGCTGTGTCTGTCCATGCTCATGGTTTGATTTACCAGTACAGGAGTAATTTAAAACAGGTAAAGAGTTGTAATCAAGTGTTGCTGTTTTTATTTGACAGGCCGGACCTGATAGACATGAATACCGTTGCTGTTCAAAGCAACCTCGCAAATTTAGAACATGCTTTTTTTGTAGCAGAAAAACTTGGTGTTGCCAGACTCCTGGATCCTGAAGGTAAGAGATTTACAGATGGCTTTGTTGCAAAACCCCCAACACTAAAATAAAATCCAATCTGCCTGCAGGTTGTAGCTGTGGGCATTCTTACAACTATGTGATAAACCACTGTTCTGTCTTGCTCTTTTAGATGTCGATGTTTCCTCACCTGATGAGAAGTCAGTAATAACTTATGTGTCATCACTTTATGATGCATTTCCAAAAGTACCAGAAGGTGGTGAAGGCATCAGTGCAAATGTAAGGAAAACAACACTTGTGTAGTGTGTGAGCTACATTAATAAAATTCTGAATTTCAGATCCAGAATGTTAGCTAGATCTTCCATAGGACTGATTCACACTTTTCTTTGACATCGTTTTTCTAGGCTGACATTTTAGAGTCTTAGCTGTTTCATGTCATGGGCATGAAAATATTTGTGCAAAGAGCTTAACTGAAAACGATATGCCTGATTTGGAGAAAGATTGAGTCAAAGTTCTAACTTTTCACTTGTGAGTTTATAAATATGCCTTTCTGATTCTTACCAGCTTGAAATGTATTAATCTAGAAAATATTTTGTTTTCAGTAGAATTATTTGAGATCAAAACTGAAGACAGTAATCAGCTATTCGAAAACTTTAACTGATCTTTAAAGAGAAAATAAATATTGTCTCAGAATTTCAAAATCTATTTTCTATATATGTGAAGTCTTCAAAGCTGAAGCAGAAATGAGTTCTTGATGATTTTCACCTCTTCTGTAATCTGGGTTTTGCTTTGGCAGGATGTGGAAGTCAAATGGGTTGAATATCAGAATATGGTGAACTACCTCATGCAGTGGATCAGACACCATGTCGCGATAATGTCTGACAGAACATTTCCCAATAATCCTGTGGAGTTGAAGGTGAGGTGTGGTGGCTTGGACAGCTTGTTGGAATTACAATTTATCTTACTGACTCAAAGCATACTTGAACAAATGACGTGCTTGTTGATTTATAAAATCACGTCAACTGTAGAACAGTACTACTCCTTAACCTTTTCAAAATATAATCAATACTTTGCTAGCATATGAATTATCAAAAGTAAATCTTTACCTTGTCACTGATTGTTTTTTTGTAGAACTCTAGTTTTAAAAGTATAATTATAAGCTTGTAAAGAATATTAGAAGAAGGTTTGGAGACTAAAGTTATATACACTGTAAATAAAACTTGATGTTATTTTTCATGTTTCTGTAGGCACTTTACAATCAATATTTGCAGTTTAAAGAAACAGAAATTCCACCGAAGGAGACAGATAAATCAAAAATCAAACATCTATATAAACTACTAGAGGTAGGTTTTAACATCATTGAAATATATAGAAGTTTATTTTCTGTCATGTAAAATAACAAGTGCATATGAATTTTTAAGGTCTGGATAGAATTTGGACGCATCAAACTTTCTCAAGGCTACCATCCAAATGATATAGAAAAAGAATGGGGAAAGCTGATTATTGCCATGCTGGAAAGAGAGAAGACTCTTCGGCCTGAAGTGGAGAGGTATGCTAATGAATATTTGACAGGCTTTGTTAATATGTTTCCTGTTGTTTTAATCCATATTGAAATTTGTAAATATCTTCTATGATGATGTCTTCTGTGATGATGATATTATTTTTCTAGATCAAGCATTTCTGCCTTTGTTCAAGGTCTGAAATTCTCTACCTGCCAAGAGGCAGGTCCAGACATAAGCAACTTTGGTGTGCTCAGAAGGTTGTGATGAACTACATCTGTTTCTCAGATCATCAAAGCACTTAGGCACATATATGGCACTTTCTTTGTGCACTTAGTCAAAGTTGGCTTTGTACTGCTTCACTGTCTCATTCCATCTTGATTTCATATAAGGACCATCCTCATCCTTTACATGAAATGTGTATTTTTCTTGGTGCACAGCATTGTAGAGGTTTAAAAAGGTAGTGGTACTAGGGAGCAAACCAAGCATTTAGATGTGGACGGCGTAGTAGCCTTCCATGATAGTAGGCTGTGGAACACTTTTTACATCACTGATGACATATTAAGCACAATTAAAGTCTTGATGCAGTCTGAGAGCATTTTTTAATGGTATGTCTTTTTAAGTTCTGTGGGAGACACATTTATTAATTTAAAAATCCTCTTAAATGATTTTTGAGGCTTCTACCTGTGGGTAGATATAGACGCCTGGATCTGGATTCATTCTGCTTGACTTTATGCATCAAAAGAGACATCCAAGATCTGAATCACTTCCTAGAGAATCTTGTAGCTGACTTTCTGGTGACAACAGGGTGACCTCTCTCTCTGGTTTAGGTGCATGAAACTAAGTGTGAGGAATCCAGACCATTGTATAGAAGTCCTTAGCAAGAGAGATTTCAGTCAGAGGACAGTCAGAACTGACCTAACGTGTGTCAGGTTTACAAGGGCAAGAGCATGACTGAAGTGGCAGATTCAGTAGGAGGTGTTGATTCACAGCACCGAAGTGTGGACCAAGTTCCTATAGAGGAATACAAAGCTGTCCACACTGAGTTTTCCCTCTTATGCAGAGCAGAACACTGGAAAGCAGCAGCAGAAATACAGCCTGCTAGATCTTGTAGGTTAATCTGTCCTAACCTGCTGAAAGTAAAGTGTCTGGCTTCACCAATAGAAATTCTGTTCATACTTGTAGAAAGCAGGATTATCTTTGTTGAGAATGTGTGTAAATGACATTAGTTTATTTCTATTTTTTATATGGTCTGAGCACAGATAAACAAATATGAACCTAACTTCCTTCCCATATTTCAGGACGGGTAAACACACTTAATGACAGGTCATATGGTGATAGTCACTACATGTGATGATGACTGTAAAATGAGAGAGAAAGTGTCAGAAAGTGCTTCTGGTTTAGTCACAAAGTTAAAAGTATTGATTGATGTGGACAAAATAACATAATGCGTGTTTGCTGCACTGGTTGCCAGTGCATCTCATCATTATGAGGTACTGATACAGCTGCTGGGGTGAAATTTGATTGTGGCAAAAGTGTGACTAGCCAATACTGAAACCTAATGAGTAGTAAAACTTTGCTTGCATGTCTGTCAAATACATGTCAAAGTATCAACACAAACAGACAATGTGTGGCCAGATTGGTATATGGGATCAAAATTAACATGGTGTCAATGAGGAGAGTGCCAAACTGAGCTCTAGTTTGCAAAACTAGCGGAGTTTGGCATTGCTGCAGGGGTGTGTCTGTGCCTTTGCTGAGCTCTGCTGAGTAGTCGCCTTATGGGATGGGTGTGGTTGTTCAGGAATTCTAAAAGCAGAAAGTGAAATACTGAAAAAATCACCCCATCCCAAAATCTGAGTTAAAAAGTAAACTTGAAAGCAGTGATCATATTTTTCTAACTTATTTTCTGGTTAAAACAGCTGGAAGAATTTGGCTGTGAATGTGGAAGAAGATGAAGGGAAATTTTCAGGGGGACAGTGTAGTGGGACAGGGCAGTTAGTGAAGATACATGCTTGGACAGTGCGGGAATGACAGTAGGTTGGATGGTGTATAGGTGTCTCAGATGATATTGTAATGAGTTGATTGACCCTGGTACTCCCCCAGCTTGATTGTGCAGTCCTATTTGAATGAAAGGAGTCAGCCCAGCCTGGAAGTTATTTATACTCCACTGTTGAGTGTGGATTTCTCCCTTCTCTCCTTTTTGAAACTTTCCATTGAAGAGTCTGAGAGACACCGCAAAGAGTTCTTTTAGTTTGTACTTGGTTTATAGCTATTTAGTGACACTTAAATAAAATATTTGGTGTGTCTGTTTCCTAGAGACGCCCCATTGTTGCTGCCTAGTCTGTACTTGCAAAACTTTAATGCAAGGTAGGGAAGCCAAAAGCAAGGTAGCGTACATAGCCCCAGGTAAAATCCTTTGAAGAGCTGGCAGAATATTAATTGCTGGGTTTTAAATGTGCATACTGAAGCCTATATAAAGGAGGAGTCTAGGTGTTTCAAAAGCCAGTAGTGGAATTTCATCCCTAGAAGCTGTACATTTTGCAGGAGTTTTATTTTCATTTTTCAGCAAATGCAAACAGCCAGAAGATCTGTGCTCTGGATGTAAAGATGAATAGCAGTAGTTACAGCTATCATAGTAGTGATTCGCTGTTTAGCAACAGCACTAGTACTCGAACCAGCGTTGACTCTAATGAGAATTTCCTTTCTGTTAATTGTGGTCCCACGCTGATTAAATCTTGTATAAGCTTTGGTAATGGAACCTTAGAAGGGAACAGGTAACTGACATATGCATTTGTGCTTTGTGGTAGATGCTGTTGATTCATTTGTTTGTTTTTAAAGTCATGCAACATGATTGTAAATAGAAATAGTAATAGTAATTATTTATTTTCCTGAAATGCTTTGACATCATCTAGATTGGAAATGCTGCAGCAAATTGCGAACAGAATTCAGCGGGACAGCCGGAGCTGTGAAGACAAACTGATACTTGCCCGGAATGCTCTGCAGTCTGTAAGTCAGACGGTGATTTTACTTGTCTGTATTCATAAATTTATAGAAGTTGAATGGCAAAAATTTCTTAAGGGCTTATGAGGGCAACCCTAATAGCTGCTACATTTATTTTCTTTGTACTGTTAAGGTAGCATGTCTTCAAAAAATTCCACAAATTGCCTAGAGTATGTTCTCTTACATTTTTGTTCTGTAGTCAATTAAATGCTTCACAATTGTTTCAAGATAAGAATAAGTTTTTGGGTTTAAAAAAAAAAAAAAAAGGAAGTCTTAGAGCTGATATCTCTTTGAGTTTAGCTGCAAGGCTTATGACTTTCTCTTCTCTATTAAGGACACCAAGCGATTGGAGTCAGGGCTCCAGTTCCAACATGAAGCAGAGATAGCTGGGTATCTTCTTGAATCTGAGAATCTTCTCCGCCAGCAAGTGATTGATGCCCAAATTCTTATTGATGGAAAATACTATCAAGCAGATCAGCTTGTTCAAAGGTACTTTACAGTATATTTATATGAATAAATAAATGTCCCAAATATGGATTCCCATTATGGCAAAAACTTTCAGTTCTTTATAACTATGCATAAACTTCATGGTCTGTCACTGGGCACCCAAATATCAGATATTCTGGTGGGTGCATTGCCCACAAATGTTGAAGACAACAGGAGCTATTTGTACTTATAAAAATGAAGTCAACCCCTGGACATGACTTAATGTTTAGTGTTTACTAAATATCTGTGTGTAAAGATGTTAGCTTGTTTTATTGCACATAAAACACATTTAGAATTTACTAACCTTGATTTTTTAAATAGAGGTGAGATTTCTGGTGACAGCTGTAGATGTATTAATGGGTAATAAGTGGGGTAACACTAGGTTATGTGTGGCACTGTGTACAGAGTTGGCAGAAAGAAGCATTTAAGCTGCATAATTCTGTTTTATGGAAAGTGGCTCCAAAGTTTTTTTTGGGATTCATCCTTGGACTGATTGAGATGAAGTGCATAACTCCTTGGCAGTGAACTGCAGGTGTTTGATCTACTGCAACATGTAGTGTCTTGTAAGCTTTCTTGTTTGTTGATTGTTCCCTGAAATTGTGTATAGTACGTGTTAGTGCATATACCATTTTTTCAGTCTTTGCTTGATTTCTGCATTTATTACCTGTATAGAACTATAAGCTGATATTCCCTGTACTTTATAATAAAAATATTTGTTTATCATATTTAAGTGCAACTAGAGTGTAAGAGATAATGTGAGCTCATATCATGATTCAGTTGATTATGATAAACCTTAATCATAATAATTAAATTTTTTTCTTTTTTTTAATTCTAATTTAATAGAGTTGCAAAGCTTCGTGATGACCTGATGGCCATACGGACCGAATGTTCTTCAGTGTACAACAAGGGGCACGGGCTGACCACAGAGCAGACAAAACTGATGATATCAGGAATAACTGAAAGCTTAAACTCAGGATTTACAACAAACCTAACACCTGAATTAAATGCTGCAATGACTCAAGGTTTAACACCTACTTTGACTTCTTCCAGTTTGACATCTGGCCTCTCATCAGGTCTTACATCCAGACTGACACCAACCATCACTCCCGCTTACCCATCAGGCATCCCACCGCGGTTAATTCAGAGCTATGTGACAGGAGTGGACAGTGGGACTCTGCAAACACTCAAACTGATGCAAATCAGAAAACCTCTTATGAAATCAGCTTTTGTGGATCAGAATTTGACAGAAGAAGAGGTGAACATGAAGTTTGTCCAGGACCTATTGAGCTGGGTGGAAGAAATGCAGGTAGCAATTTTTGCAGAAAGAGTCCACTTTTAATGATTTACTTTTTATAGATCATGGCTAATCTTTTCTTCCTGTTTGTAAGGTTCAACTTGATCGAGCAGAGTGGGGTTCAGATTTGCCAAGTGTTGAAAGCCATTTAGAAAATCACAAAAACGTCCACAAAGCTATTGAGGAATTTGAATCCAGCCTTAAAGAAGCCAAAATGAGTGAGGTACTGCACCATGTTCTTTATTTCTTTGATTACTTTCTTACCGAGTGATGCATAATCTAATATTTAATTTTAGAATGGTGTTTGGATTTCGCAGTTTTACCTTTATTTCTGATCTCTACATGACTTATGGTGAAATCAGAAGATCTAATGGTTCAACATATCTCACCTTTTTATTGTCTTTTGATCTCATGTACCAAATACAGATCCAAATGACTGCCCCTCTTAAACTCACTTATGCAGAAAAACTGCACAAACTGGAGAGTCTGTATTCAAAACTCTTGGTAAGTTAACCATACCTCTTTCATGTTCAGCTTTTCAGTGTGTATAATTTCTGATAAGGGATAAGCTTTAAATTCTGATTATTTTGAATCTTCTTTTCCTTTCAATAAAGAACACCTCAAGAAATCAAGAAAGGCATCTAGATACACTTCACAATTTTGTGTCTCGTGCTACTAGAGAGTTGATATGGCTGAATGAAAAGGAGGAGGAAGAGGTTGCATATGACTGGAGTGAAAGAAACCCCAATATAACAAGAAAAAAGGAATACCATGCAGTATGTATTGCTAATGTTATGTAGAAGGAGTTATTAAATGATTTTTAATAATTAGATAGAGTTCTAAAACTTTTTTTCTTTTTATCTGAAAAAAGGAATTAATGAGAGAACTTGATGAAAAAGAAGAAGTAATTAAATCAGTACAAGAAATAGCTGAGCAATTGCTTCTTGAAAACCACCCAGCCAGGCTAACCATTGAGGTAAGTTAGTAAAACCAGCGCCAAAACAGGAAAAGTTTTGGTATTTAAAAGAGCTGAGTTTTAGGGGAAAATGGGGAAAAGAAGGCAAATGTAGAGAAAATGAAACAAGACTCTAAATTAAAGGGGCCTTCTAAAATTTCCTCTTCAGCATCTCTTTGTATTTATCTTCCAGTTTCAGAAAAGTAAAACCGCTTTTATAAAGTTATGGTTAACCTTGGATTGCTTAGGTGAAATCTCCTGAAACTCTAAAATTAATTGGTCTGTAGAGATGTTTCTGGTCATGCAACTTCTGGAGCTGTTGATACAAATTGCATTGACAGACTGAGGGCACGGAACAGTCCTTATGTGGTTTCTTTCCTGTTGAATTGAAAGAAATTTTAGTAAGAGCCTTTGTCATCCCTTACTGTATGTGCAGGTTCCTTGTATGATTTAGGGTTGGTTTCATAACTTACTTGTTAGTGAATTATGCAACTTGTTTGGATTGTAAAAATCTGACCAGGTGATATGATTTACTTCAGGCTTGAATCTAGTTCTATGTTATATATGTAAACAATTTACAGAAAAAAATATTGTAGCTGTTGTAGGGTCATTTTCAAATGATTTTCAAAAGAGAATGTAGAACAATTTTCCTTGTAGACCTTCAAGGAAAGAGTAGATACAGACAGTAAGTGGTAAAGACTGAAACAATAAAAAGCTGATTTATTATAGAAGAATAAAAAAAGTCAGAGGGAATGTATTTTTATTGTTCTTCAGCTGTGCAAGTTTACATGTGCAAAAATGGGAAACATGAAGAAAAGCCCTCCCTTCCTTCCTTTTCATGATATCTACTTTGAATAATAAATGACTTTTTTTTGTAACATGGGCAATTCTATTCTTTAAAAGTATAGGCTGTTCTAATGGGCTCTTACTGATGTAGTGTAAAAATACGCTGAAAATGCCTGTTACAAAACCAGGCCATTGCAGTCACGATGACTGTGCAGGTTATGCTGTCTCAAATGATGCTATATTGGGATATTTATAAAAATATCCTTAAAGAAATTATCCTTTTCTACTGAGAAGTAGCTGCATTAGTTAGTGCATCAATTTCAAATTTCTGGAAGGCGATGGAAAGGCTGTTTAGAAGGGGGGATGCCAGGAGTCGAACCGCGGGATCGGAGGTGATTTCGCGCAGGCGGCAGCGCCCCCTGCTGGCGAGGGCGCGTGCGGCTCCTCGGGGGCGCCGCGCTTGGCGCTCCTGCGGCGCTGGCGCCAAAATCGGGCATCGCCCCGGGCCTGGCGCGGGCTGCCGTCCTGGGTTCGCTGCTGCTTCGGTCCACGGATTGCATCCAGGCAAGGCTCCAACTGCTCTGATTGACTAAACGGGCACACGGGGCTGTAGACGAGCCTAGACTGGCAGAATCTCTCAGGAGCTGAGCTCCCAGCAGGAGCTGGAGTGCTCTCAGGGATTTGTTTGGCCAAATTCTGACCAGGTCAGAGGATAATGGTTTCACAGTCCCTCTGGGCAACTTTTGTTATGTTTGGCTATGCTGTGACGGGGTTTCTTTCTCACATCTAATGGGAATTTCCCTTGCTGCAGCTTAGTTTTCCAGGGTGAGGTGGTCAGGTTTTAGTTGTTTGTGTTTGCTGCATTACTTTTGTGTTTCCTAAATTCTGTAAAGGTATGCAAGTTTTAGTTTTCATTTCCATTTGTGAAATATGTCTCTCTTCCTTAAAGGCCTACAGAGCTGCAATGCAGACACAGTGGAGCTGGATTCTTCAGCTCTGCCACTGTGTTGAACAGCATTTGAGAGAAAATGCTGCGTATTTTGAGGTAAGAAAGTAAATCAATCAGAATACAAATTATTTTAAGTTTTGTTCATAGTCAAAAAGTACCAACGACACCTCTAGTTGTAACTGTAGAATTGACATTTGTCTTGTACAATCACTAGATGATAAGCCATGCTCCTACATTGTTGCCACAACCTAATTTCTTCATTACAGTTATGTCAGTTCACAGCAGACGAAAATCTGGCCTGAGATTTTTTCAGTGCCTGTTGTGCACAACTGCTGTCAATGGAGATTCTGCCGATGATGCAGCATGGAGGGTGGTTAATGATGGCCATGGGAGAACATATTGTGGATGGTTATTCGAGGACTACTCAAAGCAAAATGAAATGTGCAGCTTTAATAATAAATGCAGTAAAGAACACCCTGACATGAAACACCCATCTGACTATCTTATTGTCACCCATTCACATACTCAGCAAATTATGAAATTACTTGCATGAACATGATAGACAGAAGAGTTTTTTTGCTAGTTTTGTTTGTTTGGTTTTAAATCTACTACTTTAAAATATTTAAATTATAAGGATGAGTCCTTAGTGTCTTCTGGGTTGTGTGGTTGAGGAGAGAGGGAGGTGATGAAAGGGTGAGATGCCTTTGGACTGAGAAGGATGAGATCCCAGATTTAGGAATGGGACACTGGAGAAGACAAAGCAATTTGAGCTCCTTGTGACAGGTGGAAGAGACTGGACTTCTGGATTTAAGAAGGGGGCTTAAGGGAGAAAATGGGATTTTCTTTCCCACTTGTGCCTATCCAAGACCCTTGTTTGGGTGTGCAGATACCCTTGCAGAACTGCCAAGTGTGGCAGCTCATTTCCCTTCCTGAACAAAACATTTGCCTCAGCTGTGATACCTGGATTTTGCAGCTAGTTTCTGTAGTTTGTAGGATTTGTCTTTGCTTTCTATATGAAAGTAATTGTAATTCCAAGGAAAATAAGATTGGCTTAATAAAATTTTTTCATTGCAGGAATGGTCATTAACTGTAGGTTCAATAACTGCAGAATTAATTTTGTGTGTAGCGCATACTGAGAATAACTGGTGTTAGCAGTAATTGTGAACCTTTTTGAAGAGTACATTTAGACATGGGATCATGAGTAGCTGAGTGTGGTGCAATGGTCACTTCAAGTGATGAGAAAAGGTTGTTCTAAAATACAGCACTTAAAATCTTCAGTGTAGCTGATTCTGCATTTTTTAGTTTGTTTAAAAATAACCCAGATAATTATTTTATCCTAGTTTTTCAGCGATGCCAAAGAAGCCATGGAATATTTGAAGAATTTAAAAGATACCATATACCGAAAATACAGTTGTGATAGATCAAGCAGTCTTCATAGGCTGGAAGACCTTGTCCAGGAGTCTATGGTAAGATCTTTAGTAGGATCCTATTAGCAGGAGCTACAATGAAACAAGAAATGTCTAGATTGTGGTGGGATATAAAATGTGTTAAGATTGTTCATTTAAAGTAAAGGAAAAAATGCTGATTTTTTCAGAACTTATAAATAAATTGTGATTTTTCGTAACTTTAAAACACAGTTTTATTTTTTCATATTTACAATACCAGCTATATGAAGATAGTGGCTTCAGAAAGAGAGTTTGTTTTCGTAAAATGTGTTACTTTTAGGAAACAAAGTAGAAGGAGTCAGGGACAAAAAAAAACCATAACAGGTTCAAAAAGGCAGTACTGTATTCTGGACATCTCTGATGATGTATTCTTTTCTTAACTGTTCTAGGAAGAAAAAGAACAACTCTTGCAGTATAAGAGCACAGTAGCAGGCCTTGTGGGAAGAGCAAAGGCAATAATTCAGCTGAAGCCAAGGAACCCTGACTGTGTACTCAAAACATCCATTCCAATTAAAGCCATCTGTGACTACAGACAAATTGAGGTTAGGAACAAAAATTTCCTCAAACCAATTACAGATGTAAGAATTCAGCTAAAGTTTCATTAATTACCATGTTCCTGGAGAAAGCTGGGTGGTAAATTTCTTCCACCCTAGTAAACAAGAGCAAATCTTTTGGTTGGAACATTGGTTTTGTTGTTCTGTTGCCTTATTTGTTGCCAGCATTAGCAGAAGTGCTTTGTACAATTATTTTGTAATGCTTGGCTCATCAAATGATTCTGCTTTTCTGTTAATACTAGATAACTATTTACAAAGATGATGAGTGTGTATTAGCAAACAACTCCCATCGTGCTAAATGGAAAGTCATTAGCCCAAGTGGTAATGAGGCCATGGTTCCATCTGTATGCTTTACAGTTCCTCCGCCAAACAAGGAAGCAATAGATACAGCCAACAGGTAGGGACAAAGTAAAACTACCTATTTTCTGTTAACATCTACTTACATGGAACTAGGGTTAAAAGACTAGCCCACTTTTTTTTGGTTGTCTTTTTTTTTTCCTTTGGAGGGGGAGGGGTTGGGGTTTTTTTTGGTTGTTCCCCCCCCCCTCCCCCGTTATCATGTGTTACCCTGATCTGAAGTTGGCATTTTTTTGTTTCAGGATTGAACAGCAATTTCAGAATGTTCTGGCCCTTTGGCATGAGTCACATGTAAACATGAAAAGTGTGGTGTCCTGGCATTACCTGACAAATGAAATTGAAGTTGTTCGATCTGGCAATGTTGCCTCGGTAAGTGAGGCAATGTTATGACGAGGAATGGCTCTTAACCATTTACTAGGAAGTCATAGGATGACTAAAACTGTGTGAGGTCACACTGTTGCAAACAATATTTGCAATACCAAAAATGGCACTTTCCTACCCAATTGATTGCTGTTACTGTTGAAGGAGGAACCTGAGATACTTCTTGAGGTGTCCCTACTTGTCCTCGCTATTGTTTGTTGCTGCATGGCATTAGATGGGAGAAATTAAGTCTGATGTAGGCTTGGTTTAATGGAGGCCTTCCCCAATGTCAAAGATGGAAAAGGATTTTATGTTGAGTGTAAATTACCAGCTGTCAGTAGACTCCAGCTAAGGAACAGTGAGCTTTCAGAACCTCAATTCTTTGACTTTGCCATCTTAGTAATTGATCAGTATTGCTTTTTGATAAAAAGGCATCACAGGAGCTGTGTGAGTGATGCCCCATTGCTGACTGTGCTTTGGGTCTATAATCTGTTGCAGATAAAGACAATGCTGCCAGGTGAACATCAGCAGGTTCTAAGCAATTTACAGTCCCGCTTTGATGATTTTGTGGAAGACAGCCAGGAGTCCAAAATCTTTACAAGCTCTGATACAGCACAGCTGGAAAGGGAAGTTAATGTTTGCAAGCAATACTATCAAGAGCTTCTGAAGTCTGCAGAAAGAGGTAAAACTTAGCTTAGAAGTGTAGAAAGATGTCCTTAGAGAAAGATTTTGTCCTTGATCCTAAGATCTCTTTTATCATGATGATATTGTTACTGGCTGTGTTCTTTTGAACAGTCATTTTAACAATGTGTGCAATTCCATTGTATAGAAGATCTTAATTTTTTTAAACTTTGTATATATTAAGCTGTATAAAAATATCGATGTGTTACGTAATATACAGAATGCTACAAAAATTTTACACCTAAAAATTTATTATGTGCTTTACAGCTCACTGCTTAGTCCTGCGTTCCTTGTTTCTGAATACTGGAAAAACAGCTTGATTACTGTGTTGAGTTTGTAACAAAATCAGAATTTTTTTCACCCTGTTAAGGCAAAGAAAACATCCTAGCTACTTTCCTGGCTCCTCAGTTACTGCTGTCTTAACTCCAATTAACACTGTATTAATGCAGTGAGAACAGAAAGCTTAAAATAGCTCTTCTGATTCACTGTTGAGTAGTTGATGACTTAAACAAATACTGTAGTGCAAAGCTGATTACTTCATTAGCAAAGATCACTAAACTTCAGGAAAGATGTGCATCTGAAAGAGGATTTATGACCCTGATACCACTGATTAAAAGAATTAGTCACTGAATTTAGCAATGTCATCATAGAGGTAATTCCTATGCAGAATGATCAGAGATAGTAATTTTTCATGTGTGAGGAGATTATTTAATAAAAACTAAAATTAAGAATTCCTAAGATTTGCCTTATAACCAAAATTTCAATGGAAACTGATGGCATTTTGGCCAGTCACGAAAACACCTCTAGAGCAATGACTTTATAAAGTATGAGAAGTTATGGTGAAAATGACATGATGACTTTGCTGGCTAACATATGTCTTAATTCTTTCAACAGAGGAGCAGGAAGAATCTATTTATAATCTGTACATCTCTGAAGTCAGAAATATCAGACTACGACTGGAGAGTTGTGAGGAGCGGCTAATACGGCAGATCCGGACACCAATGGAGAGGGATGATGTACATGAAAATGTGCTTAGGATTTCAGAGCAAGAGGTGAGCCTTTGAGAAAGTCTGTTTTACCTAGGAAAGGTCGTATTTAAAAAAAAAAAAAATCCTGACTTATGAGTGTAAGCCAGGACAGTTTGCAGTGTACCTTGAAAAGAGGAGTCAAGTATTTAGCTTGTGTTTGTGAGCAAAAAAGATGCTGATCAATGGTATCTCCATTAGTTTGCCTATTACACATGTTTCTCTTCAATTTTTTACAACGGTGTCATAAAAGAAGTCAAGGAGAGCAGACCTGTACTCATAGTGGTATGTAAAGTATATATCAGGTTGATGTAGGATGGAAGCACTATCAATCACCTTTCATTTTACAGAAACTGAAGAAAGAACTGGATCGACTCAAGGATGACTTGGGAGTCATTACAGATAAATGTGAAGAGTTTTTCAGTCAAGCTGCTGGTTCTCCTTCAGTCCCTACTCTGCGCTCTGAACTCAATGTTGTTATACAAAACATGAACCAAGTTTACTCCATGTCTTCCATTTTCATAGATAAGTATGTACTAGGCTGTCTTCCATCACCCATGCTTTAGTTTACAGTTTTCTCTTAAATTGAAACTATTAGTATGAATAATACTGATCAAGGAAAAAGGAGTTAACATTTTAACATTGTATAAAGGGGTACCCCGTGACATGAAAAGTCTGAAAAACACAAATGTTTTGAGTGTTGCTATTGATGGTTCAGTTAACAGAGGGTCTGTTTTTCAGATTAAAAACTATCAATTTGGTGCTGACGAACACCCAAACAGCAGAATCATTAGTAAAACACTATGAAACTAAGTTGTGTGAAGAAGAGGCAGTAACGGCTGACAAAAACAACATTGAAAATCTGATGGGTACATTAAAGGTAAGAACTGCTGGTGCCTTTTCATGGGCAAATCAAAAAAATAAGACAAAATGTGTCTTGTAACACCTAATTTTGTTGTACTTCACTCTACAGTGTGTCAAACATTGGCTTGTATATTTAGTTTTAGGTGGTATTAGAATTGACATTTCAGGAAAAACTGGCGTTTTGGAGCATTAGGATTTGGATAGGTCGAAAGCAAGTTCCTGGTGTAGCAAAATGCATTGAAGTATCTGAACTGGAAAAAGTAGCACTTGTTAATGCTGCAGTAAGATTTTCATTGCTCTTCAGAAGGTAGCATATACTTAGGGTAACATAAACATATATTTATGTTATGTAAATTTGGTCACAATAACATTCTTTCTACTGCTTTGGTGTTCTAATCAGGGATTCTTAGGAAGTTTAGCACATATCTTTGAGAAATGGAAAGATTGAAGTTCAGCATTTTTTGTTTGTAATATCAAAATTAGTTATATACAGCAAATTATGGGTAATGCTTTTTTGCAAAATAGAATGATTGGCATCTGCCTAATAATTTTTTTGAAAGCTTCTAAAGTGAGTGTGTTCATTTCATCTCTGTGTTGTGGGAATTGCTGTTACTTAGAATTATTTTGCAGTTTTATTGCTTCAGGCCCATTCTAGCGCCACTTGAGTATTTGAGCAAGCAGAAGTAAAATATTAATTGAAATATTTTTATTAATTAAATTATACAGCATACTCGTGTGAAATACTAATTTATAAAATAGTGTAATAATTTAGGAGCTTTTTACAACTTTTTTTTATTACCTACTAGCAATGGAGATCAGAAGTAGATGAGAAAAGACAAACATTCCATGCTTTAGAGGATGAACTGCAGAAGGCAAAGATGATCAGTGATCAGATGTTTAAAATGCACAAGGAACGTGATCTTGACTTTGACTGGCACAAAGAAAAAGTTGATCAGTTGGCTGAAAGGTGGCAAAATGTTCATTCTCAAATTGAAAATAGGTTTGTATGACTTTTAATTATAGTCTGTTCATGTTTTATACTTTTTTTTTTTTTTCTTTCTCAGGAAAAGCAATCTGAAATGAATATTGAAACAGGTCTGAATAGTTTTCTGTTTTTGGAATGTGCTGGGATGAAGACCTTTATTGTGCTGTTGAAATGTTTGTGACTGCTAAGTTCCAAAAGATGAACAACATATAGAAACTTACCACTTACCGATACACAGTGGAGATAAATTGTCATTTTTCTTTAAAAAAAACCCAAACCTGCAGAAATGGCTGGCAGTCCTATGGAAATACCATCTGTTTCTCCACAAAATTAGTTCTGATGGGCTAAATTGATGTGCTGATTCATCAGTTGTGATTGGATTCATGTTAATTTGCTTTGAATTACTCAAGTGTTAAGTCTGGAAGTTCTTAGCTTCCGTTGACTTCTGTGATAATTTTTGGTGCAATAACTTTTTGGTGAAGTGCCTTTTGTTTTTTTAAATATCCAGTAGAGATAGTGCTCTAAATTCATCCCTTTGTTGTCTCAAGTTGATACTGAGAAATGTTGCTCAAGTGCACATGCCTATGCAGATGTACTGATACAGCAGAACAAACCTACCTGTATTTCTGAAGATGCCCGTACATTAAATTCCTGGAAATGCTTTTTTCTTTAGACTCTGCAGTTCTGTTTCCTGTATGTAAAGGGAGCAGAACTGTAGAGATTGAAGAAAAAAGTATGGGCAAGTGTTGAGGTACTGTGCAGTCTGAACTTATTTCCTTTGAAAAGTACTTTAGTTTGTCATTATAGATTACCTGAACAAGAAAATTGAAGATGGTGCTGTTGATGTAGAAGTCACACAGATACTTGTTGCATTTTTTTCCTCCTGTTCTAAGGGGTGAATATACATTCAGGTGCAATATTGAAATTACTCACTTGTAATTAACTAGTTTATTTGTGTCTGTTTAACATTGCTGGAAGTTAGAAAGGAGATGGGAAAAGGGCCACTCATTTAAAGAATAGCTAGCTTAGCTGATTTTTCATCAGTTGTTAGTGTGACATAATTTAAATTATTAAACAGTCGTTTTATGAAGTAGTGAAGTGTTCTTATTTCTTCAAGAGAGTAAGCATGAAGCACATACTCTACTGCCAGGACCGTATGCTGAACAGAATGTGCTGAAAAATGACTGCTAATGCATAGTGTCTTCTGGTGTAAATAGGACATATTGTGGTAACTGCAGTACAGAGCTGTAAAAAAACTGCTTTCTGCAAATATCTCTGCTTCTTCCCATCAACTTGACACTGATAGTCATTATACAAAACATATGTACAAATATTGGCTGCAGTTATGATCCTTTCTCTTTTTCATGGTTATGTACAAATATTGGCTGCAGTTATCATGATCCTTTCTCTTTTTCATGGTTATTAGCTTTAAAACATGCTTAAGTATGAAACCTGAGTGAAATAAATTCCTTCGCTTGCTCTTTTTTCATCTCCTTTTGGCATCTTAAGAGCAGCACTACAGCAATTCAAAGTATTCATTCCAAGTTGAATTGTAAAAGGTTGTATATCTCTGTTCATTCTGCAGTGTTAAGTGATCATATTTATATGATCTTTTAAGTAGAATCGTAGAATATATTGAGTTAGACTCGATGATCCTTGTGGGTTCCTTCTAACTCCTGGCTCTGCACAGAGCAACCACCAAAATCACACCATGATAACAAGAAACAGTATAAGGATCATGAAAGAAAAACTGTCGGTATCTCCCTCAGTATGGAAATTACTTTAAAGAAATACACAGACCTCTCTTTTTAGGTCAGAAACCTAAATTCAATTTCTTTTGCACATTAGGATATTTACAGTCTTCAGTTTTCGTGTAACTCTTGCTTTTTGTGGGAAGCATGGAGAGTATGGTGAACCACTACTTGACTCCAGCATGGCACACTCCTCCTTGATTAATAGGTCACATTTTAAATACTCTCACTTCTTGTAACAGAGCTGATTGCTGTAGCAGAGCCCTCCCTCTTTCCTGGTGTTTCCAGTGCTCCTGGAGTTTCAAGCAGTCAAACAGGCTAATGTGGGATATATAGAGTTTCTTGTGTGGTAGGATCTCTCCTGGACATCCTTTATGAGAAATGGAAAGCGTTCATCAAGCTGGGAGCCCTAGTGTTTGAGAAGTGAATTTGATGTTTAATTAGTGTCACACTAGTATGTTTATACTGTGAACTGTAACAGAGCTAAGACATTTGAACCCTTTAAAACTGTATTTGCCTTAGTGTTTTATTTTTTGTCTTTAATAATCATCTTCTCCCCTTTGATTTGTCTTCTAAAATTAAATCAGGTTGCGTGACTTAGAAGGAATTAATAAATCTCTGAAGTATTATAAAGATACTTACAATTCTTTGGACACTTGGATTCAACAAGTGGAAGATACTCAGCGAAAGATTCAAGAAATACAGCCCGAAAATAGCAAAGCATTGGCTAAGCAATTGAACCAACATAAGGTATGAAAGGGATGTCACTGTGGCAAACCACTGTGGTAAGCAGTGACCAAAGAATTACAGTATCAGTGATCTCAATATTGTTTATTAATATGAGGGGCTTATATCCATCAGCCCTTACTGTAAAGCTCCAAGTAATCACCAGATTTTGATTTTGTCCTTAATAGTGCAGCCATGAATATATCACCCAGTGACAATTGTCACTGTTTTATAGACCAGACTGTTTGGTCCTCAAGTGTGCAAAAACATCAAAACCTTAAAACTTCTGGACTTGCCTTACCCCATAATTTCATATTCAGTGCTGCTTTTTTTATGGATGTAAAAATATTTTCATGGAAGCAGAACTAAACTCAATATGTGTCTCCTGTGAGAAGGAAATGCAGTATAAATTAACCTGGCAGATTTTTTCACTACTTCTGTACTGTAAATCTGATAAAGCTGAGGACATAGGCTTGAGCATAATTACTTGTACACATATGGATAGGAGCATATTAGATAAAATAGATGTTAACAAACCATCTATTTATGTTAGATAATGTTCAGTAAAGTAGAAATGTTAATTATAATGATAATAAAAATAACTTTTTAAAATGAAAATGTACATTCATATTTTACAGATGCTGGTTTCTGAGATTGAAATGAAACAAAGCAAAATAGATGAATGCCAGAAATATTCAGAACAATACTCAGCTGCTGTGAAGGTAACAATAACATTACACTTATAGTCCTACCTTTTAGTGTTGGTATCATGTGTAATGCCAATGATTTTGTATATTTTCTCTTGTACAGGACTATGAGTTGCAGACTATGACCTACAGAGCTATGGTTGACTCCCAACAAAAGTCTCCAGTAAAGCGCCGAAGAATGCAAAGCTCATCAGACTTCATTATTCAAGAGGTAAATGGATTTCTTATGACATTCAGGAAAATGTGAGTCTTTGTTTAAAACATAACAAACACAAGAATTCTGTTTTGGATTTACTATAGTAAAGCCTACTGAATCATGACACTTTGACAGATTCTAAGGCAGATCAGCCTCATTTGGGTGAGAAAGATAAATCTGTTTCCCTGCTACCTGTTAGAGAGAGGAATAGTGACAAGCATGGCTTGTCCCTCCTGAAACCTTTTCTTAGAGGGTGAAGAATCATGTGACTGTGAAGTCAAAACATTGTCTTGTGTTTCTTCTTTTTATGGAGCTGCTCATAGATCCTTCGGATATATTTGTTCAAGTGCACCTTGTTGACAGAATTGAATTTTGGAATCAAAATTAGAACTTTGGATTCCACAATTTTAATTTTGAAATCAAATTCAGGATAGGTTCTAGAGCAGTGCCTATCACTTCTTTCAAGCTTAATGGGAGTGTTTACCTCTGACACCTACCCCTCCCTTTGTTTCTCTACAGTTCATGGATCTACGGACTCGGTACACTGCCTTAGTGACCTTGATGACCCAGTACATTAAATTTGCAGGTGATTCTTTGAAAAGACTGGAGGAGGAAGAGGTATGTCATTCTCTGGCAGTCAACCGAGCAACAAGAACATCTAGGCAAACAAAGAGCAATATACCTGTTGGAATAATTCACAAAGTTACCAGTAGATGTAGAAAACTAAAATTCCTTATGTAGTGCACATTGTACGGGAATGTAGCAGTGTTAGCACTGTTATTATTCAGATAAACAAAATCCTGTACCATCCATACATTTTACCAGTTCTTCCACCTAGAAAGATCATATGATTTGTTGAATTCTCTGGAGATATAGTTTAAATTTAAATAGTAATACTTTCATTTTTAATACCCTAGGGCTTGATCTTTAGGATAAAAGCAGACATTAAGATGAAGGCAAACTCACCGCCTTCATCACCACAAAAACCCTTTGTATACATATTTTTAATATTATAGTATGCATTCTGGTCCACTTAACAACCAACAAGTTCTTTCAACAGGGAGATGATTGATTTCTGAAGTTAGTTTGATCTGTCCAGTTATTTTTTTTTCTTTCAGCCTTTCTACTGTATTGATTCCTTGGGGTCAAACAGCATTTTATTTATGCTTAGAAATTGATCTTACTAACAAGAGTAGGTTATTGAAATTAGGCAGACAAGTTACTCAAAATACACGCTTGCTGCAGAACAAACCTTCCAAGTAATTGAGAGGGGAAAAAAACCTTCTAAATTTTTCACTTTCTTTTGAAAACTCTCTCAGAAAGAGATTATTTAGTCATTCTTAAGGACTACATTGTTTTAGTATAAATGGATAAAATTGGAGAACACTACCATATAGGCATAAATTTTATTGTTATTGTTAAAGAAAAAACCAGTTCTTAATGTTCTATAATTCTGGTGCTGATTTTGTCTTTATTGGCTTTTCTTGCTATTGAATACCTCTGAACCAACACTAGCAACAGCATGTATCTTTGGGCATCATCAAGTGGTGGAGCAAACTGATGGAAATACATGATGTTTGTTGATAAGCAGCCATTATAACTGAGGATTTAGAATGATTAATAGTGATAATGGCATTGAGGATAAAAAGTCAGTTAAAGAACAAGGCTCAAGAAATCTGTGAATGTCAGTAAACTTCACATTCTTCAAGAACAAGTGGAATCTTTCAAAATATTTAGAGTTTCAGTCTGCTCTGAGTTTCCAGGGTTGCTTTTTTTTTTTAAATCAAGTACCTCCCCATCTTCCTTCCTCCTCTACCCCCTGTTGGCCTTCTAAATCTTTGGTAGCTCCTTTGAAGATAACTAAGCAAGTTTCCAGTCTCAAAATAATATAATGTTTTTTTTTTTCTTATTAATCAGGGTAGCAAATCAGAAAAAGAATAATCTTTTTCAAAAGAGGAATGAGAGTATTTTTCTTCTAGGAAGAAAAATTCTTCACAGACTGTAGTAACAGACCTCTGAAGTCTGTGATTCTTCCAAGATTTTCTTTTATGCCAGTCTTTTTTCCTAACTCTCAGTAATGGCATTAAGAAAACAGAGAATAAGGGAAAAATAAGATACTTTCTATCATATCTCAGTTTAATCCATGTGCTGTCATGCTCAGTGTTTACCAGAAGAGAATCAACTCCAGCAACCTGTGAAGTCAGCTGAAGTCTTTCAACCTTTGGGATATAATGAAGATCTTGAATTGAGAGAAGAAAATAAACCTAATGAAAACATGGTGGATGCGGAATATTTGCAAAACCAGAACTCTTCCAGCAAATCTGGATACACAGAAAATAAACTGGAAATGAACAGAAGAAAATTAAATGTAGACCGATATGATAAAATCAAAACTGATAGAACATTTAAGCAACTTCTAAATTTCAGTGGTCAAGAAAGCAGCATTAGGGGCAATAAAGACAGTAAGCTACATACAGAGTGGGAGACTTTAATGGGTTTTGGTAATCAAAGTAAAGAAGAAAAAAATGGCAGAAAAGATTGTTTTGTTTCAACTGAAATCTGTGTGAGTGGGAACAATGATCCTGGTAAAATGTTAAATGAGCAAATTGCTAATGGAGAGAGACAGAAAACAGAGTGGAAATCAAAGAAGTTTACTGAAATGGAAATGATACACAAAACCACAGGAAAAAAAAATTCAAGAAAGGCATGGAGTGATGTTTCAAATAAGGAAGAATGTGAGATGCAATCAGAAACTGATTTTAAGCTAACAACGAAGAAAGCTCAAGTAACTCAAAGAACTGCAAAGCAGGCCCTGGGTATCAGCCCTTATCAACAGCAACATTTTTCACAGAGAACTAATTGTCAGTGTCAGCATAAAGAGCATTGCTTTACAGAAAGCAAAAGCCATAATACTTTGAAATCTAAAGACAGAGAGTTTCAAGCGTGTGGTAAAAAAGATGATTCTCTTTCATGTACAACAGATGCAACATCTTTAGAGAAAGTTGCATCCTCTTTCAGAGAGCTGGCAGTGCACAATGGAAGTGAGAAAACAAAGTTAAATTTGCAATCTATGAGCAATCCAGGTGTTTATTGTAATTTTGGAAAGAATATTGACAAACTGCAGAAAGTATCTCTGGATAAAGATTACTTCCTAGTAGAAAATGAAGTCCTAGAAAAATCAAATTTAAATTCAAATAAAGCTGAGAATAAAGAGCAAGAAATTTTGGCTCTTTCTTCAAGAAATATTTCAGAGAGTCACTGTGCAGCAAAAGTCTCTGAATCCTGTCCATTTGTTCAAGTATCACCACTGCAGAATGATCAACATTTAGGTACTGAATTGTTAGGAAATACTGGTGATTTAAATGAAAATTTAGGTGTCTCAGGAATTTTTTCGGGAGGAGAGGATTATTTTCCAGTATCAGAACATAAACTATCAAAAAAACTTTTAAGTCACTATGAGAAAGTAAGTGTGAAGAAAATACCACAGGGTAATACTTATGGTTTGGAGAGCATAAGTAGAAGTGGGAAGAAGCAGAGTGGAGAGGACAGGCTAGAACAGGGTCAGAAATGCAATGATTTATTGCTAGTTTCAGAAGTAGACAGTAGTGATGAGGGTAATAGCACAAAGGTCCCTGGAAAAACCACTGAACTCCAGAAAACATTTGGTGAAAAAGTAGCCATAAAAGCCTCATTTGAAAAAAAAGAAAATCAAAAAAAGAGAGAGAAAGATAATGAAGAGAAAAGGAGCACAACTGTTGTTAAGGTACCAGAGTTTTTATGCAATGCAAATGAAAGAGTTAATCTAAGAATTATTCTAGATCAATGCAAATCACCATTTGAATCACAAAATATGTCAAGGTCAAGTGATTTAAGATTGATTGAGCATAATTTAAACAATGAATATGCTAATCATGTATCAATTACTGTACATTTTGAGATGCTTGAGATTTTTAAGTTCTTAGAAATTAATCTTTGTGTTTATCTTATGCTAATGTTTGCCATCCTTTTCTCCACCTAACTGATGCTCAGCATGTTGACTAGAAAAATGAAATCTAAGAAGATGCAGTTTGTTACTGTATCTATATTTTTAGGTCTTCTTTTTCAAGCATAATACATTAGATTTTGTGTTTATGTGAGTATAAAATATCTGATAACAAATCAGTTTGCATACTTTGTTTCTATTGGGGCTGTTCAAAATTATAGGGAAATATGGAGAGGAACTGAAGAAGCTGCCTTTGCATTAGCCTTTAGAAAGGTCTCAGATATCATATGAAAAATCAATTAAATCTGGTAAATTTTAAGTAACCCAACAGTTTGTTTGAAAATGTTGCTGTCGTCACCCTTCATGCCCGTTTGTATGATCATAGGAATATAGGTGTGTTCTTACTTCATGTTAGCTCACATTTGGTAACTTAGCACCACAACAACAGTGCTTATGAAGACACAAGGTATGTATAGTTTCAACCGTATTGTTACTGGTGATTACACTTCTTGCTTTAAAGACTTGCTCTGGATCTGCCAATATGTGGAGACTACCAGCCAACTGGTTTTCATTAGGATTTTCCTAATTACCATGTTTACACTTCTGTGTCTGCACTGCAGAGCAGTTTGCTCTTACAAGTCCCCCAGCCGGGTCAGTGGGGAGACTGGGGAGCACACTGTGGAGCGCAGATGTATGGGGGTTTGGATACTGCTCTTTCTGGAGCTGCTGCATCTTGGCTCTAAGATACTGTTTCTTTTCTTGGAGGGGAATTCCAAACTTTTCTTGTGTCATTTGTGTTTGCAAGCTTAAATCTTTGTTCCAGTTTCTGCTGAACTGATTGGCAAAATGGTAGGCCACTTTCTCTTGTGCACTGTGTTCAGGTTATTGTTTGCTCTACGTACTTCTTTTGTGAGAAAGCCAAAGTGAGCTGTTTGGTGTTGCTTTCTGCTAAGAGGCATCTAACTGAAGTGAGAAGCTTCAGGATTTCTTCACTTTGTGGATGTCTTTGTCAAGGGTTTCATATTTGGCTAATGGTAACTTCCTGAAGCCATGAAGGGAAGGTGATGGTGGTGGGAACTGCTCATCCTGCTTTCTGGACATACCATGTATGCATGAGTAAGTATTTTCCCTTCTGCTTTTCTAAGAGCCTAACATGTTCCATATGCTCTATTACAAAAAGTGCATTCCAACTTATCTTACTCTTTTACAGATTTTAAGGAATAAGGAAGCATCCGCACGTCAGGCGTATTCAGATCTAATGGCACAGCAAAATAACACAGCTGATGAGAATAAAAAACTAATGGGAAAGGTAAAAACACTTGAGGAGAAGTTGGAGAATATGAAGAAACAAAAAATCCAGGTGGAACAGGAACTCCCTAAAGTGAGAGAAGCTGCAGAAAAAGAGCGGAGGAAGCAGCAAAAGGAGATGGAAGAGATCTGTCTTCAGAAGACCAAGGCTGAGCAAGAGGCAAAGCAGTGTCGTATAGATCTAGAAAGCATTGAGAGAGAGAAAGCAGATGCAGAGCAGGAGTTGGAGTGTGTAAGGCAGTTCATTTTTCAGGCAGAGACTCAAAGAAGTATACTGGAAGAAAACCTCCGTGCTTTTCGAAATCAAATAGAAGAAAGCACCTTAACCAAAAGAAGCCTTGAAGAGCTTCTAAGAAGAAAAGATACTAATCTTCATGATTTAGAGAAACAAAAAAAAACCTTGATGCAGGAACTGAAGAAAAAAACAGATGGAGAAGAGAAACTTGTGAAGCTCATCAAGCAAATGGAACAAGATCTTGACTTTAAAGGGAACCTATCAGAAATAAAACTGCAAGGAAGAGAATCAACTGAATGCAGAAGGAAGGCTGTTGAAGGCACATACTCTGTAACTAGAGAAACTTCCCTGCCAACTTTCACAGCTGGGCAAGGCAGCCAATGTAGGATTGATTCTGAAATTATGAGTTTCCAGAAGAAACTAGAAGCCAAAAAAGTAGAAGAACTTAAACAAAAGATAGATGAGTTGACCCTTGCTAACAAAAAAGCTGATAAAACTATTAAAGACCTGAAATACGAACTGAATGAAATTGAACTTCAAAAATCATCGACAGAAGAAAAGTCTCGTTTATTAAAAGAAAAACTAGATAAAGTCAACACTGAACTTAAATGCCTAAAAATTAAGTTGGAGGAAAAAGACCAAGTAGATCAGGGGTATTTGCAGCAGTTGAAAGAACTGGACAGGCAGCTACAGAGAACCACAGGTAAATTGGAAGAGGTGATGCAAGAAAATATGGATCTTAAAAACCTTAAGATGAACTATCAGGAGGACCTGAAGTCTGTTCAGCAAGAAAAGACACAGCTAAAAAGAGAAATAGAGGAATTAACCAGATCACAGACAAAAACTGAAATCACTATCAAACATTTAAATTCACAAATCAGTTCCCTTCAAAAAGAGAAGCTGGCAGCTGAACACAGAACACAGTCATGTAAAGGAGAAGCAAATAATCTTCAAGACCAGTATAAGAAAATTAAAGAACAGTTGCTTCAAAAAATGGAAGTAGAGAAAGAAAATGAGCATGAAATTCACATGCTGAAGAATGAATTAACCAAAAGTAATCAGGTGTCAGAAACACTGAAAAAACAGATAGAGGACCTTAATAAATGGAACACTGAAACAAAACTACTAATGAAGCAAATTCAGTCTGAATCAGAGAAGATGACTTTGGAAAAAGAAACTATTCAGAGGAAAAACGATGCTTTGAAAGCCCTAGCAGATGGTTTCAAAGAACAATTGCGTACAACAAATGAACAATTGCACAAACAAACAATAATTGAGCAAGAATTCATATGTAAAATCAAAAGCCTAGAAGTTGATCTTGCAAAAACAAAAGACTTAGCTAGTGACTATAAACAAAAATGTGATAAACAAAATGCTTCCACCCTCAGTATTGACCGGGAGGTTAAAAATTTAAATGCTCAGGTGAATGCTCTAAATGTGGAAAAGAGAATGAGTGAGCAGAAGATGGCACTTCAACAAGCTCATATACAAGAACTAAGTAGCAAATTGAAAAAACTGCAGGATGAACTCCATCGGAAGACTCTGGATGAACAGATGGCGCACAAGAAGATGATTCTGTTTCAGGAAGAATCCATTAAGTTTAAACACTCTGCAGAGGAATTTAGGAAAAAAGTTGAAAAATTACTGGAATCCCATAGCATCACAGAAAAGGACATATCTGGTATAAAACTTGAATGTGTTGCTCTTCAGCAAGAAAAGCATATGGCTGAGGAAAACATCATGTTGTACAAGAGGCAAATGGAAGATCTGCAAGAAAGGCTCAAAAAATGTCATGAACAACTACAGCAAGGAAAGCAGGTTGAGATGGACTATCACCAGAAGTGCAGGAAACTCGAGGAAGAATTGGAAGTGCAGAAGCGCATGGTTGAGAACTTGAAACAGAAGATGGATCTGCAGGTCAGGGAGAGTGAACATAGGTTTCTTTCATTTCAGAATGAAGTTCAGCAAAATAATAAGCTCCAAGATTCTGGATTTAAATTGAGCTGTGAGAGAAGAGGGAATGATTTCAATTACCTGAGTGGGACTGCAGCTAAAGAATTTGAACAGCTTCCTCTGCATACCTCACCTTTGTTAAGGCATAAACAGGAACAATCAGGTTTTAAATCTGATCAAATAGAAGAAAATACATTGTACGTGAGTGCTGATGACACAATACCAAGAGAGGTACAGTTTCAGATGTCAAGCATAAACCAGTCATTAGAAGATTCAAGTTCCCAGTCTTTTACGGAGTTTGTTTCGCAGACGAGTACACAGTTCCAGATAACTTTTGATAAAGCAAGCCAAATCTCTGGAACATCTGAAAGGGACACGCTGAGAAACAGGAACCTACACAGTTCCAGACAAACCATTAGACATGGAGAAGACACAAAACATGAATTAGGAGTGGTAAAACTGCATCCCTTGGAGGTACACACTACATTTTGTGAGGGCTTGCCTTCCTAATGGTGCCTTTTACTAGTCCATTTTGTTGGTCGGTTTTGGCTGTGCTTTATTACTATTCTATTTAGTTTCTTCTGTTCCTATCTTGGTGAAGGGAACCCCTTCTGTCTTACACGACACAAAAAGCTTTATATTAGATCTTATTACCACGTTTGTTAATGTCTAAGAAAGATTATTTTAAAAATCTATGTTGAAAATAGGAATTCACATACACTGTTTTATCTTTATTGATCAAAGTAAGTTTTGATTAACAGCAGTAGGCTTATATAGTTACAAACAACAGTTACTGATGTTTAGTCTAGTAATATTCTTGTTATTGAATAAATATTTGAAATGGCAAATGCACTTCAAAACTCAAACTATTTATATCTCTGCTCACCAATCCTAGTAGCAGTTCTTCTTTCTGACTTACATTCAAGTTCTTCCTTTGGTTTCTCTGGTGGTGGATTTAGGAGTGAATTATGTGTACAGCATAGTCCACAGTCATATTTCTCACTGTGTCAAAAACTTCCTATTTACAGATAGTGAAGAACAAGCACTATGACATGCATGTTGAAGTCACAACATTAAACCAAGAAAATGACAAGACTTTTGGTAATGAAGAGAGAATGTTTCAGGGATACAAAACTTCAGAAGGGTTTAGGAAAGAAGACTTGGCAAAGATGAGCTCTTTCTTAGGAGAAGAGGTTTTGAGGACTGTTGATGGTGCTACTCAGCTGGAATATTTTACAGAGGAATATGATGCTATTAAATTTCAAGGTCTCCGACATGATGTAACTGCCAGGCAGTTGATTGAAGTTAAACTTTTAGACAGGCTCACTGTTGAGCAGCTCATTTCAGGACAGAAAACTATTGATGAGGTTCAGAAAAGTCTTGAAATATTTTTAACTAAACCTACAGCTATAGGTGGGCTATACCTTGAATCCAGCAAAGAGATACTCTCTTTTGCTTTAGCAGCAAAGAGAAAAATCATAGGAAAAGCACTGGCCTTAGCATTTTTAGAGGCCCAAGCAGCCACTGGTTTCATTATTGATCCCACAACAGGTCAGAAATTCTCTGTTGATGATTCAGTTGTTAGAGGGCTTGCAGATAGTGAATTCAAGAGTAGATTGCTTGAGGCAGAGAAAGCTGTTCTGGGTTATTGCTGTTCTGGCAAAGTGCTCTCTGTATTTCAGGCTGTGGAAGCTAAACTTTTAGAAAGACAAAAAGGTAAAAATATCCTTGAGGCTCAAATTGCATGTGGGGGGGTTATTGATCCTGTAAGAAGTGTTCGTGTACCTCCAGAAGCCGCTGTGCAGCTTGGCTTGCTTAATAACACAATTTTAAAATTTTTGCATGAACCTTCAAGTAATGCAAAATGTTTTCACAATCCAAATAACAGGAAAGCTATGTACTACTGTGATTTGCTGAAAATGTGTTTGTTCAGTGTAAGCAGTAAATGCTTTCTGCTTCCAGTTGGCGAAAGGAAAATAAGCAGCCCATCAGCAGAGAAAAGTCATAAAACTTCTGTAATAAATGTTGACACAGGAACTGAAATGACTTCATATGAGGCTTATAAAAAAAATTATATTGATAAAGCTACATATCTTGAGCTTTCGAAACAGGAATTTGATTGGAAGGAGTCTACGTGTTTTGACTCTGATGGAAATTCTTTTCTTTTGCTTACAGATCTTAAAACAGGTGTACAATTTAATATTGAGGAGACCTTAAATCAGGGTAGAATTGACAGAGCATTAGTCAACAAATATAAGGAGGGCCTCATCACAGTTAATGAGTTTGGTGATATTTTAGTGAGCACTTTACAGCCAAATAAAGATTTAAATAGTCCTATTGCAGGATTCTGGCTTTCTGAAACCAATGAAAGGATTCCAGTCTTGAAAGCCTCACGCAAAAATTTGGTAGACAGAGTGACTGCCCTCAGATGTCTTGAAGCTCAGGTTTGCACAGGAGGTGTAATTGATCCATTTACAGGGAAAAAGTACAGTGTTTCAGAAGCTTTGCAAAGGGAGTTAATTGATGATGGTTGTGCCAAGCAAATCCAGCAGTGTGAGCTGATCTTTACTGGAATCATTCATCCTGTAAGGAACACTGTTATGTCAGCTGTTGAAGCTGTGCATCTAAGTGCCATAGACAAGGAAATGGGCATGCGCTGCCTGGAGTATCAGTACTTGACTGGTGGCTTGATAGATCCAAAGTCTCATTCCAGGTTAACAATGGAAGATGCAATTAAAAATGGTATTATTGATGCTATCACAGCTACAAAGATGAAGGATGAAAAATTGCACAATAAAGTTTTAACATGCCCCAAAACTAAGAAGAAGATAACCTACAAAGAAGCTTTAGATAGAGCTGTTTTTGATTGCCACACTGGCCTGAGGTTGTTAGAAGCAGCTCAGCCCATGAAAACAGGAATTTCCAGTCTTTACTATAATTCATAGTGGGCAAAATATTAATAGTAATTTTGGGCTCTGCTCTAAAACCTGTTAAAGTTAAGGAAAATATCTATGATTGGCTTTATGAAAAATCATAAGTGGTGTTTTCTAGCATTAATTAGTTGCAGTAAAACTAATTGTTATGAAAAACTAATTAACATAAACCATTGAAACTGGAATTAGATATTACTTATCGCAAAACTGAAATTTATAGAAAAGCAGGTTCATAATTTCATAATGCAAGCTATGTGTTCAGTCTTTACCTGAAGGCCTTGTCTGTGATTATTTTACATGTAGGTAGTGTAAAGGAGAAATTATACTGAAGTTGATGGAGTTAATATTAGTTCAAAGTGGGTAGATTTAAGTGAGACAAGAATCATATTCTTACAGTAAGGTTGAAAGGGACTGCCCATTTTGTGGGTGACAGCAGTGTAGTATTTCAGGTGACCTGTTACTTAAATTAAAATTACAAATCAGTCTGCAGATACCATTTGTTTTACAAGAGTGGCAATAAAATATACAACAATTAAATCTGCAGTGCAGTAAGCACACATGCATCAGTACTTTTTCTCACACTGGCATTTCATAAATTTTAAGGGGCTGCTTACAGCAGAGAGTTGTGTTTCCTGTCCTGAATTTTCTCTTATTTAATGTTATTTTTTTCTTAGAATTGTTTTATGCTCTAATAGGCAAATGAATTGCAATTACATATCAAATTTTTTAAAAATCCATTTAAATAAAACGTTTTCATTTTTACTTAGGGTACATGGAAGGGCTTAAGCAGGTTTTCTCCGTATTGATGAATGTTCACCAAACAGATTGTACTTATATGAAAAGGAGTATGTTTTTCTATGCAGAAAAAGATTAAATGTCTCAGTATTTTACTTTTGTTTTTTATTGTTTCTGTAGACAAAAACATACATAAAAACAATGTATTCAGCCTAATTGTAATTTGGTAATCCATGTGCATAATGTGCAAAATATTGTTATGCTATACTGGTTGTACATATCCTTACCTGAGGGTAATGCAAAGGCAGCATTTCAAAGATACTTTATATGCAAATGTTTTTTTGATTTTATCTGCTGAGCAATGGCTGGGAAACTATGCTTTTTCTTGCTATCAATCATTTTATAATGATTGTGTGTGTATGAATAAGAACATTTATCATAATTAAAAATCACTTGAGGTATTATTTTGTTGTTGTTTATAATTATGTGGTATTTTGTTCCTACATCAAAGTGTCATAGTAATGCATGTGGCAGTAAATAAAAAATAAATAATTTTATGTTTATGTGATGATAATGATGGCATTGTGATAGAATTGTGTTTCTACAGACAGTAATGTTGCATATTTCAACAATTTGCATTTACATGTTTCTTTACAATTCATGGCACTCATCAGAAATCAATGGAAGAGGAGAAGAAGGAACATGTTGAGAAAGCTGGGGATTTACTGAAATGGGTGTCAAACCTCAGCAAGACACTCAGCAAAGAAGAAGGAGAAAAGGCTGAAAAAACAGATTTACCTAAGCAGCAGGTACACAGATGTCTTTTGATAAAGCACCACTTCCTCTTTTTAGGTTTTTGTGTAGATTAAAATGCCAAAATAATTCATAAATACTTTTTTTTTCCCTCCTACACATCACCATACACATTTTCCTCAGGACATAATTTCACATTTGGTTGTGAGTAGAGAGTTGGGTAAATAAACATCAATGTTTAGGGACACAACCATGTTACTCAAGAAGAAGCTCCCACTGCTTTTTCCAGACCACCTAGCGTATGACATATTCTGACACTGCAAAATATCAGTTTAGAGAAACTGGACCCTGCACACCATATGTCAGCCTTTGTAGAGGGAGAGTGCATTCTGTCAGGAAGGCATTTTGGGCACCAGGAAGGAGAAGGTTGGTAGGAGGGGCCTGAGGGCCAAGTTTCTATTTATTTGCTTTTGAAAAGTTAATTGGAGTAGGCCCTCTTAAGATATAGTCAAAACTGCTGTCCTAGGAAGTATGGCAGATGTTGACTGAGGCCTCTGTTATCAAACTAGTCCAGATGATGTTGGAGTGGCCCACCTTGATGCCTTTGTATTTGACAGGACATTGTCACTGTGTGCAGTTATAACTCAGACCATAAATTTCCATCTGTGAAGTTTCATGTCATTTTAGGACCTTCTCTGCTGGGCTTGCCCCATGAAATAGCTTAGTTCCATCTTAAAAGGTTTCCGTAGGGGAAGGCTTACCTGCACATTGTGCAGCAGAGGGACAGAGCAGTATCTTGTCCACATCCCTCAGTACACTGCTGGATGTGTCATCATGCAAACATGATTTTGGCCCTCTTGTAATCCTGTTCCTTTGGGGTATTTTTGGTGATGCTTTCTGATGCCAGAGCCACTGGACCAGCATGTGCATAAGTCCATCTTGCTGTTGTGGAGGTTGGAAATCCTGATGACCACTGTTCTGGCATATAACTTGTTCAGAGAGGACCAGTGCTAGCTCTGAGTTTGTCTGAGTATATCTACCCCTATCAGGAGGAAGTAAGCTTCCACTGGTTTGAACATATTGATTGGTAAAATGCTAGTAGTTAAAATCAGGATTTGCACAAGCATTCAATGCTGGTCCTCTTCTGCCCTTGTTAATGGCTACACTGCAAACCTTTATCAGTCCTGGGCCAGCACTCAACTCCTTAGAACATCTCAGCTTACCACAACAACTGTGGGTGTCATCTCCTCTGTCCAGCCTGAGCCTCCAGTGAGTAACCTGTGAGTTGGCTGTCTTGGCTTCCTGTGGGAGATGGGTGTTTGCGGAGGGTCTTTCCTTCCCTTGTGAAATGGCCTGCTGAGGTGGCTGCACCTTTCAGAGGTGCCTGGGTTTGTGTCTCCACTGAATAGCAATGCTGTCTTGACAAGCTGTGTAGAAACACATAGAAACTGGTGATTTCATAGCTAATGACAGCTGAAATACATTTCACACAGAAGATTGGGGTTGCTCTGGGGTGTAGCCAGGTATTGGGAAGAAAAGCTGATGCCAGTAGTGATGGGGTGCACGCAGCAACCACAGTGACACTGATTCCCTGAGTAAAGTGGATCTTGTGACCCCATCTGCTGCTTCAGCCTGCTCACCTCATCTTCTTGCATAGTGCATCCTGTGGTTCTCTTGGTTCCTGTGCAAGCAGTACAAGCGATGAGATTGTGGCTTGCTGGTGGTGATTGCAAACGGAGGCTTTTTGGGCCCTTTGATACAATGCATAAAAGGACAAATTGATTGTGTCCAGAGCCAGGTGAATGAAGGGCCCAAGCACCTTGCTTTAGAGCACCTATGTTGAAAATATCTCCAGCTTGCAGAACTCCCTTTTGATAATTTGCCTTTATTTATCCAATATGAGTGCTTTTATTTGAAGAGACTGCAGGTAGTTTCTCAGAAAAGTTAGAAGATGAAATTCCCACAAGTTCCTCTACCAGAACAAGTCCTTTAGTGAGGATGGCACGGAACTGATAGTGTGGAGAATATTAATTAATAATTCATTTTTTCCCAGGTGTCTCATACTGCATTTGTCTCTGTAATTGAATTTCATGAAGGCTTGTGATCTTCTGATAAGTTTTTTCAAAAATTTGTAATCTCTCATTTTGGTGAGCAACTTGAACATGACTATAGTAGGCAACATTTATAAAGCAGCTATAAACTATAATAAGTGATTCTAAATAAGTGGTTAATGTTCCATCAAATAGAAATTTGAAATATTCTATTTGTTTTGCCCAATAGTTTTCTAAAAACAGCTTGCTTAATCAAAAGACATATCACAATGACTTGCTCCTATGTAAATGATACAATACCAATAAATAATATTGCTCTATCGATAGCCAGTATTTTTTAAAAAATCAAGCTCTTCTATTATTGAAATTAGTCCCAGATAAAAATAAGGTTTTATTTGTTTGTTTTTGTTTACTTATGTACATTATTAAGTCTTGAACACAGGTTATTTATTTTTCAGGTTTCCCTCCATGAAATGTCAACCAAGAAAGAACAAATAGCTGAAGCTCTGCAGACTACCCAGTCATTTTTAGCTAAGCACAGTGACAAGTATGCCATTTTTTATTTTTCAAAGAATGTAAATTAATTGAATCAATATATACTGTTTGCTTTAAAAGAAATCATATCCTTATAGATCTAATTGCATGTCACGTAGCGTTTGAGGGTTTTTCATCTTCCCATTTGGTGAAGCTTGATGCAATTTTGCTGATTTCAATAATTTGATTTGGTTTTTATACCTCTGGTCATCTTAAAAATATTAGCTATTTAAATTTCCATTTCAAATCAAAATAATTAACAAATTTGTAGTAAATGGGTACTTGAACTACCTATCACAAGCTTGTTTCATTTGTGTCTGAAAAAAAACGGTTTAAGTTACTAAATTGCTGAGATATCTCATGACTCCTTGATGGTTATGTTACCTGTCTTGACTGATAATTAGTAGACAAAGGCCCATGGAAAGGTTAAATGCTTCTTTTCCTGAATAACTGCAATCGGATTGTAGCTTTCTTGAACATCTTTGTAATTAGGCTGTATTTTTTCCAGATTACTCATACTAATTTCTCCTCCCCATTTTTAAGTAAAGGTAGGCAGATCGCTCCCAACAAGTTACAAATTACCCAGAGATCTCCTTATTAATTTTTTTTTTTTTTTTTTTTTTTTTTTCATGATAGAATGACAGATGAAGAGAGACATGAAATGGAAAAGCAAGTTAGATCCCTCCAGGAAAGCTACAGCTTGTTATCCAACGAAGCTTTGAAGCAGCTGCAGGAAGCACATCTGGGTGATGAAAAGATGGAAGAAAAGGTAACAAGATTCAAACTTAGATTTCAGTTTCTCTTGAGATTTACTGCATGGTTTTTAAATCACACATGATCAGCAAAAGAAGAAGCTGCAATTAACTGTGTTTGGAAGGATCTTGGTATTTAATTGATGAAGGTGTTGTGTATTTGCTATGAAATACTATATGTGTCCTTACTTGTGCACATGAGCATTCTATTCATCAGACTTCTTTTGAAGAGTCTTAATAATGTGTGCCTTGCATGAAGAAAGATAAGCAAATCATTCATCTCTTAACTCTTCTCTTAAAAACCATTCTTTGACTGCTGGATTAGTCTGCATTTCTGCTGCAAAAATGACACCGTAAAATAACATGTTCATCTCTCCCATATATCACTCAGAAATGTCCTAGAAGTGACCTACTTTCAGTTTTTTAAACATTTTTTTCCTGGGTATGAAAATGGGAGGACATAATCCAATTAGCTCTGAGACACTTTGAATATATTTCTAAATGGATATTAGTCTTAAATATGGAGTGAGTATTCTCATATACATATAGAGGCAGAGTCTGTGTAATGAGTTCAGATAATGTTGCCAAACTGACTTCATGCTTTTCATGTGAGCTAAATGCAATATTTGGTACTGGAGTATCTGATTCCATGTTGTTGAGTGTATATACAGAAATGCTGTATGCTGTAAACATGAATAGCATGGTTGTGTTGAATCACATACTGTTTCCAAATATTCTAACCTTTCACAGACATTTATAGCATGGAAATGTGCCTTTCAGGTATATGTTCTATTTGCCCTCTCTGCAATCATTTCTTCTATTGTCTTTCACTAACCCTATTTATGTGTGCAAAGCATAGGTTTTCAATTCACAGATGCATGTTGGTTTTAAATCTTTTATCACATCGTGTGCTGTTGAATGACTGACAAAAATCACTTGTGTATTTGAGCTGCTAACATTCACAACATTCATCCAGGCCTGGTAAGTACAAGTTTTTATGCTTATCTTGCATTCAAAATCAAAAGAATATTTTAAACATACAGTCCAAAAATGATGATAACTTTTCTTTTATCTTCCCTTTTAGGTGAATAAAGTCATTGCTGGTGTCATTGACCAAACAACTGGAGAAGTCCTCTCAGTCTTTCAGTCTATTTTAAGAGGTTTTCTTGACTATGACACTGGAATTAGGTTGCTTGAGAATCAGCTGATTCTTTCTGGAATAATTTCTCCAGAATTAGGAGTGTGTTATGATTTGGAAGAAGCTAAGGCCCATGCCTTAATTGATGAGCAGATTCTATTGCAGCTGCAAGAATTAAGTAATGCAAAGAAGCTCATGTCAGAATCATCATTAGAAAATATTCCAGTTGTTTCAGCTTTAGAACAAGGTCTGATTTCAGAACCTCTGGCTATTAAAATTCTTGAGAATCAGCTTTCAAGTGGGTATTTGATTTTGCCATCTATTGGAGAAAAGCTGTCTTTGCAGAATGCTTTCCAGAGAAATCTCATTTCTCCGACATTATATTCCAAACTCCTAGAAAGACAAGATACGTGTAAAGATCTTATAGACCCCAACTGTGCTGAGAAAATTTCCCTTGAACAGATGGTTCATAGGAGCATAATACATCAAACAACAGGGTTAAGACTCCTACCTGTGAAACCACAAGAAAAAGGGAGAATTGTGTTCAAATGTGGAAGGAGGGTAACTATTTTAAGGGCAGCCCATGAAGGGCTCATTGACAGGGAAACAATGTTCAGGCTGCTGGGTGCTCAGTTAATGTCTGGAGGTATCATTGACCCTGACTCAGGGAAACGAATGACTGTGGAAGAGGCCATGAGACAAGGGATGATAGATCAGGACACTGCTTGTGGGATCCTCACACGTCAGGTTCAGACTGGTGGAATCCTTTGTCAAAATTCAGGACAACGCTTGACTGTTGATGAAGCTGTGCAATGCAATTTAATATCATCTACCAGTGCTCTGCTGGTATTAGAAGCTCAGAGAGGCTTTGTGGGACTGATTTGGCCTCACACTGGTGAAATATTCCCCGTATCAACTTCTTTGCACCAAGATATGGTTACAAATGAGCTGGCATTCAAAATACTGAATGATAGAAAGAAAATAGCTGCACTTTACATTCCAGAAACTTGTGAAATAATCAGTCTTGACAAGGCTGCAGAATCAGGGATTATAGACAGTAATACTGTATCTGTTTTGACCAATGTGACTTTACCAGATAAAATGCCCAATGTAGAAGAATTAAAGTCCCCTTGTAAAAATGCTGCAAAATGGTTATCAACTTATGAATTTCTGCCATCTGTATTTCATGGCTGTGATGGGGAACATGAAGTTTCTGGCACAGAAGATCCTGTATGTCATAATCTAGATGAAGCTAAGAAACTATTCATATCTTACCTAATGGTAAATAGTTATATGGATGCAAACACTGGGCAGAGACTTTTGTTATATGATGGACAACTGGAAGAAATCATCAATATGTTGCTGGAAGGTAATAGTTCTGGGTATGATGCTGGTGTGTCAGAAATGGAGTTTAGTAACAAATATGTAAGTTCAAAAGGAATTCACCTAAAGTCAGCAGACAGTGGTCAGGGTGATTTTTCAGGTGCTGAGAATTCTTGTAATAACAGGATATGTAATCAATTTGATGATTTTGAGAGTTACGTATCTTCACAAGAAGATCCCCATGTGTGCAGGCCAGATGTTTGCAATACTCTTGGTACTGAGCAATCAGAATATACACAGGAGATGCAGTTAACTATCCCTGCAGAACTCAGAAATGTAGTAAGCAGTACTCAAAATTCCATGAAGAGAAATGAACTCAGAAGTTGTTTGGAGGTTTCTGAGTGGACAGAACTCTGTAAGCATAACAATGAGCAGACAAATTCAGGAAACATTGAAGAATATCTTCCAAATGACTCAAATACAAGACTTTTATCAATAACAGCAAAAGAAGATATTTCTGTGGGAGACAGTCTGGATAATGAAAACATGAATGATAAAACATTACAAAATTCCTTGAGCGTGAATTATTTGTCAGAGAAGGAAACATGGAGGGAGCTGGAAAGGTGCACGAACTATGGGCCTCCCATATTTCAAGCTGAGGTTAGCAGAATGGTACTGGATAACAGCAAGAAAGATAATTTTCAGAGAAGTCTTGATTGGTCCATCACTGCAGACACTGAATATAGACTTCCAGAAGAATTGGTTAGTCAATGTGGTGTCCCACTAAAGTATGAAGACAATATATATGGTGCAAAACTTCTTCAGGAATATGCAGGTTCATCCCTACAGGACTGTCTTTATAGCTGTGGAAGGCCATCCCTGGAGGATTGTGCTGATTTTCAGAATAAACTGTGTCTAGAAGACAGCATAGACATGCACCATAGGCTTTCATTGGGTGGTGATACTGTCACACATGATGGACCATCTCTGGGGGACAGTGACAGCACAGCACAAAGGCTGACAGTAGAAGAAAATGATCTCATATTCCACAGGTTACTGCCGTGTGACAGTAGTTCTGACTCATCAGTAGAGGGGGGTGATGGCATCCCACAGCTTGAGAGCAACTGCTTGCAGCCTGGATGTGGTGAGGTAGCCTCTGAAGAGGACAGCTCTCAGTTGGATGATGGTGATGATGACGCCTATGAAACACCTCAGGGTGATGATGACAGTGATGTCTATGATACTCCACAAACTGATGATGATGATGATTCCTCTGACACTTCTCAAGGTGATGAGGTGTTTGACACCTTGCAGTTGGGGGATGATGATACACCAGAGCCAGAACTGTCTGGAAGATCAGTTCCATTAGGTTTTCTGGAGGAGAGAGGTGGTCGAATAACACTAAGAGAAGAGACCATCTCTTTACAAGAACTTGCAGCTAATGCTGGAGAGAATGTTCATATAAATGTGGAAAGGCTACCTCAGAGCATAACTATAGCTTCTGCAAATGCCAAAACCATGGAAAAAATCCTTGAGGGAAGGGAAAGAACAGGGAGCTTTGGAGAGAATGATCTAGCCTTACCAGTTACTGTTGAAAGTGAAGGAACAAAGGAAGGAGGCATGAGATATTTACAGAATATGTATGAAGCAGATGTACAAGACAGGAATGAGGAAGTTGAAATGAAAGCAGAAGGTGACCTGTGTGAGGAGGAATCTGAAGGTACACAGGAGGGGGAAGAATATGAGGAGGATTATGATAGTTATGATGACTCTGACACTGATTCTGACAGTGAAGATGAAATGGATATTTTTTATTCCCATCATCAATGCATAAGTAAAGGTGACCAGCTGTTAATGTCTGTAGAAGCTGTAGAAAAGAGCAATGAAAACAATCAGAATATTCATGACTACTGCTATTCTTTAGGCCACAAGACAGGATATACTTTGCAATTCCAGTCTAACCATGAAAATGGAAAACTGTCCTCAGTAATATGTGAATCAATGTCAAATATTTCTGAAGAAAGATGTGTTGGTCTTTCATGTCCCAGTGAGGAAGCCAGACAGCAGGAAACAGAGGATGAATATGGGACTTGTATCAAAAGTGAACACATGACACAAGATACTACTGAGCCTATTCAGTCCGAAAATACCTTTGACACTAAATGGATGTCCACTAAAAGTGAAGAGAATAATGAAACACAGTTTGGAGTTTCAGGTTCTCAGCTTCTTGATGGTACTGTGAAATCTGACATCAGTGTGACAGCCTACCTACAGCAAGCTATTGATGATGACCAAAATACCTGGACAAATTTGCTTCTCTCAGAATGCTTTACTGATAGTGCGAACAAAGACAATAGTACCATGCCAATGTTAGATTCAGATCATGAACAGAGAGAGGCACTGCTTGCAGAGGAAAAAGTATTAAATTATATGGAACAACTAAAGGAAAGTTCATCCCAAATGGACAATAAATTCCTTACAGATACCCCTTATGTGAGTGATAATAGTTCACTTAGGGACCCAATACATCCAGTCACCAGTTGGAAGCATGGTCAGATAGAAAGAGGTTTTGAAATTCTTACAGAAAATAAAAACAGAGTAAATGTTGTGGAGGAATGTGATGTCATGGGGCTAAGTAATAGTCCCATTCAGATGGAAAACCTTGGGGAAATATTTGATGCAACAGTAATTAAAGCTGCTAGAGAATCTCCTGCTGCAAGTAAAGAAAAAGTAAACGTTGATCAAGGTTTTCTTGACATGCAAGGGGCAAGATCAGATGAATTTAAGAGAGATGGTAACATTTTTGCTTCTTTAAAACAATATACAACATGCATAAAAGAAGGCCATTCAGAACTCAATAAAACTGAATTCTGTTTTGAGGACATGGAAAGAGGGGAAAAAGGTGTACGGAATGAAAAGGATTTTCTGCTAAATATGGAAGAAATGCATTCAAGTGAATGTAACACTTACACTTTCCCCCCACCTGATACAGTGAAACCAGAGGAGATTAGCATAACTAAAGAAACAGGGAGACTTAACTATCAAAATACTGACAATGTTCTTCTAGACATTCCAGAAAACAAAAGCAGCAATGATAGTGAAATTTCCCCCACAAAACTAGATGCTTTAGGAAGTACTGAGGATGTCAAAGAGTTAGGGGATGGAAGTGAACTGTTACCTACTGGGAGACATACCCATACCACTGATGTTTCTTCTGCAATTCTGAGTAGCATAGAGACTAAGTTGAATTACAGTGCCCAGAACAAGCATGAGATGCTGAAAAACACAAAGGGAGAAAATGTCATGGTCAGTGAGACTTCCTCCCTTGGAAATGGTTTCAAAAAACAAATGTCTATGGAGTCATTGCAAAAAGAAATGGGATCCTGCAAAGACTTTCAAGTAAAGGAAGGTGTTTCACAATCAGCAGATGTGTCTGACACACTAATGGAAGATTTACAGAATATATTACAAAGGAAACTGAAAATGGGACATGTTTACTGCAAGCAGGAAGGGGGACCCCTAAGTTATTCTGATACTAGAACTTTAACGCAAAATTTACTTAAAATGGTTCGAAGCACTCAGCTTGAGAGTGAAATGTCTAGTGGGTCAAATCTGAAGCAAATAAGCAATGCTGTTAGAGCTGCATTAATGATCACCACGCTGCGTACAGAGCCCAAGGACAGTGATGCTCCTTCTCTGCTTTGGCGTGATTGCAGAAGTCCTGATCTTCTTCATGATATTCTGAAGCAGGAATCCTGCAAGCAAAAGACAGCTGATTCAGATGAAAGGAAGAGTGAAACAGACATGAAAGCTCCTGTTCCCAAGCTTGCTACCAGTGAACTTCTGGAAATTTTTCAAATATCACTTCTAGAAGAAAGTACAAGCAAGTTAGAGGAGCTGATAAATGGTTTGCTTAGGAGTTCACAGGTTGCTGATGTCACCACAGAGCATGAGGGTAAAGGCAAAGGAGATGGGCTTTATTCTCTTTCCTCAACAGAACAATCAGAACTTGGATCAGAAATTGATGAAGATAAAACATTGGTAGATAACACAACTGCTACTTGGAAAAGTGATCGAGAGCATGGGAAGACAGAAAGCCTGTCCAAAGGCTTCACTGAGCCTGTTTTGAAAACAGAGGAAGCAGTCATGGGAGACACCCCCACTAGCATGGTAAGTAACAAAAATATGTGCTCTGTGTCCGGTGTTAGTGGAATTGCATGGATCTTTCCGAGTGCTGGAGAGAACAATTTAACTGGAAAAGTGGTTGAAAAATTAGATTATGAATTTAAAATAAATCATAATGAACCCAAGGACTTTTATTACTTATTTTCAAGTCCGTTTGGAAAATCCTTTCTTATTTTTAAAACTCATTTTCAGTTTGATGGAGTACAGCAATGTTTAAAGTTAACAGAGAAAATGCAAGAACATTTGGCAGTGCTTCAAGATATGAAAACCCACCTAGATAAACAGCAGCCTATTAGTAACAGCCTGGAAATACTAAAAGCTGAACTGGAACAGCTAGAGGTAAGTAAAGTGTTGTTTATGCTTGTACTTCAGTGATGGGTGCTAGAAATAGCCCTTAGGTTTAGAAAGGGAGATTCAAAATGTAACTAAAGCAATTCTGATTTAAATGTTTTTCCTACTAACTTAATGCATTTTTTATATATTCTCTTTGTAGTCATTCGAATCAAGACTGGCTACCTTTGCAATCATCCTAAAAAAGGACATGAAGCTGGCAGAAGAATTCTTAAAATCTTGTAACAGGGATATTCCAGAAGAGAAAGAACTAAAGATAAGCTATGATTCTTTGCAGGAAGCATTTTTGGTGGTCTGTGATAGATCTTCAAAACGAGCAAAACAAATAGTCTGCGCTGTTGACTTGGAAATGGTATGTTTTTCAGTGTATGTTTTTACCTTGATTTTCTTCAAGGTAATTGGGCTAAAATAAAGGAATTTTGGATTTTCTTTATTTTATCTTAGTATAAAGACACATGTATGATTCAATTTAATATGGTAGAAAATATGAGTAGACTCCAGGAGCATAAATAAATATACAACTTCCCTTTCTAGTCTAAACTTGCAGGATTACACCAGCAACTTTTAAACCAACTGCAGAGATTTTCAGACTGGATCACAGAGAGCAATAAAATCATGAATGACTTCACAATGAATGCTAATGATATAGAAGAGATGAAGAAAAGTTTACAGCTATTTAAAGTAAGTGCTTTTTATGGCAGATGTTGATGTTTCTGACAAACATTGCTCCTTATTATTTATTATTAGCTAGGTTTTTTTATTAATTCTCAATAACTCTATTGCCTAAAGAGATGGCTGGAAGTAATTACTTAGGAAGACAACTATTAGATAATCCAGTAATAAAATCTTGTTGACTTGCTTTTTCACTTGCAAAAAAAGTTTCATAGAGTTAGGATTACTGAGAAAGCTGTTGGTTCTACTTACATTTGCAATCAATCCAAACCCTTTAGAAATTTAATTTATAATACAAATATTTAAGTGATTAAAATTGGATTTTTATGCATTGGGTTCAGAATCTTTACTGCAGGTTAGTTGTCTTCCAAATCAGTTATATATGAGGGCACAAGATGGGAAAAAAGTGTCTTCACTACACGCTCCATAAAATGAGTAATGGAAAACAAAGCAGTTCAAATTTTTAGTAAAGTTCATATGCTTCTATATGTATGAATAACAAAAATTATTTTAGTTGTTTTAATGTGCCAGAGAAATGGTATGGCCATAGGGGCTCCACATTGTGTAGCTGTTGGCAGAATTTGCCACATCGCTAGAAATGGTGACATTCTTGCTGTGGAGTTAAGAATAGGAATGATTTCAAGTATGTTAGGAATAGGAATGATTTCAAGTATGTTTTTTAAAATTTATGGATCTTCCAAGCTAGAACCTAGAAATATTACATATAACCTGCCATAAATCTTTTAGAGTTGAAGATCAGTCAGTTTTCAAACATCTATGTGAGAGCAAAGAAATGGAGTTGTACAAGATCACATATTTTATTCCTTGGACTCGAGCTGTTCTGAGGCAAACCATGCACAAGTTCTAATGTCATACCTGACTGAGTATGAATCAATATGATTCTGAGTTTTGATTTTCCATGGCAAAATTTTCTACCAAAAGCATTTTGGGATAAGGGCTAAGAAGAGATGGTAGCCATACTTGTGGTTTATTTGTACTCAATTTTTCTTTGTTGCTAGTAATTCCCTTCACTTCATTTACAGAACAGTGCTGCAGAGCTCAGCTGTAAAAAAATGCAACTGGAGTCCACTGCGTTTGATGTTCAGTTCTTCATTTCTGAACATGCTGAAGATCTTTCTCCTAATCAGAGCAAACAGCTGTTGAGGCTGTTAAATACCACCCAGAAATCTTTTCAGGAAGCACAGGAAGCAATAACTTCTCAAGTGGAAAGTTTAGAGACTCAATTACAGGCAGTGCAAGAGCTGGGTGATCAGAAGGTTTGCCTTTCTGTGTAAATGTGTGCTGAATGTTTCTGTCTATGGATGAGAAATTTTAATAGCAGCATGCAATATTGAGTGTATTTCTATCTTTTCCCTTTTTACTACAGATACATTTCTAGTTCTACAAAAATGATATTGATGAAATTTGGTGACTTATAAATTTTGTCTTTCTTTGTTATACTCACAGAAATAGCATATTAAATTAAGAACAGACACTGGTCTGCTCTTTCTGGAAAGAAGAGATATTTGAGAAACTTGAGGTTTCTCACAAGTGTTGTTTCTTCAGCAGCTCTATCAGTAATTGATTTGAGCTATACTCATCACTGAATTTACTATTGCACCGTTCCATAACACTTTGGTCTTGCTGAAGATTTTCTTTCCCTTTAATTTGCCAGGTCATCTGCTTATCTGATCTTTTCTCTAGATCTTCATAGTCCAAGAACCAGATTTGTTAAAATCCGTGTATTATGGATTGTTTTGACTGAGATGGTGTAGAGAGACAAACATATGAGTAAATCAGCCAAGATACTTGCAGTTTTAGGTGTGGGCACTGGGAAAACTGTGAGTCAAATTGGGCCAGTTATTTCTTCAGCAAGTGTAAGCAGCCTTTGTAGACTCAAAGGAGGCTGGTAAGATTCTGCAGCTTAATAGCACCTCCTCTCATGGTACCACTGCTAGGAATCAGAATCACCAGCTCAGCCCCTGGTTTATGTGTAAATAAAAGTGCTTTAATATTCTGAATACTTTGTATTGTTTTGCCATTCCAAGAACATTTATTTCTACTATATTTTGTGAAAGAAGCATAAAATTGAGTATAGGAAAGGCATAGATAAGTTTTCTAGGACTTTTTAACAATAATGAGCTTGCATGTTTTGTTCTTCTCTACTGCTTAAAAAGTTCACAGTTTCTATTCAGGTAACATGTTATGCATACCAAAAAGAGCTAACTCACATTCACAACTAACCTCTGTTTTGATGTCCTTTTTTTCAGAATTAATAGTGTTTATCACAGGTTTCAAGTGGTTAAGAGACTGGATTTTCACTCCTGCTGTTTGGAGATTTCATCCTTCACATATGTGCATGGCCAGACTTCTATTGGGCAATTCCATCAAACATGGTCTCTTTTACTTAAAACATATTTGAGGTTTATCCATAACTTCTGTATGTTCATCTTGCTCTTTGTACCACTGCTATCATGTTTACAGCATACTTTTAAAGTTATTGCTTGCAATATTGATGTTCAAGAATTTCTAATATCTTTTAGAGTGTTGGTTCCTACACTGAGGATTTTTTGTCTTACTGTTCAATTGTACTGGGCTCTAATATAGGATGTGGCTGAACGGCAGCAGGAATGCAAAGAGAAACTGCAGGAAATCTGTGATTTGCTTACACAGACTGAAAATCGACTCATCGGACAGCGACAGTCTCTTGTTATTGGAGACAGCAAGGCTGAGCTGGAACAATACCAGACCAAACAGGAGGTATGCACAATTCTAGCCAGAGAAGTTAAAGAAAGCTGAGTGCATAGGAGAGTGACTCGATTCTTTTGTTGACTAACAAGGCTTGTCATGTGAGAGGAGAATAAAACAGATTTGTTTGACCTACCAAAAGTAAAGCCTTAGTGGTATGCATTTAAACTGCTGCTTGGGAATACTCTCCAGTATGTGCCAGTGGGAGAAGAGAAACTTCCAAATGGAAGACACTAAAATAGGGAGTATGTGCTACACATTTCAAGAAGCACTCTTGAAGCAGGCGTGAATTTTGTTAGTTTATTAGCTTAAGATTGTTCCTGTTGAACGTGATAAAATCACATATGTTTATTATGCTAAAATAATATAGCCAGGTTTTTAACTGGTATTAGAAAGTGTTCATTCCTGTTCAGAGTACTTTGAAAAATCTTGCTGCAATGTTTTCTCTAGCCTGAGGCCTTCCATTGCTTCGCTCTTGCTTTGTTTTTAATTCTGGTTCTTATTAGTGTTTCTTGCAATCTCTTTGGTGTCCTCATGTAGCAAACCCCTTTGAATTGGTTTACTTTCCCTGCTCTACAGCTGTATCCAGTCATCCATAAGCTTTTACTCTCTCCTGATACAAATTGAGTTTATGGTAGTTAAAGGACTGAAGGGTTTGGTACTCTTCTTCTTCCTCTTCCTAGTTTACTAATATACTATACTGTAGAGCTCCAACTCTCTGTAAAAGGAGAAATTTTCTTACTCATCTTGCCTTGCTTTACTTATCTTTGAAATAATGCATCTAGTTTGTCAAAGTTGTTCTTACAGTCAGTCAGTCATACAGACACCCCTGGGGTAGCTTTTAATATCTCTTACCTGTCTTAAGGATTTATGGACTAAATGGGGTACTCCTGGGGAGCCAATAACGTACAGAGCTTCATTTTTTTTTAATCAGCTGTTTGTGACTGCCTAGCAGACTAGTTATTTTCTGACTGATTTCTTGGTATCACCATTCAAAAAGTGCCTTAGGAGGGAATGGGGGTTAAAACCAGTCTTTTATATATCAAGTCAGAACTTTCATCCTCTGTGTGCTGTTTGAAAGAGCACAGAGATCTTGGTCACAGGAGAAGCTTCTCTTGATAAAGGGTTCTCAGGAAAATATTTCTAATTTACTTGCTGAATTGTTAAAATGAGCTGCAGTTTTATCTGCTATATTCTATAATTGCTGCAAAATCTGTAGTCTAGAATGAGGATCAAATGTTCTGTTTTGCATCTCCAATCTGTTACACTGCACAAGAAGGTGAAAAATGTCATTGTTTCAGTAACTGGGGGAATGTATTCAACAGTGTAATTGTTACAATTAAAGCTCCTCTCAGATAATTGGGAGGCAGACTAGGAAGACTGCTTTGGGTAAATTGAAAGTAAAGATCTGTCCTCTATGAAATTTAATGGAAGTAAACATTCTTGAGAGACTGAAATATCATGATTGATTACAATAGAAGAAAAAAAAATTGTATGCCATCTCCGGCCTGAACAAACTCAAGAAATATGGGAAAACTTACCCAGGAAAGATTATTACAACTTTCTGACTTCTATTCAGACAGCTTATTTTCAGCAGCTTTCTGTTAGGATAGTAATGGACCAGAATTTGTCAGTAGACTCACTTTACTAACTGCAGTGTAGCAGATTTACTTAAGTCTTGATTTCTAAAAAAATAAATATATGTTCTGCATATGTGGAAACACAATATTTAAACTGTTAAACAAAGGGGAAAAAGTAGACTCAGAGTCTGAGTAGGACTGTAAGCAAAGAGATTTACAATTTGAAAAAAAGATTGAGCTGCAACAACATTGTCAGATGTGTGCCTTTGATTTTAATAATTGTCTGCAATTTATTAACATATGTGCAGCTAGGAAGGACCAGTGTGGTGCTTACCCCTAGAAGAGAGATAGTTCAATTAAAGTTAATTGGAAAGATCTCATGAATAATTTACTGACTCCTGTTTGCTTTCTTTTTTATCGAAAGGAGATACAAAAAGACATGAGAACAAGTGCCCAGACACTGGCAGAGATTGTGAAAAATACTGAAACCTTCTTGAAAGAGAATGGAGAAAAGTTGTCACAAGAAGACAAGACTATTCTGGAACAGAAACTAAATGAAGCTAAGACAAAGTGTTTGCTCCTTAGCCAGAAGGCAGAAGAGTCCAAAAAAGAACTGGATAAAGCTATGACAACAGCAATTAAGCAGGAAACAGAAAAGGTTTTTAAGCAACCGTTTCATACCTTTATTCAAACCTTTTTCATGTCTTATGAAATTAGTTGTGCAACTTACAGTTGTGTGGTGGTTGACCTTGTCTGCCAAAAAGCCATTCCATCACTTCCTTACTTAGCTGGACAGGGGAGAGAAAAATTAATGAAAGTCTTGTGGATTGAGATAAGGGCAGGGACACATCACTCACAGCTGCTGTCACAGGCAGAACAGGCTTGACTGGGGGAAATTAATTTATTACCAACCAAATCAGAATAAGATAATGAGAAATAAAAACGAAATCTTAAAGATACCTTCTCTTCACCTCTCCCTTGTTCCTGAGCTCAGCTCTGGAGTTCTCTCTGTCATTCCCACCACTGGTACCAGGGGGATGGGGAATGTGGGTTGTAGTCAGTTCATCACATCATTGTCTCTGCCACTCCTTCCTCCTCAAGGAGAGTACTCCCCACACTTCCTGTGCTCCATTATGGGGTCTCTCTCGCAGGAGACAGTCCTTTATGAACTTCTCCAATGTGAGACCTTCCCAAGGGCTCCAGCAGGGTCCCTTCCATGGGGTGCAGTCCTTCAGGCACACTGTTCCAGTATGTGGAATGACCCCATGGGGTCACAAGTTGTGCCACAAGCCTGCTCAGCTGTGGGCTTCCCACAGGGTCACAGCTCCCTTTGGTCATCCATGGGGTCTTCCTAGGGCTGTAGGTGAATCTCTACACCCCTGTGGCCCTCCAAGGGGCACAGCTGCCTCACCATGGGCTGCACCAGGGGCTGCAGGGGAATCTCAGCTCTGGCACCTGGAGCACCTCCTTCCCCTCCTTCTACACTGACCTTGGGGTCTGCACAGCTGTTCCTCTCACATATTCTTACCCCTCTCTTCAGGCTGCTGTTTGCATGCATTTTTTTTACCCTTTTACTGTGTGATCCCAGAGTTGCCACCACCACTGCTGATGGGCTTGGCCTTAGCAAGTGGTGGGTCCATGCTGGAGCTGGTGGGCTTTGGGTCTGTTGGACATGAAGGAAGCTTCTGGTAGCTTCTCAGAGAAACCAGCCCTGCAGCCCGCTCCGATTCCAAAACCTGGCCAAGCAAACCCAATACATATTGATAAACTGTGGAGAGGTTAATGTCATATTTCATTTGGGTAGCTAATAAACTCTATTCTATTATTTTCTACTATTTTATATTTATACTATATGTTTTATATTTATACTATTTTATATTTCTCTTATAAAATAAACAGCAACCTCTATATTAATAAAAATTTTCTTTGATGTTAATGTATTTTAAATGGTTTATTTGTATATTTATTTGAGATTTTGTGATCTTTAAAGAAGATTTCTGAATTGAAACTGTGAAATTTCAATATAGGTTGCAGCCATAGAACAGCTGGAAGAAAGTAAAAATACAATAGAAAACCTTTTGGATTGGTTATCAAATGTGGATAAAGAAGCAGAGCATGGCTGGAAATTTAAGCAAGTGATAGAACAGAATGGAACACACTTTGAAGAAGGAGATATGAAAGTTTTGGAAGGAGAGGAGGATGATGTCAATGGGAATCTGCTGGAAATGCAGCAAGACATTGAAACAGAGGTGGATGGACTAGTGAAAAGCATAGATGATAATCTGAACCAGCAGTATCAGAAAGTCAAGGTATTGTTACTGGTTTATTCAACATTTAGGTGTACCACTCCTTATTCAACATATGTGAACTCAATCTCATCCTGCCTGTCATAGGCTTTAGCGCAAGTTCTAGGAAGATAGTAATACACAGTGGTAGGAATTTCAGTAGTTAGAATGTATTGCACATTTGTCACTTTTTTGCTTTACTGTAGTTGTTTCCTGCAAAATAAGAGAAAGGACACATTCTGCAAGGGAATTCAAAAGAATCTTTGTGGTGTGTCTATTATTTTTCATAGTGAGAAATTGGTGCAGGCAAATAAAATGCAAACAGTAGCAATATAAATTCATGCCCTTTATGTGACTTTTTCAAGTATCTCTGTGATACCCAGGTGATTCATCCCCTTGTGAATACAGATTGCAAATTGCTGCAAATAATAGTTTACTGAAATTATAGTTTTCATTTCCTACAACTTTAACACATGGGCAAAGCAGTGTTTCAAGGCTTCAGAACAGTGAGTTACATAAAATCACAATGCAGCATTTTAAAAATAGATTTTCCTGGTAAGTTGGAAGCATTTAAAATAATAAGAGTTAATTTTATTTGCTGACTTACGGCTGAGAAACCAAGAACCTTTAGGTTCTTAAAGGAAGTTTAAAATTTCCTTTACCTTAAAGGAAATTTTTATGCTTTTAGCTGATAGTATTTTGGATTTCCTTTTTTATTAAAAAGAACCAAAAATCAAAACCCCAAAAGCAACCTAAGGAAATAGGATTATTGGGTTTTATGTACATGATATTTTTACTTCTATTTTTTTGACAGTTAATTTCTGCACTTAGTGCCTACGGAATAATTGACCACTACAGTCATGGGATAAAAACATACTGTTTATTTTACATAGCTATTTTTCATTGAAGACCTCCAAGAATGAAGAATTTTTTGAAAGAATATATTTGGAATATGTTTTTAATTTGGAATATAGTACTAGTTCCTGAACTTAAATATTTTTATGGGATTGAAAAATTTGAAAGCACAGATTGGGTCTTGATTTTTAATGTCAACTGGATCTATTTTATTAATAAGTATATTTGATAAGAATCATGGCTCTTGATTTTGAAAAATGAAATTTCAAAACCCAAGAAATAATTTTTGTTCACTGAGTGTAACAAGAAAGTATCTGTACTATGTTTGATGTTTTTACTCCTTTGGGTCTGTTTGTCTGTAATGGTAGCTACAATATAAGTAATGGGACATGGAGAGTTTTGATTTGGAAAGTTGCACACCTTTGAATGTTTTATTTGTTAAATCCCATTTTGACACAGAGAATTAGGAAATTTTTGATTACACTAAGTAAGATACCATAAATGCTAAATAATAAGCAAATTAATTCTTTTAGGAAAAAAAGTTAGAGTTTGATAATGTCTAGTTTTGCTCTACAGAGTTTTGGAGTTTTAGAATTACAGGGGAAAATGTCTGTGTGATATATACATCCAGGTATTGCTGAGTTGCAATGATACTTGAACATTTCCATATGGTCATGGCCTGTACATTGGGCAAAAATTACCACTGAATGTTTTGTAAAAGTTTTTTAGCTGCACAGAAATATGGTGACCAAGAGTCACACTTTCACTTAAATTACTGAAAAAATGTGGGGTTTATAATAAACAATATGAAAATTAGAAAAACCTTTTATAATTTTAATGGTCTTTGTTTTACATGTCCTTTACTAAGGAACCATGTGAGAGGGTGCTGGTTGTAATTTATTCTTTTATTTGTAGGCTCAACATGAGAAAATTATTTCACAGCAGCAGGCTATCATAGTAGCAACTCAGTCTGCTCAGGCACTGCTTGAGAAGCAAGGGCATTACCTTACCCCTGAAGAAAAAGACAAGATGCAAAGGAACATGAAAGAGCTGAAGGCTCAGTATGAGACTGCTTTGGCTGAATCAGAACGAAAAATGAAATTGACCCATTCTCTAAGGGAAGAATTGGAGAAATTTGATGCAGACTATAGTGAATTTGAAACGTGGCTGCAGCAGGCAGAGCAAGAACTTGACAATTTGGAGGCAGGGGCTTCTGACTTCAGTGGTATTATGGTCAAACTGAAAAGGCAGAAGAGTTTTTCAGAAGATGTTATATCTCACAAAGGTGATTTACGCTATATTACAATTTCTGGACAAAGAGTTTTGGATGCTGCGAGGTCGTGTAGCAAAAGAGATGGTGTGAAGGTTGACAAAGATGGTATCGATACTTCGGCTACATATGCTGAAGTACAAAACAAACTGGATAGAGCTTCAGATCGCTTCAAGTCTCTCTATACTAAGGTAAGTTTTATTTATACTGAATAGATATGACTACTGTAATTGATTTAGCAATATATGTAGACAGGAGCTAGTTGATGAAACAAACACTGTGAGAAGTGGTAAATTCTTTGTTTCTTGAAGTTAGATAACAGGACAAGATGCCTTTCTAGAAGATCTACTTTAGTCAAGTGTCAGACTATTAATGGTCTGAATGGCTGATAGTTTACACTTTGTGTTATAAGGAAGTAAAGAGACCAGAGTCTTTCTTTGTTCTTTCCAATCTTAAACAGCCTCCGAGTCTGTGGCAGCTCAGACTGCCTTGAGTAATGTTTTGGGGTGAAAAGAAATTGTAATACTTTCAGCTGGATAATATTACTTTATGTCACTTGCAATATTTCCCACAGCTGTTTATATATCTGCCTCCCTACTAATAAAATGAGTGTAAAAAGAGAGAGAATATTCCAAATATAGCATGTAAAGTTTTAATTTTAATTTGTATCCTGAAATAGTTTGTCCTGATGTGACTTTTGTTGTCAGCATTAGGCATGAAAGAACTTAGTGATTTAAGGGCAGCAATTATTTTCCAATGCTCTGCCAAGTAAACATTTTATCCTTAACAATGTCAGATTAGTGTCTAACTAGTGGGTAATTAGCAGTGCAAAATCCTCCATGTACCGTAGAGAGGGAAAATAATCTAGCTCTCTGTGCCAGGTTCATGTATGGAATCTGCCTGATAGAACTAGACAAACATCACCAAGTAGTCTCACATGCCAATTTCCAGCTGTTTTCAAAAAAACAAGTGTTCGATATTGATAATATTCCAGAACTTTAAACTCTTGAGATAATTATTAATTGAGCCATTGAAGAGAGTTGCTGTCAATAGCCTTTGATTGTGCTATTTCATATTTTTATAAGCTCATAGGTTCAAACTCCTTAGTAGAGATTCAGTGTCTTAACTGGTACAGTGTTGGACTGCAACAGTGGCCATCTTTATCTGGAAATTTTTATCTCTTTAAGGTTTTTATGCTCAGAAATGTAAATTCTGTAAAGACGTGTATTTTATTGCATGGTTAAAAAAGTAGTGTAGAACTTATTTTCCCAGTGTGTCAAGACAGCTGTTCATTTACAGAAGCACATTTTCCTTTTCCTGCTTAACCAGTATGAACAGGGTAGCTAAATTGTCAATTCTGTTGACATGTTAGATTTATCCAGTTGGTTTATTGAATTACTTTGAGTATAAATGTAAAGATTTCTTAGAAAAATTTTCAGAGAGCTTATTTTTATGCACATAAAAATCCCATGCCAGCAGCTTGATTTGTCAATTTTCCAAATTCTATCCTTTCCATATATACGTTTATCAGGGTTATAAGAGACATGCTTTAAGTATTTGACAATAGATGTGCAGAACAAGGTAGACCTTTTGGTGTCTTTATGGATAGAATTCTAAAAAATGAGATTGTCCACAATTAGTGAGATTTCCCAAGAAAATAAAAGATTTGTAATTTGTAAATTAATTGGTAGTAACCTTTTTTGACTTATGTAGATATTTATATTGCTTTAATACTTAGATTACTTTTACTTTTATATATATGTATTTTCACATGTGTGAGACATGATTTTATAGGCTTGTATGGTGAAGTTCTTGGTTAACTGGTCATATAAATAAGCATGTTCTATGTCTGCCCACCAGATGGAGACCAAGTACCATTTTTGAATATTAAAATACAGTATCTGGAAGGTTCAGACTATAAATATTTAATGTAACTGTTTATAAATATTATGACTTGATACAATCAGAGTTTGCTTGTGAAACCATCTCCAGAAAGTCTGAAAAAGTTTCACTGACTTTTTTATGCGACAATTTGCTATAAACATTTTGGGGCATGCTAACATATAGAACTAATAGGGGCTTGTTCAGATAGCATTTTTAAGTGAATAAAACAAAGCATATGTAAAATACAAGCCATATTACTTTGGATTCACTATGCAGGTAAGGAAGTTATGAAAACAGTATTCCACTGTCTGTATTTTAATGAACATACATACCTCTCATGATTTTTAAAAAAATGCCTAGCTTCTGGTGGCTCCCTACATTTCTACTTTCTACTTGCTTTCTACATTTTTGGTACCAGAGTTCTGATAAAGAATCTTTATATCACTGAATCAAACATTATTCCTGAAGTTTTTTCCTATTTTAGTACAGCAAGTAAGAGTCCAGTTTCCCACCTGCATTAATGATTTAATCCTAAATCACCCTTTAGGAGCACAAACTAGTAAGAACTGCATAGCCTGTCCAGCTGTCACGTCTTAGTTCAGAAATCATTTAGACAGTGAAATGATGGCAGGAAAAAATGATGCAGGATAACAGGAATGCATGTATAACTTTGAGATTAGTATGAAATGCAGCACACAGTTAATGCCTACATATTTGTTTGTTTCTTTTTTAATCTTTTAGTGTAGCATCCTTGGAAATAACCTTAAAGACCTGGTGGATAAATACCAGCATTATGAAGATGCCTCATCTGGACTTTTGTCAGGCCTCCAGGCCTCTGAAATAGCTGTGAACAAACAATTGTCAGAGCCAATTGCAGTGGATCCCAAAAATCTCCAAAGACAACTTGAAGAAACCAAGGTGAAAAGCTTTAAAATGCAGCAGCACTTTTGTCCTAAAAGGAACTACTTTTTGTCTGGCAAGCAGGATGATCTAATATAATCCAAGTGGCTGCAGGCCAAATTCTTGCCTTGCATGGGGACATACAGCTTCTATGGTTCTGAAATTTGCCTGTCCAGAACAATATCTGAAAAGCAATGGATGAAAAAATGGGGTACCAAAATGCCATTAACAGTTGTGAAAGCAAGATGTGTTTTCTGTTTCTTAGCAAATGATAGGGTGAAATCTAGCAAGTTTTTGAATTAAGAAAGGATTTCATGATTGTGGTTTGCTGTCAGTATAAGGCTTGGATAGGGTTCCAGATAGAGCAGTCCGTTTGATTGTGGTCTGTGACTCTTGATTTTTTTTTTTTTTTTCTGTTCACATTTGTGTGTTACTTCATTATGAAAGGGTCATACCAGGTGGACAGTGTTATGTGAGTAGTCTGTCTGCCTGTTTCACTTTCATCCAGTGCTGTATAGCCTGCAGAGAGTGAATTTAACATAATTTGTCTTGCACAGAAAAACAGTGGTTTTTATGTTTTGCCACTGAGGATGTAACTCATGGCTTTATGTAAATCCTAGTACAGGCAAGACAAGTTAGTGATAGAGCTTGTGAAAGTAAAACTCTGGATACCTCTATAAAGTATAGGTTTGGAGAAGGCTTTAGGAAGCCAAGCATATGGTGAGTAATATAAAGTTTCATACAGTCTTCATCTTTGAACTGACTGTTATATTTTCATAAACACATTCAAACACTTATACTATAATAAAATGCAAGATTATTTGTTTTTTAGTGAGCAAGACTAATGGTCATGCACTTCCTCACTGTTTTGTCTGTGCTTGGTGAAGTATCAGTGCAGGTCAGACACATTTACTATTGAAAAATCATAGTCAAGGGCTTTTGGAAAGTACATTAACCATTTCCCTCACATCAGCCTGCGCAGTAGTTACCTCTATCTGTGGTGCCTTTCAAATCGGCCACTGGAAATGCCCAGCACTTTGATGCATGGCAGCAAAAGGAGACAAATCACAGCTGTGTTTAAGACAACAAAATTAAAAGTGTAAATTGTGAACTCCTAACAATGAATGTTTAGGTACATTTGTACTTTGAAGCACTGAAAGAGTAGGAATAAAACCAATTACAATTTGAAGCTTCATTTAAACTTTTTGTTCCTTATGCCAAAATGAATTATATTCTCTATAATGCAAATTTGCATGGATGTAATACAAAAGAAGTGAGTACTAGGGTTCTTTTTATGAAATGTCTACATGGATTACTTCCCACACAAAAGAGTCCTCAATGGCTGTGAGTTGGGAAGAAGGGAGAGGGTACAAAATGTCAAAAGATTCAAAGGAAGAGAAAAAACAGGAGGCTGAAGAAAGCAAGCCAATTAATGAAAGCAAAACAGAGTATTTTGAGGAAGTCAGGTGTTGCAAGTTAAAGCTGTCCCTTGTAGCCAACACATGCAGCTGATAATCCAGCTAGACACAGACCTTGGCAGCATGGTGAGGTCTAATCTTTTTATGGGGATTAACTGTTCTTCAGAATATTCTTCACTGCCTCTGGCATCAGCTTGCTTGCCTTCTGTTAGTATACAAGGTTTTCTGGTACATCTTTTTCTTTCTTTTTTTTTTTTCTTTTTTTTTTTCTTTCTGCACAAGTGCTAGCCTAAGCCTCTTCAGATCTCTTGGAGACTCATTGTGTCATATGTGTCAGCAAGGTGATGTACTGTGCACTGGCACACTCATGCTCAGGGTATCAGTGCTGAATGCGCTGACAAGACTTCTTTGTGCTGGCAGAGCACATAGGATTACTTTCTGATTCATATATTCATTGAGTGTCAATGAATATAAAAAAATAAATGAGATGTCCCTTCATTTTGGACTTACATAAGTTTCAAGTGAATCAAAGTAAACACTAGCACAAGGGCCTGAAGTAATTTAAAGATTATTTACCCTTGAGTACTTTTACACACTAGAGAGATAAAACCACTAGAAATAGATTCAGCCTTACTGTTTTTGTTGGCTCTGGAGAAAATCGTGGCTGGGCTAGCCTCTGAACATGTGTTCCTTGGTTAGATGGACACTCCTAGGCAAAATTCAGCCACACAGCTTCAGGGGTTCCTGACTGTGAAGGCAATCATCTTGTTTCAAGTTATTCCCGTTTGTGCTACAATATCAGCCTGATCCTTTGTCAATACCACTGCTGGTCAATGTGTAACTGCTGTTGTTGATTGTATGCTTTTCCCTCTTAATTGTTCTTAGATGCTGAGTTGAAAAATGTGTTTATGATAGTCTGTACAGAGGCTCTTCAGAAACAATTAATCAAAAGACACATTTGAAGTTACATACAAGAAATAAGTTGGGTCAGACAAGTATTCTAAAACATAAGATAAAAAAGATGGTGCATGAACTAAAACAAGGGCCAGAAGGTTAACAGCAGCCATAACCACTGGTCAGGTTTTTCATAAAGAGAGGTCACAAACTGAGTTAGTTTATTCCCAGTACTAAGTTTAGGTTCTGTGACATATCTCAAGTCTTGCTTATGTTAAGATCAACTGTACTGAAAAGCATAATTGATAATAGTGGAATTTTACAGGTTCTTCAGGGACAAGTGTCTAACCACCAAATTGCTGTAGAAAAACTGAAAAAAGCTGCTGAAGTGTTATTGGACACGAGGGGAGAGTTGACACCAGACAAAGATGAGATTCGGAAAACACTGGGTAAAATGTTTGCTTTTCTTAATGCCTCTTTTTTATCACTTGTGTCTGCATGCAGGCTCTGGAAGACAAAAATTACAGAACTTCCATGTTCTCACGTCACTGTTCTAGTCCATGTTTTAGTTGAGTTATAAGTCATTACAACACAGTAATTTTATTGTTGGTTTCTCCTACATGGATCCATCTGCTTTTCACTGTCATTTCATTTTTTCCTTTTTACAGAAATAGGGATTGCTGAGCAGAGGTAGTGATTTGCTGAGGATTATAAAGTCTCCAGAGAAAAATTATTCCAAGGAGCCTGTTTACAAGCAGTTATTTGAAGTTTGCTTTGCTTAGGAATTACTTCCTTCTAACTTTAAGAAATTGTCTATGAAGGGGTTGACTTTGGCAGGCTGCCAGATGCTGACCCACCTTCTCTCTCACTCCCCTTGCTCAAGTGGACGAGGTAAAAATTAAGATAGAAAAACCCACAGGTTGATATAAAGATGGGGAGATCACTCATTTTTTACTGTCATAAGTACAATGGACTTGACTTGGCAAAAATTAACTTTCATTTATTACCAAATAAACAGGTTTGGGAAATGTGAAACAAAGACAAATTATAGCAACACTATCCTCCACTCCACTCTTTCTTCCAGGCTTACCATCACTCCTTCCTTCCCAACTAGTCCTCCTTCCTCCCTGCCAAACAGTGCAGTGTGGAAATGGATGCTTGTGGTCAGTCTGTAATTTCTCTGCTGCTGCTTCCTCCTCGCACATTTCCCCTGCTCCAGTGAGGGACCTTTCCGCAGGCTGAAATCTTTTGGGCTAGTATGGTTGCATTGTGGATGTAGGCTGCATTTCCTTCAGGAAACATCCATTTCCTCTAGCATGGGTCCTCTATGTGCTGCAGAGTGATTATCTGCTCCTCTATCCTCCACAGGCTTCGGGGGAATCTCTGCTTGAGCACCTGGAGCATCCCTCTTTCTTCTCTGACCTTCATGTCTGCAGGGCTGTTTTCATACTTTCTTTTCCCTCATTTCTTAGTCCCATGTAGTGTTTTCCCTGTTCTTAAATCCATTTTTCCAACCACCAGTTTGGCTGAGGAGTTCAGATGTGCCCTGTGATGGGTCAGCTGGAGTGGCTGGAACCATCTGTGTCTTCCATGGGGCAGCCCTTCTCTCACATGAGCCAAAAAAACTTGTCACTAACAAACCCTTACCACCACCAAAACCTTACCACTTACACCTAATACTCTTTCTTATCAATTATGAGAAGTAGCACAGCATGACATTCACCACTGTCTGAAGTTTGAAGATGCTCTCTGTGTACCACCCAGCTATCTCTTCATAGAATCACATAAGTAATGTGCAGAACAACAAACTAAAACAGCGGTGGCTTGACCCTTTGGAGTTGGTGATAAAACTCTTTGGGAGGTACATGGAGCTTGTAAGTTTCACAGAGTTATTTTGGAAGTGTTGGATGTGTAATGAAGGACCATCTGGAAGAACCTCTCAGATCTCACAGTCTCTTATGTCTAACATAAGAGACATAATTGTAGAAGACCTGTCTTAATACTCTGCTATTTTATTTCTTGGGAACAGTCAATAGCTGTCTTAAGCTAGAGCTACATGGAAGCCAGTTTTTAACACTGGGAACTACAGCTGTATGCTCCCTCAATTCCTTTGTCTGATGTGTTTCTTGGCTCTGTTTGAAGTTATTGGTCTTTGCTTCCATGTTTTTACTGACTAAAGATGACTCTTTTTTTTTTTTTTTCTTCATTCTAACGTAGCAATTTTTGATTCAAGTGGTAAGTGCTGGTGAAGTAAGCTAAAAGCTTAGTTTGGCTAGAAGAAGGAATTGAAATATATCTTCTCTTTAATAGATGATATTGTGGAAAGATATGACAATTTATCCAAATCTGTGAATGAAAGGAATGAGAAGCTTCAAGTAACTCTGACACGATCCCTAAGTGTGCAGGATGGTTTGGATGAAATGCTTGATTGGATGGAAGGAGTTGAAAAGAGCCTTAAAGAACAAGATCAAGTGCCTTTGAATTCTGCTGCTATTCAGGACATTATTAGTAAAAGCATTGTAAGTAGCAGTCTTTGGAAAAAGAAACAGTTGTTTGATAGTTCAGATTTAAAGAAAGAATTAAAATCTTAGGTTGGCACTTCTTATGGATTAAAAATACTTACTAAAGAGGACAGTTATATGAAGTGAAACTGCTCATAAGGATTTTGTAGCTGAAATAGGTTACACTGATGGTTTAGCTGTAATGATTTGTTGCTTTATATGGTAGATGAATTTCACTTGTTAAAATTTAGTTGCAAGTAATACAAAGTAGTTCTTGTATGTTTCAGATGCTAGAACAAGACATTTCAGGTCGCCAAAGCAGTATAAACACTATGAATGAAAAAGTGAAGAAGTTCATGGAAACAGCAGATCCATCCACTGCATCCACACTGCAAGCAAAAATGAGTGAGCTTGCAGGGCGGTTTTCTGAAGCAAGTAACAAGCATAGAGAGAAGCTTATGAAAATGGAGGAATTAAAGACTAAAGTGGAGTTATTTGAAGGTCTTTCAACAAAACTTCAATCATTTTTAGATGAGAAAAACCAGGCTCTAAGTGAGACGGAGGCACCAAGAAAGGATGTTAGTGAAGTGTCTCAATACATGCAGGTACTCTAGCACTCAATTTGTATGTGTTGTGGGTTCTTAGTCCAACTCATCTAAGTCACTGAATAAGAAACAAGGTGTGCTTTTTTTTCCAGCATTGGCTGGTTAGCTAAAATTCGAGTTTAATTTTGAACAAGTGATGGTAAAGTCTAATATGAAGAATGTAATCCCATTTTGCAGGAAGCTAGTGTAGAATTGGCACAACACAAGAAGGATCTGGAAGTTTTGAAGCAGCTCCTTGAAGAACTTTCATTCCATGCTCTTCCTGGAGATAAAGCACTGGTATCAGAAAAAGTAAATGCTTTGTCAAAGAAATTCAAAGAGGTAGAGAACACAATAAAAGAAAAGTAAGTTGGATAATCAAAGTGTTTCCATTTTGGCTAATAACAGAGTGTGAATGTTGTGATTACTGCTGCCCTTTTTTATGCAATCTGAAGATATTGCAGTTGACCAGAGTAAATAAGGGATTTTTTTTTTTTTCTTGGAAAGAAAAGATTCTATTTGAAAATGTGTCTGTAGTTAGTCTGTCTGGCCCAAGAGCTCTAAAAAAAAGCCATAAAGATATATAATTTTTCAAATTTTGTGACAGTCACAGGATTCTTGGCAATTTTAAGAAAACCCTACTTCTCCCCTACTGTGATAGAACATAAATTGCTGCTTGTGTATATTGCTTTAGAGTAATATTTGGCATCAGGCTGCAAAGGGAAACTGGAGAAATTTTAAGAGATTCATAGAAGTTACCTTTGCAGTAAGACTAGGTTTTGCACATTCTGCTTATGTCCATAAAATTAGCTTTTTGGCACTTTGAATTTAGGAATAGTAATATCAGATTAATAATATTTGTTGGTTTAATTATTAGAAAGAATACTGTCATTCCTTTGTCTTTAATTGTCTAGAGAAGAGGATGTATCATCTTGTCAGAAACAAATGGATGCTTTTGAGCTCCTTGTCGAATCATTAAAGAAATGGATAAAAGAGACGACAGAACGAATTCCAGCAGCACAGCCCTCTCTGAATACAGAGGAGTTAAAGAAACCTTTGGAAGATACATTGGTAAGCCTTTGTAGGAGAAGTGAAATCTGGCTGAAGGAAATAAGACATCTATTACTAATATTGAAATATAGATTTAAGGTGTAAGCTGTCACGGTAATTGGGACTAGGAGGCTTGCAGTCTGCATTTACATTCCCATTTGCTTTTGTATGTCTGCAACAGATTCCCAAGCAGCAAAGTTGTTCCTTTCTGTACACTAATTCTTTTAAGTTTGAAGTCAGTTTTGTAGTGAACAAATTACTATCTTTCTTGACCAGAATTTAAAAGATGAATGGACATTAAAGGCACCTGAACTGCAGAAAATGAATAGCAGAGGAACTTTGCTGTGTAACTTAATCACTGCTGTGACTTCTCCTGCAAAACTTAGAGCAGTTGCCAAATCAGGTATGCTTTTGTTTAATCAGGTAAGCCTAATATTCCAAGAATTTTTAAAACCTTTAAGACAAAAATTAATATTGTTTTACCCTTGGATTAGCTTTCTAAATATTGTGGCTTGTGAGAAAACATTTAGCCATGTCTCTTCTGACTATTGTTTGCTGTGATTCTATTTAAACTGTCTAGCTGCTGTAGTAATTCAGCACACATTCTCATTGTTTTACTCTGCCAAAATAATGTGTGCTGATGTAAAGGTTTAACATGTCCTAGCGTTGTTATGTAATTCCCAGATAGTGAATAAAATGACAGTTTCACAGTGGCCTTCACCTAATCCCAGAAAGCTTCTGAGAATGAGAAATCTGCTTATTCTGATCAGTGTTGGGTGCTTCACATATCCAGCAAGTCTGCAAGCAGGAGAAATACAAACCTTGCTTTGCAAACTCTGATGTACCTGCACAGAGATACCTATTTAATGGCCAAAAAGCTATTCTGGGACACCAAGCGAACAGAAAGGTTTGCAGAGTTGTGGAGTTTTTGTTAGAAGGGTAATGAGGAGATGTTTTATATAAAAAATGAGCTTAGATAAATGTACTCATCCTAACATGATATCATAATTGCTATTAGTCTGTTTTTTAGTTGAAACAACAGCACAGAAGGGAAATGATTTTGTATCTCAGCATGATTTTTCTGGACCAAAATGTGTTTTCTGTCTAGACCTTCAGCTAAATTCTACTGGTAATCATAATTTAAAGATAGCAAGTCTATTTCCATGATTTTTTTTACTCTAGTTCTGAATATTAATTTGTTTTACAGAAACCAGTAATTCTGCCAAGTATTATTCCAGACATAGTTCAAGGACATTGGGCGTTTTAATGGCAATAAGCACATTTTCAATCAATTCTTGAACTGAGTAGGTCTGGAAATAAATTCAAGTGTGTTGGCCTTCATTGGTCATCTCTAAGTGACTGGGAGGTTGGGGACTGACAGAGGATACCTACTGGGCAAAAGTAGAACACTTTCTTTCTTGTATCTCTTTAATAGCTGCCTCTGTGTTTTTTTGGGGTTTTTTTTTTGTTTTTTTTTTTTTTGGTTTGGTTTTGGTGGGTTTTTTTAAACTTTAAATAAAAACCTTTCAAAGATTTTTTTCAAACATTTTTGAATATTCTATGATCTATTTAGGCTCATTCCTCTGCCTCTTTTCCACTCAAATGCATCCAGATAGAAAAAAACCCCAGTTAAATACCTATCACATAAGAGCAGCTACAATCCTCCTGACCAGAACATTTGCCCTCCTTGACAAGAGCTGTACTGTGTATCACTTTATTGCAGTTGTAAATACCAGAGTCCAGCTAAAAGAGTGCACAGATGTACAGGACTCTGCCTGGGGCCTGTGACTTCCCTTATCTGGTTTGTTTTCTCTTGCCATCCTCCAGCTGCCACTAATGTGGTCCTCACTGTCCAGCTGGTACTGGGGGGTGGATGCACAGCCTTTTCCAAGGCAACCATTAATCTTTCTCAGTTAATTGCTCTTCTGAGAATACATATGTGCAGTAGAGCGGGAGGCGATTCTCCCTTAAGTTCTCTGCAGTGTGATCACATGGCCCTACTCTTTGGTCTGACTCCATTTTACAAAGCCCATTAGCTCTGGTTTCAGAGGCTCTGATATGGTTAATTAGTGTGGCATCCAAGTGACAGTAAGAACTTCAGGTATAAGAGTGCCACATTGCAATTCTCGTCATGGAGCACATGCTTCAGTCTTGCTTGTGACAAGATAGAGAGGGATTAATCCAGCTGGTCTCGAGAACTTTCTGTGCAGAGTTACAATGTCCAGCACTAAACCATGTCCCCAAGCAGCACATATACGTGTTTTTAAAATACCTCCAGGAATGGTATCTCAACCATATCCCTGGTGGGTAAAGGTGCCCTAAGTAAGCAGTGTCTTTGGTTGTGGTGTGGCCTCTTGGCTGTTTGATGTTCAGTGCTCTCGTCAGTCGCAGCATTTGCCAGCTCATCCTCTCCCAGGCTATACCTGTCACAGCTGGGTAAAACCATGTTCTCAGTGTGGAACAGGGTCCTTTTGGGGAGAGGAAGGAAGTGCTGTTAGCAGTCTGGATGTGAATAGGCCTCACAGCTCGGGCATAAACCTTTGGCCCTGGTCAGTTGTTTAGCAGAGAATTGTGAGCAGTAGGACTGCTGATCATATGTGCACCCTTGTAAGTGCATGCATGTACGCCCCACTCACTGTGCACAAGCTCTGCCTATGTGATACCACTTTTGGTACTGGCTGGCTGGAGCTTCCTTCCTGAGCTTGTAATGACAGCTATGGATCATGCTCTTCTGAAGAGGGAATGAAGTGCTGGCTGGCGTTATGGTAGAAAAAGGCTCAGATGAGCAAGAGGCTTCATCTCTTTTGATCCACAGGTGGCACAATTTTAAATGGTGAAGGAGGAGCTCCAGGAACTCAGGATTTCTTGAAAAATAAAGGTCAGTAAAAATTTCAGCATGTGACAAAAAATTGTTGCTTGCCAATGACTGTTAAATGTGGAAATATTTTTTAAATGCTGTACATAAATCTGCTTGTAGAAGTCATTATTAGACTGAAAATTCACATCACCATCACATGAGACAATTACATTGACTAGGGCATGATATTATAAGTAATTATAACAATACCTATCTTATTATTTTCTTTGAAGACCAACCAAATCTGGCCTTGTTTTCTGAATCAATAGATACTTTTATAAATGTATATGGGGATGGCTATTTTAATATAAGACATGACTTCTGAGAAATACCTTTCAGTGGGGATTGAAACCTTAACACCCATCAGTATTCACAACATGTGTATACACAAATATATGTATACAAAGACACCCATTTTATATACATTTGTATCACTGTGACCTTTCATAGAAACAAAGGTATCTTTATTTAAGGACTTTATAGTAGCTGAACTGTAGCCCAGTATATTCAACTTTTGGTCATGGAATTGTTACTTAAAATACTAAAATAGCAATGGGTGGAACGATTGAAACATGTTTGTGCACTTGTATGTATTGAAGTAATGATTGCTGTGAAATAAGAAGTTATTGTAAATAGGAACTAATTCAGTGTTGTCACATTTAGAGTGGATCGGAAATAACATATTTGTGACTTCTTATTTAGGGGACTATTAGCTACTGTAACTCAGAGTACTCTTCAGTACTGTTTCACTATATTCAGTATTGTTTCAAGGGCTTGTAACTTCTAACACAGTCTTTGTGCTCCTCTCTTTACAGAACTGACAACTGTTCAACAAGCTATGTCTAATGTAAATCACGGCTATGAAGATTTGGGAGTTTTATTGAATGAAAAGATTTCAGAGCTAGAAAGTATGCTTTCAAAAATGCAAAATATTCAGGAAGAATCGACCTCAATGATGCACTGGTTGCAAAAAATGGACAAAACTGCATCAGACTGGGAAGCTGCTCCAACAGATAGTGAAGCAGTTAAAGCCCAAGTTGAGCAACATAAGGTACTTTGTGCCTTCAAATACTTTTTATTGTAGTTGTTAGGCAGATGCTATGAAATAATTGATATCTCAGTCTAGCTTAATGTTACAGAGATTATTTAAATGATCCTACTAAGCATATTAGTCAGGCTTAGAGCAAATCTGGCAAACTGTGTCAGTGGAATAAGGGAGCACTGTGTCGGAGAGAACGAGTTTTGCATGTCAGAAAATAGTAATTTTGGTGGGCAGTTTGAAAAGGTGAGGCTATACTGATTATGCAATAAACATTTTTAATCTTAGTTGTTTAAAGGTATAGATTATTTTTAATATCTGAAGGGCTGTATGTATCCAAAAACTGTTTGTGCAGCTGCTGGCTCACTGATGCTCCACAGACCTCCCGGTCTCTCCAGCTGCAGTGGCTTATGTCTCTGCCAAGGCAGTGTTTCTCTTCAGCAGCCCTGTCATGCTTGTTAAGTTATATAGCTGCACAACAACCTCCTTCACCCTTACAACTGATATGAGAAAACCACTGAATCAGCAGTAAGCTCCTGTCCTGTTTCAGCATTGGAGACATATGCTTCTCTAGCAATGAAGGACAATATTTACACATGTAAGGTTCATCTATAAAAGGAAATGTAATGGATAGGGAAAATTCTTTTCTTGCTTGTGATTGTATATAAACAAAAACATAATTAGATTTAACTGAGTTTCTTTTATATTTGGCGGGTCACCCTTAAAAATTAACCTGACCAGTTACCAACTTCCCCAGAGTTGGATAACATTCAGTCATAAAATTCAGATTAAGTGTGAAAGAAAACCATCTCTTTTTGGTAACAGAGAATGTGCAAAGCTATGATGATCATCTAACCCACAGTGTAGTAATAGAAAAGTATTCGCAAATAGTTGGAAAACTGAGTGAGTGCCCAGGCAAGAGTCATCTGATGCACTGGACCTTTTACTAGAAGTTCTAAATCGAGTACAATTTGTTCACTGTTTATTTTTGTGGGTTTTGGAAAATTAATAAGAAACATTCACTTCTGTCTGCAAGAACAGCATTAATTAGGATTTGCTGGAATATCTCAGATTAGAGATCTCAGTTTCTCTTCTGTTAGGTTTATACTTAAAACTCTGATTCTCTTTAAACTATGGGTTTAGGAGATCTACATGAAATTGTCTGTGGTAGCAGAACTTCTACTGAGGTAAATGAGGCCACACCACACCCCTCTCTGTCAGAGCTAGATGTGTTATTTCTGCTGTGAGCTGTACTTTGCATCTGTCAGTTTGCCTTCTGTACACAAATAGATTCCAAGTATATGTGGATATGATGCATCCTAGTGAATCTTATCTGAATTCTTCTAGTACTGGCACTTTTTCAAATTAAGCAGTAATTATTAATATAGTTTAGATCTGTCAGGTTTGCTCTTTCAAAAAATTGACCAGCATCATATATCATTATAACATGTTTTGAGATTCATAGCAGAAAAGTAGTATATTAAAAGTAGTATATAAAAGCTAGATATTTATATTTTTATTTTCATGTTTTGCATCTCAGTATTATGGACCGCAAACTTTATCATTCTTTTTTAGGCTCTTATTTATTAATTAATTTATTTTATTACCTAAATTTTCAGCTTTTTGAAACTGAATTAAAGCAAAGTGCAAATAAAGTGCAGGAACTGAAGGACAAAGTTACAGAGCTGTTGGAGAAGAACCCTAACTCTCCTGAGGCACCTAAGTGGAGACAAACATTGGATAAAATAGGTATTTCAGTAAAGCTATAATATAACTCAGACTGATTTGAAAATTGTTTTATTATGAGTTTTTTAATTTATTAGCAATAACAAGTATTTTTAATACCTTGTTTCCTCTTACCTCTTAAATTCTGTGGAAATAACTCAATTTGCAAGCAGGTAGATCTGAAGTAATTCCAGTGATATCCATGGGTTTTGAATTTGTATTAGCGCACAGGCTATAGCTTGGCTCTCCCTGTTTGAGAGACTTTATCTTTTTAAAAATTGTGCAGCTAAAACTTGACTGGCCAGTTACAAACAACATATATATTTTGTTCTTTTTGCAAAATATAACAGATTAAGTTGATTCTAATTTCATGTAGAAAATAGTTTAAGCTGTTGGTAGTGCTTGTCTGCATGTATTTTGCCCATGAACTAGTGGCTTTTGGCATTTTGTGGGTTTGGTGGTTTTTGCTGTTTTCTAACACTGTATAAATGCTGCTAAAATTTTTTTTAAGAAGCCAATGAAAAAAAAATTACCATGTTTGGGGAAAAGATTTTGAGCTATTACAGTACCTAATTGTCATGAACTTTTAAAATTTGTTTTCATGTTAGTCATATTTTTAATAATTACAAGTCAATAGCATGGTATATCAATCTTGTTTCATAGTGATAGGCATTTCCATTGCTACACCAAAAGTAATTTTGAAGCTGAGAATTTTTCCAGTCTGTCCTGCTTGTAAGTGAAACTGAAAAGTTTAAGTGGCAGGTAAGGTCTCCAACAGACTCCTAATAGTGTTGAAAGGGGATTAATAGAATGAGCAGAGGACTGTGAAGCAGCAAACGGAACTGTAAAAAACAGTGCTTATGAAATAACTATATGCAGAAGTATTTTCATTACCCATCATTAGGTACCTGGTTTAGATGTTTTAGATGAATGATACAGACATTTGAAAAACTTAGGCTGTTCAGAGTTGAAGCCTAATTTCAGGCTTCTGATAACCCTTGAATACTTATGGGGCTTTATTACTGAATAAACAGGGATATTTGTCTATCTAAATCAGGCACCTGAGTTATAACTGAGTAGAACCCTTTGCCTTCAATATCATTTGAGACCAAAGCCTAAATTTGGGGGTATTTAATTTAGTAATATTCTAGTATAATTTTATTACGTGTTGAATATTCATTGCTCTAAAAATTCCACACATGGCTGTCTGTCATCCAAGTGCACATGGATCTGACTTAAAAGATGTTATTTGCAGAGTCACTGCAATAAGGCATCTGGAGTTAATCAGCACAAAGCCTTATGAGAGAGCTCTGTTTATGTTTCATATATAGTCTACTGTCTTACAATCCATCTGCTAGAACATGCATGCGATATGTCAACATTATCATTGTTAGATTCCAAATGGAAAGAACTCAATCAAGTTACATCTGAGAGACAACAAAAACTGGAGGAGTCTTCAAATTACCTGATCCAGTTCCAGACAGCAGAAGCTCAGCTAAAGCACTGGCTTGTAGAAAAGGAGCTAATGGTCAGTGTGCTGGGACCATTATCAATTGATCCTAATATGCTGAATACACAAAAGCAACAGGTTCAGGTGAGTAGTGCCAACACACATCATTGATTTAAGTGTCTTCTGCCTTTTTGTTATTAGCAAAGTAGTTTTTGCATCTAGAGCAGAGCACGGTTACTATAAGCCATTAGATTTGTTTATATTTCGGTATCAGCTTACATCATACTTCGCCGCAGTAATTACAAGAAAAAATTATCATAAGAGTGAAAAGAGATCTGAACAGGTAAAGAAAAATGTTGAGGAGATATTGACCATTTATCCTCTGGTATGTCCTTACGTTTAGACCACACTGTGATTTCTCTGTAGTGAAATAAAAATGTTCCTTTGAATTTTATTAATTTGACATTTTACTGTTTTTCCTCTTGTACAGTCTGTGGTTAGAACTAGCTTTTTGATATTTTATTTCCTTGACTGTGCCAGTAGCTAACAATAATATGAAGGCAAGTGAAATGCAGTACTGTGGATAGATATGAGGCCAAGAGTGTCAAAGACAGAAGAAAAAATATAAAGAAAAAGTGGAGTAATTTACTGACAGCAACACAGCAAATTGCAGACAAAAGAAACTGAATATGAAATCAAATGAGGTTGCAGAAGGTAGAAAATTTAATTTCAAGCATTTCTATTGATGCCAGTTATTCTAAACTGATAGGAAATTATTTGTTTTTGAAAAAAAATTTAATAAAGCTTTAATAATAAAGCTTTAAAGTTTTGAATAAAGATCTAATATCAGTATTGTTTAAAATGAAGTGTTTAAAGCATGAACTATATTCTAATATTATGTGAAATACTATGACTCAATACTGATTTGTAAGTGCTTCAGAAGTCTAGACAGATGGCATAAGACATATCACTCCACAGTCCTTAAAAGTTCAACATAATTGACTTAGAAAGAGTTTAGAATGTTCTGTAAAGTAAAACCATTACATTTGTCCCTTCTTTTGCAAGCACTGTGACTTACTGTCAAAAAACCCAAACTGAGAACCAGTGATATAAACTTAAAAGGTCTTACACTACACATTCAGTCATTTTGTGAATTAGCCAATAGTCTCTGTTCTATAATAAAACATTGCAATATTATGTCAGAATACACTTTAAAGTTTTTTCTTAAGGCAAATATCAAAAAATGTCTAGGAAAGAAGATGCTTTTTGAAAGAAAACAGTCCTTATTTTGCTGGGTGTGGTTACTTAATTACTGTAGCATTAACAGAATTCATTATTTACTTGTATCTCCTAGTTTAATTTTATTAGATGATGTGTAAATTCACCTAATTTTTTTTCTGTTTCTTTGATGTAAATACTGGGAAACAACATAGTTTATGTAGAAGGCACATTTATTTTACTGGCTTTTAAACATGGATACACTTAATAATAGAACTTAGCTACAACAAATTCTACTTTTGTTTGAATGATTTTTTTTGTCAGAAGCACTTTTTTTCTCATGAAGTAAATTCTTCTTATAATTCTCTTTTTTTCCTAGATTCTGCTGAAAGAGTTTGACACCAGAAAGCCACAATATGAGCAGTTAACTATGGCTGGGCAGGGGATTCTGGAGAGACCTGGTGAACATCCACCCTCACATGAAATTGTAAAAGAGCAACTGGCTGCTGTGGCACAAAAGTGGGACAGTCTAACCAGCCAGCTGAAGAAGAGATGTGACCGAATTGACCAAGCCATTGTGAAAAGCACAGAGTATCAAAGTTTACTCAGGAGTCTCTCTGATAAACTAAGTGCCTTGGATAGTAAACTCAGCAGCAGCCTGGCTGTGAGTACACAACCTGATGCAGTGAAACAACAGCTGGAAATTGCTAAAGAAATGAAGGAGCAAATAGAACTGGAAATGAAGAATATAAGTGCAGCACAAGCTCTTTGTGAAGAGCTGTCAGCACTGGTTGGGGAAGAGTATTTGAAAGCAGAACTTACAAGACAGTTAGACGGCATCTTAAAATCATTTAAGGATATCGAGCAAAAATCAGGTTGGTATTTATTTAAAGAAAAACAGTAAATAAGACATAAAGTAAGGCAAAAGTTTGTGATAGAGGTGAACTGAGCCTGGTGCCAGCTCTCTATTCAGTCCAACCCCCAAGCAGTTTTACATTAGAATTTAGAAGAATCCCCATGCCTTGAAAAGGTAAGAACAATGCTTGGGTTCTCTAGTGAATAGTTTGGGAGATAACTTGGAGTAAAATAGCAAGGCTGCTTTTGTCATGTCTTCCTTCAGGTGCATCTTCATTGAATTAGAATACCAAAAGACGATGCTGTTCATTGGGCTAACCAGCTTCATAGGGGCAGAGTATAAACCCAAATAATAATTTCTAGGCAAACATCAGTTAATGGCCTAGTGAAACACAGTGGTAATTGTATAAAACTGCCTGTGACAGAAGTGGGCTGGTAGTCTACAGCCTTTCCTTGCTTTGTGAACAACAGACCTGAGCAAGTAATACATTGCAAGTGATATAATACTTTGTGCTCCCTAGCAGCCTCAGTTTTGGGTTTTTAATTTCCTCTGTTCATGAGGAACCTCAAAGAATCTCCCTAGGAAGGTGTATTGCTTGTAAGCCATGAGTTAGACACTCCTGGGTTATACCACTTAATATTCCCTGTGCTTACACTTCCTAGTACCATGAATCACAAATGTGTGCTTTTTACCACCAAAATCTGCTCAAATGGGATCCATGTAGACACAACCTGGATAAGCTGACGTCATTTGATTCTCTTGCCTTCACTGCTCTTCTGTATTACAGGAATGAGTCTGCCCTTTGCAAGAAACTTGGCTGTCTGCCAGTCAAACTCCACATACTAAAGGACTGGCTTTCTTAAACTTAATGATCATGCATAATACAATCAATATTAGTTATTATTTTTTTCACTGTATACTAGCAGGTTTTGCTAATGAACCTCTGTGCTGCCTTCTCCTTTGCAGATAACCATGTCCAGCAGCTTCAGTCAGCGTACGCCACTTCTCATCAGTTCCAGCAGATGTCTAAGGACTTTGAGGCCTGGCTAAGCAAAAAGAAAGAAGAGCTGAACCAGGCTCGTCCTGTGTCAGCCAAACTTGATGCCTTGCAATCACTAATTGAAGAACAGAAAGATTTTAAGAAGACAATGACCGATCAGATTAGTTCCTATGAAAGAATTGTTGCAGAAGGAGAAAGTATCTTACAGAAGACTCAAGGAGATGACAGAGCAGAGTTACAATCCCAAATTGCCACACTCAAGAGTAAGTGGGATGAAATGAATAAACAGGTGAAAGAAAGGGAAGATAAATTAGCAGATTGTCTGGAGAAAGCCCTCAAATATAAGCAGCATGTAGAAAATCTGCAGCCATGGATAGAGAAGTGCCAAAGGAACCTGTATGAATTGAAAGTTGGCATAAACCCTGTTGAAATAGAGGATTCTATTGTTCAGGTGCGGGCATGGCAGAAGGACCTAGATAAACACCATGGGATGGTGGAACTATTAAATAATTCTGCTGAAAGTTTGCTCAATGCAAGTCAAACAGATAAAGAAATTATTCAAGAAGAAACTAAGGTGCTGAATCAGAATGTGAAAGTGGTTACAGAACAGTTACAGAAGAAGAGAGAATGCTTGGAAAATATGGCACAAAGAGTGAAAGAGTTTCAGGACTCATCCAGGGAAACTGAAAGACAGCTTAAAAGTGCCAAAGAGCATCTGGAAGCTCATGACTCGCTTGGACCTCAGTCATTCAGTAACAAACATCTGACAATGATGCAGGCCCAACAGAAAGCCTTGCAAGCTTTAAAGCCTCATGTTGATTTAGCAAAAAAGCTTGCCCAAGACCTGGTGGTAGAAGCTTCTGATTCAGCAGGTGTTTCTGACCTCTTACTTCAAGCTGAATCTTTGGAGCAGGAATACGCTGCAGTGAAGCAGCAAGTTGAGGATAGGTGCTCATTCCTGGAGACCAAACTCCAGGGAATTGGCCATTTCCAAAACAGCATCCGAGAGATGTTCTCTCAGTTTGCAGAGTTTGATGATGAACTTGATAGCATGGCTCCGGTGGGGAGAGATCTCAAGGTACTGCAATCACAGAAAGAGGACATAAAATGTTTCATGAAAAAACTGGAGGATCTTATAATGAATAATGAAAATGCTAATAAAAATTGTAAAATTATGCTGGCCACAGAAGCTGAAGCTTCTCCTGATCTTGTTGGTATAAAGAGAGACTTGGAAGCTCTAAATAAACAGTGCAATAAGCTACTAGACAGAGCAAAAGCCAGGGAAGATCAAGTGGATGGTACTATTTGCCGTGTTGAGGAGTTTTACACTAAGCTAAAAGAATTTTCCACTCTGCTTGGGAGAGCTGAAGAACATGAAGAGTCACAAGGTCCTGTTGGAATGGAAACAGAGGCTATTAATCAGCAGCTGAATACATTCAAGGTAAGAAGATTGCTTTCTTACTATTACAAAGTATTTTACCACAACACCATTTTATTAAACAGCATAGTGAAAGGGTCTGGTTAAGTGCAGACCTTAGAGGAATCTTGTTTCACAGCAGTCTGTTCTGCCTGTATGCATTTTTTCTGTTTTAAATGGGGATCTTATGCTCCAGAGAAGATTTAGTTTGCTACAGCTTGGCAGACACTGGGAATTTTAAATCTCAGCTCTCAGTTCCTGCAGCCCAATTCCCTCTTCACCTCTCTTCACTATCTTGTTATCTTCTGCAATCCATTTACCTTTCTCTTTTTGAGAAACTGCATATTGTCTCTATTTGATGTCCATTTATTACACATCTTTCATCTTCAGTGGTGTTAATTTTAGACTCCAGTGTTCACATAACAGCCCACATTCACTTTGCTCATCTGAAAAGTTTAGGTTTTTTTCGCTTGGGTTTAGCATATTTAGGTTTAAGATGTTACCTTTTACCATTTTCTGTTCTGATACACTGGCCAGTTTTACCTCACTGAATTCCATCCTTACCTAGAAACATCCTAATAAAAAGAAAACAGGCAAAATAATCCCTGTATGATACTGGGATTTTTCTGTAGCATCCTTATCGAAAATGCACTCCATGGCTTCTGTGTTTAGCTTTTTTAATATGCCAGCTAGAAATCCATGTCCAGCTCAAAAAAATGCATTGCAGTGATAGTGAGTGTTAATTGAGCTTTGCTGCTAAAGTAACTACAGATATTTTCTGTGGTTAGACTAGAATAAATGAATTTCCAGTGCTCACCAGAATGATTTATATATGTAAGCAGTATTTGAAAACATAAATCTCCTAGTGGCTATATAGTAGCACTGAATATTCTACAAAGCTTTGATTTCGTTCCAATAAAATATTGATTCAAATGTTTGTATGATTTGTACATTAGTTGACACTTGATGATAAAGCCAAACCTTCATTGCAGGATTTGGTAAGCCATGCTGTTTAAAATTTGATGACCTTGGAAAAGAGTCATTACTTGGCTGGCCAACAGAGGGTGCATTTTGCTTGTTTAAGCCATATTGGAAAGGAAAAAATTAAACCAGAAAACTTTCATCTTGGAATTTCAAATGGAAGTTACTGTGAGTTTTGGTGAACTTTGAGAATGCATAAATAGAGACAAAAACCTTGAACAAATAGTTACATTATGAGGAGATTCCATCAGACTGGGAGGATTAAAATTGTATGCCAGTCTATCCTAACAAGTCTTTCTCAATTTAAAAGAGAAACAAATGGCTTTTCTTTGTATATGGTTAGTAAAACACTTTGGGTATTGGAAAATAGCAACAGCTTCTGCTGTGAATGTTCTTGCTTACATTTGCTGTACAGGACTTCAGTTGTAAGCGGTTTAGGTTTAGGATCTGTGATTTCATGACATTTGTTACATTTTCAAACATTAGGTATAGCTTCAGGTCTATGTTAATAGGTATTTAATACAATGAATTGTATATGTACAAATATGTATTTTATTATTAAAAAAATGTTTCTGGAGTGTTACAACCTAATGAGCAGATGGTAGGAAAATCCAATTCCCTGTGTGTTGTCCCAGTGTTAGAGTTCATCAGGGCATTGGACACAACACAGCAGTTGAGCAGTTCGGGAGTGAGAGATCTGTGCAGACCAGTGGGGTGACAGCATCCTTGGTAATACAAGAGCTTATGTGGTAAGAAGACAAAAAAACCTTGGAGAGACATAAAGGAGAACAGTGATAGCAGCATGTTTATATCCAAAAGTCTACTCTGGGATTGTATTTATATGAGATATTTATAAGCTTAGAAATGTGTTTTGCTTGAAGCAACTATTTTAGGCCATGCTTTTGCTTATGATTAAAAACAAAATGCCATTAAACAGGAGGTGAAGAATGATGAAAAAGTGAAGGGGTTGTTTAAATAAGTGAAAAGCAAATGCAGAAATAAAACAGCAGAGTGAGGAGCCTTTGAAGAAAGGAAATAAGGAGACCAGAATGGGAAATTTCACTAAGTGAGGGTGTAGTTAGTGAAGAGATACTGATAGCAGGAGGATAGGGATCAACTCTACTAATGCTTGGTGTCAGTGCAACTGGGGCATATCAAAATGACAGTAATCTATCTATTTATACTCTTGCTCTTCCAGAGAACAGTTCTACCTGAGGCAGCAAACTGTAGGGAGACTGGATCCCACAGATCCTGCTCCACTCGTGGTGTGTTTGTGTTTGCTCACACGTTTGTGCACGTACGCAAACACATGCAACCTGAAAATGTGGCTGTGGCCACAAAACCACTGTCTGGCTCCTTATGTCTTTAGCTTCTGTGGTCAGCTACAGTCAACTTCAATTCCTCAAGAGTAAAGCAAAAGAGTTGTTCTTTGGTATAGCTCTATTAACATGGAATCTTCACTCTCTTCAGGGAAGGATCTTGTATAATGAGCCAGAGGTGGTTTTTGTGGTTTAACAAATTTTTATGTACAAAGAGTTAGAGCTGCATGCATCTTCTTGGCATGACATTAAAACACATAATGTTTTTTTAAAAAATAAACTGGCTTTGAGCTGTATTACACACATATCTATTTAAAATGCATATGCATACTTGTTTTATTTATATTTCTTCTTCGCAATGTACTTACTCCAGTCAGTATAGAGTGTTAAATTGAAAGTAGTTGTCAGTGTTAAATTGTAAGTAGTTGCCATTAGTGTTAAAGTATATTTATTTACAGTGCAGTTATAAAATTTACTTTCTGTGAATGACATTTTTTAGAGCAGTTAATTTCAAAGTAGAACCATGACTCTTACTTCACTTCAAGTAGAGTATAATCAAATGAAGACTTTATCTCAATATAAAACACACACAAAAAAGTACTAATTAACTTGGCTTTGTAAGACACTTTTTACCCCAAAGTTTGTATGCAATGTGTACATTAGTCCTGAAAGGAAATCTCAGTAAATTAGGTTTGTTAAGGTACAATGAGTCTGCCACCATTCTTCAAAAGCAAAACAAAAAACAGTTGTGCACATGGACAGAGCCAAACACTCTGGGCTTGAGTAACTGCACAATGCTAGAATGTTTGCAGTTGGAGAAGCATTTGCAGCTAGTTTCTCTCTGAAATAGAGAAAGAACCCAAAACTGAATTATTTTATGTCATTCTTCTTAGTAAAACCAACATGTCACTATTACAGCTTTCATGAGTATATGGTTCATTTGATTTTTGCTTTTATTTTTGGATTTAAAGTAGATATAGTCATTAGAGGTTGCCTTCTAATTGGACTTTATGGGAATTTTTAGGTAGCCTGAGTATTCCTGCCAATAAGCTTGAACTAAGATTTTAATTGGCTTATGTTATAGAAACACAGAATTGTTTAGGTTGGAAAAGACCTCTGAGACCATTGAGTCCAATGTTAACTCAGCACTGCCAAGTCCACTGATAACTGTGTCCCTAAATGCCACATCTACATGTCTTGTTAGTTATATAGAAGGTGTCAGTCCTCTGATTTTTGCTTTGAAGGCAAATAATGTTGAAGGCATAATCAGAAGTTTCTCTTTAAGTTCCTCTTTGAGCTAAGTGTTGCATATCCCATGTGCTGTTTACAAACCCAAGAATAAGGTACCAAAAGCTTCCATGGGATTTACTACAGTTCAGGTCTGTATTGAAAAGCAAAGGTAATATAAGCAAGTATGAACATTTTTAAGAGTTGGGTTTTGAAAGTGACTTACCTGTCATACAAAAGTCTTCAGCAGAAACAGTGAAAAAATGGTAATTTTTAACTGTTTAAATGGTAAATTTTTTAACTGTTAAAATAATTTTGCTGTTGAACAAATATAGACTAATTTCATCTATACACTTCCCCTATAAAATCATGCGGCACTTTCTGAATTTAGCAGGGATCTGTCTGGATTTGGTTGTTTTGGGTGAAAATAACTATGGATGATAGGACCTTTCATCAAAAGTAAAATTCTTTTTGCATCTTTACTATTATAGTATATTCTCTGCTAGAGAATCTAGAGAGGTGATTATCTGTTTGGCATAATCCAAATGTTATATGGCTGCTCACCAGAGAGGAGGAAAAGAGAATTTGTTTTGCATGACCTTAGTGTTTTGATATGTAGGTGACTGTTTATTAAGTAAATCAATAAACATGAAGTGTGGTATGTTTGTATTGCTTGCATACAGTGTATCCTGCTTGTTGCTTAATACCAAACGCTCGAGCTGATTGTAGTGAATGCAGTGTGTTAAGTTTCAGCACTAAGTGCCTGATGCTGTCCTTAAACTGAGATCGGAATTGTCCCTGAAACTGATGTCTGCTGTCACGCCAGCAGCTCAGGTCATTTGGGGTTTGGCTTCTACTGGAGTGGAGCTGCTTGGTCGTGGCAACTCCTCCTGTGCTGTTGGCAAGTTTCCTGTGAGTCTCCCAACCCTTCCCCTCCATGATTATGAGCTAGAAGTATAGGTGCAAAGTGTTGAACTGTATTTAAAAGACGTCAATTTCCAAAACCAGGATCTTTGTCCTGATAGGCTGGTTTAAGGCTCCAATAAATCCTGCTTGGAGGGAAAAAAAAAAAAAAATCCTTCAGATTAGGGCTTTTTTTCCCCAATATTTTAATGTTTCTTTCAGTAGGAGCCGAATTCTTCAGGAGCGGCTGCCCTGTCAGCCAACACAATCCTAAGCTCTTACCTCGGGGCCAGTGACCAGACTGAAAATAGTCAAAACTGGACTGAACTTTGCATGTCAGGTGGAGCAATCCGTGACTATTCCAACACCTAATCTAAACACTAGGCGAGTTTGGGGGATGTCTTTCTTCTTCTCTTTTAAGTAATGCAGAGGTAAAGTTTCGGTGTAACTTTGGAAAAGGAAGCCTCCATTGAAATGACTGCTTTATGAGCCGGGGCGATGGCGCGGTTACAGCGCCGCTTCCCCCCTTGGCAGAGTTTCTCCGGGAAGGCAGGCAGGCGGCCGGGGCCGCTCCCCGGCGCTGGAGCGGGCTGCGCCGCGGCGGGAGTGATGTCACCGCCGGGGCCTCCCCGCCTGCCCTCGCCAGCCCCCCGCGGCACCGAGCGAGCGGCGAGGCGCGGCGGCTGAGGCGATAAGGAGGCGGCGGGGAGGGCCGAGGGAGGGGAGCCCCCGGAGCGGCGCTGCGGGCGCGGGCGGGCCGGTGGCAGATGTTTGCTGGAGAGCGAGCCGGGCGCTCTCGGCGGCTGCAGCGGGGCGAGCCGGGGCGCGGGGCGGGACGCGCCGGCGCTGCGCGGCGGGAGTTTCCCTTGCCCGGCTCCTCGGCAGCTGCGCCTCGGAAGCGAGCAGGAGGCGAGAGCAGCCCGCTAGCTGCGGCTCCTAGTCGGGACCTGCCGAATGTAAACCTGCCGTGCCTTCGGGGAACGCGCCGCGCCTGCTCGGCTCCGCAGCTGCCTTAAAGAGCTCTCCAGGATGGCAACGGGAGAATCGCTCTGAAACGTTCGTCTTCCGACGGTCTGCTCAAAGGACGCGTTGGCTTGGCTGCCAGAAAGGGATGTTTTCCTGTGGAACTTGTGGAGGCACCGCGAACAAACCTTTTACAAGAGGAGGATAAGCTGCCTTTTAGATCAAGGTTATTTATAGCTACTGCCAAAAAAGTAAAGGGCTGTTTTATTATTCTTACTGTTCTGGATTTAACTTATTTCCCCCCACCCCCCCAGGATTTTCTCCGTGCCTTGGTCAGGACCATACAAGCCACTGTGGATTCTGTCTTTTTAAGCTGCCACACCATGTTTTATCTATAAAGGAGATGGGACCCTGCAAGCCAGCTAAATGGATTACAGTTAAGCAGTCATGTACAGAAGATAATGTACTGCCTTCTGTAACACTTGTTCATATGAAGGCTTATTTGGGAGATTTCAGATACAGATTCTGACCTGGAAAAATAAATGAAGCCTTCCACTGAATATTTGACATATTTGGCTACTGTTGGTTTCTGCTATACTTTGTTTTTCTGTGACATTGGGACATTTCTGTTACTTTCTTACTGAAGCACTTTATATTTTGGGGGGTGGAAAACCTCATATCCAGGTAAAGTCAAATTTAAACGGAAGCACTGATTGTGAATGACCTCAGTTACTTCATATCTTATGATGTATATTTTCCTATCTATGCATCTTATGCTAAGGGCAAGTTTACTATTTCTTCAGATTACTAGTGTTTTTTAAATGTTTGCCCTGAATCTGTGAAAACTGAGGTATACTTGTGTGAATACTTTCAACATGGGGAAGCCACTTAGCAGGCCAGACTGTCTACGTCAGAATCCTCCATGTGTTGGCAAAGGGGAAGAAGATGAAGATCTAAATATTGAAGACTGCTACGTTCCCCAGAGGTCTATTTATGACACTGTGAGGCTGAATGAACAGATCGATTCAGGCTCCAAGGGCAGCCTCTCTTCGCGGCATTTCACAGACCGGACCTTACCCTACAGTCACAGAACACTGGACATCAGTACTTTGTGCTCCAATGGTGCCCTTTCTTCTTCCAGTGTTTTTGAGCTCCGAAGCCGTGAAGCTAACAAGTTAGATGAAAAAATGATCTTTGATGCTCTTAAGCTGAACAGCGATATAATTCGGACAGCTGGGTTACCCAAGGTGAAGTCTCACACTGAAAAGAAGGAGCACAGGCGATCGTGGAGAATGCTTGTTCCACCCAGCTTTCCAGATTACACTAATAGAAGTGAAAGCTCCTTTAATGAAACTGCTGATCTGTCGGAGGCAGCTAGACTAGGCAAATGCAAATGGGGTACAAATTCTCTTACCTCGGAAGAGGATGATTCTGGTTTATGCAGCCCTCCAACAGAAAGGGAAGATAAACAAGATACACCATTAGCAGGGGAGCAAACCCAAGTACGAAGTCTGTCTTCTGCAGAAGATATCCATGTAGTAGGTCAATTCAGACCATATATCCCAGCAATTTGCAGAGAGCAGCAAACCCCGCTGCTTGCAAGCTTGAGTGTCCCTGTCAAAGAAAACTGCAGACTGGCTTTGCATGACATTTTACCCTCTGGAAAAGTAAAACAAAACAATGCCCAGACATGTGAGAGTGATCAGGAAGAGATGGAGGGGAAATGCTCTCACTTACAAGGTTTCAAAGAGCAAATTCTGTCACATGAAGATCCTCTTCAAGATGATGAAAGAAGTATTACCCCTGACAAAAATGAAGTGGAAAATGCATATGAAGTTCAGGAAAAAACTAAAATACAAGTCACAACAGTAGAGGAGGATTATGTGGATGATGTATCTCTTCATGTAGATGTTTATTACACTAATGCTGCTGTAAATACTAGTGACTTGGATTTTGCAAAATATGAAATTTTATCTGATACAGAGGAATGCAGTCTAGCATGTACAGGCTCAAATGAAATGGCATTTTCTGTTCAACAGCTTGAATTAGATAGTACTGTAAACTGCCCAAAAGTTTTCCCAGAGAGAAATAAAGGCAATATCTGGACTACTGGCATCCAAGACACCTTGGATACAGTCTGCAATGGCCTCTTGTCCAACAAGGTAACTAGGAAAAAAAAAAATCCATAGATTTGTGAAATAGTTGTGGTATAACCATAAAGATATTTGTTTCAAACTCTAAGTTTTGCCATCATTGCAGAAATGTAACTTTTAAAAAAACTATTAGTTAGGCAGATGCCACTTGGATAGCACACATAGGGTGTCCAAAACAGGTGAAATAGTAAGTATGGGAAATGAACTGGGGGCAAAGTCTGAGGGGGTGGTTGTTACTCCAGCTGTTTTGAGCAGGGTTGTTGCTGCCCGGCTGCTGCCTGTTGCTCCCGACCTGGAATGCCTCCTCCGTGCTCTGTCTCGGTGCTCGGTGGCTGCGCTGAGTGCGGTCGCAGGCAATGCCATTCAAGGGCAGCTACGGCCATGTGTTCGTGAGCAGCCTTACTCATCAAGGTGTAAGCAACAGTATCAGATGGTTGTGGTTTCTAAAGAAGACAGATTAAAGGCTCACCGCCTCTTCTGAAAGATGCCTTTTGCATTTGCGTGCCAGAAAGCAGATCTGACGTTACGGTAGTATTTTACAAGCACAGGACCTTGCAGTGCTTTGTGACTGGTGGATGAGGTAAGAGAGCAAGGGAAGCTTTGTAATAAGGAAAGGGTGTTTGTCGGGTCTGTAATTTTTTTCTTCCCACTCTGGTTGAAATCTGAGATACTTCAAGCTTTGTTGCTAAGTTGTTCTGGTAAACTTTAGCCTCAGCAATAATTGTAATTTATTTTAAGCTTCTCTCCACAAAGAATGTGTGCATTTTTAAAGGGCAGATTATGTAGATCAGTCCTCTCTGTGGTAGGATGTTGTTCTCAAACGATGAGACTATAGCCCATAAAAGAAGAATTTGTTATTGATTCAGTGTTGAAATATTATTCTGCCTCCTCCTTACCCTACAGTCAAGAAAAACACATGCATTTTCCTTCTTCTAGGAGCAGCCAACTCATTGCACACTCTCAGTTTTCATGTAACCACAGTCTTAAGAGGTTTTGGGGATTTTTTTTTTTGTCTGTAGGAACAAATCTCGTAGGGATGCTTAATTTATTTTATCCCTCATGTTTAGTGTGTTTGCAGTAGCTGCTAGATTAACTTGTCAAGCTGGTGGAAGTGTGCTCAGCCACCTGAGGTCTGCAGCTTTAAAAGCAATCACTTGCCACAGTGTGTTTGGTGCAAGAGAGGAGACTTGCTGGTACATTCAGAGTGATCTCTGCTTTTCAGGATGCTGAGAAAGGTTGCTTTGAATGCACTAAGTGTACACCAGAACTGTTACTGAATGCTGCTATAGAAATTGAAGGATTTAGGGTCAAAAGTTGAGCATTCTTTAGCATTGTTTATTCATTGGTTATTTTTCACTAGCCTGTGTAATTAATTCAGGGGCTTCAGGCCATTTTCTGATCTCATTGACACTTGTGTCAGTGCAGCTTAATGTTGCTGAATACAAATGGAGATTTACATTGCTGTTGCTAATGGTAATAATCTGGCTCTGGAAAAGCCTAAATACCTGCAGGAGTAAAATAAAGCAAACACAAAACTGCTCAAAGTGCTGATGGGTACTGTAAAGCCTTGGCAATTAGCAAGAGTATCCTTTGAATGAAAGCCCATTTTCCTGGGTGTCTGCCGGGATACTGTTTCAACAGCATCTGTAGTGCCTCCTGACTTGTTACCATTCTCCTAAACAGATTTTAAAATATCTTCCTTCACTGTTTCTTTGACTTAAAACTTTGGCTTTAGTCCTAATTTGAAAAAAATGACCACTTGTCTCTCTTGGTCTGTGCCATTTTTTGTTATATTTTATACATAAATAATTAAACAGATGAGTTTGTCCAGTCTTTTCTCCCCCCCTCTATCAGAAGTTTTATTTTTTCAACCCCCTAAACTTTCACCGCTTCTCTTTTTCTCTGTCCCTTTCCTTCCTATCTAAAACTACTAATGGAAATGTATGCCATTTCCCCTTCTGTGATGTATTGAATTTACTCTGTTTAGATTGAGCCTATTCTGTTTGGATTTATTAATGCTTTTTTAGGAAGGTCCTGACAAGGAATGGCTTCCTTTCTTCTAGACACCAGTTTTAAGCAATGTTTTTGTTGCATACTGACATGTAAACACCATGTGCATTTTATGACAGAAGTTACCATGTTTCATGTCTGTCTTGGGTTTCAACTGCAGGTATTCCAGAAAGAAGAAATTGAACCCTTACAAGTAAAACAACAGGAAGTAAATTGGTTGGGTCAGGGCCTTATTCAGAGTGCTGCTAAAAGTACCAACACAGAAAACCTTGAACGTGACCTTGAAGATGTCAACACCCGATGGAAGACTCTTAATAAGAAGGTTATTATCTTGTATACTATCCTGCTTTTGTTGTGTTCTGCCTTTTGGTTATTTGCTTGCTGATGTCTTTCAAAATACAGGAAATTAAATATTCACTAAGAATATGAATTGTATTTGCTTTACACAATCACTTTGTTTGTAATTTGAAGGATAAGTTTTATATTGCTAATAGCCAGAGGCATTGCTGTCATTTATAAGGTTTTGCCAAACTTTCTGTAGGTCTGTTCTGGGTTTTTATTCAGGAAAGACTCACAGAATCATGAAATGGTTGGGGTTGGAAGGGATCCCTGGAGATCCAGTCCCACTTTCAGTCATTGTTTGCATGTTTTTTTCCAGTTTGTTCTATTTGCTCATGTACACTGTTGTACCTGCACAGAGCAATGGTACAGCCCAGCTTTGTATGACTTTACAGCACTTTAAAGATTGTTTTGCTTGAGGCATCAGAAAGTAACACTACTTTGAAAAACTGGCTGTAGGTGTTTTTCTGTACTTTTCTGAAGTCTTCCTTCAGCAGTAGCTGCTGTTGGGAATGGAAAGGGTGGGGGGTAAAAATGGTGCTCATCTTCTGCTCTCTTCCTGAAAGAGTGATGCAGCAGAACCAAATACACCTGAGGTTCACATATTTGCCTTCTCCTTTCCTATTTTTATTTCTCACTGATGGCATTATTGGGATTTATTAACAGCTGCTACTTTGAAATCCTGGCTCATTCTTTCTATAAGAAAAATAAAGACCATCTGAAATGCAAACATCCTGTCAGTATATTTAATAATACTGTGGCTACATAAAGCAGTAGTAACTTGTAAGGAATTACTAGAGCAGGCTGATTTACTGGGAGTTAGTCTGTTCTTTTCATTGTTCATTTATGGGTCTCCAGCCCCAATTAATGAATCCAGATTCATGCTGAATTGTGACATTGTGCTGTTATGAATAGTTACAAAAACAAGAGTATTTATTAGTGATATTGACAGAGTACTACAGATTTTGACTAATTATTTCACAGAAATAAAATGAATAGGTGAGATCCTCTACTGTATTTTCAGGTTGCCCAGCGTGCTGCCCAATTGCAGGAAGCTCTCCTCCACTGTGGGAGATTTCAGGATGCCCTTGAATCTCTGCTTAGCTGGCTCATTGATACAGAAGATCTTGTGGCTAATCAGAAACCACCATCTGCTGAATTCAAAGTTGTCAAGGCTCAAATACAAGAACAGAAGGTAAGTGAAATGGTTTTAGAATCTCTCTCCTTCCACTGGATCAATGAGAATAAATTCCCAGTCTTTGGCAAATCATAATATCTGTCCAAGTGTATTTTATTACACTGGAGTGTGCTGAGGTGTTTAAAGGAGCCATCTGTTCAAAACTCAATACTATGTCCAGGGTTCGGAAACATGCTTATCTTGGATATAAGACAGAGTGATACTGTGCAGTCTGATCTCTGGTTTATTAATATTATCTGGAAAGGATGTTAAAGATCCCTTGGAAAAATAAAGTAGAGAATCCAGTATTTGGCCATTTGAAAGGTAAGAAATAAAACCTAGCAAATTTTCACTCTAGTACTTCCAAAATAAGATTGCAGATTATGGACTTAAAAACCTGGCTTTTGATCTTCATGTGATCATTTTTGGTAATTAGTTGGAATCCCATTGGGAAGTGGCCTGTGCTGATGTAGAAACTCTATCAGTGTCATCAACTTTGGCATATTTTAATAGTGGTTATAGAAAAAAGAATGATAATGTAGCTGACAAAACATACAATTCATGCAGTTGGACTCTGTGGCCCACTGCCACCCAAGGATTTAATATAAATTTATGGCCAGTACAGGTTGTTGTCCTGGGATACTTGCAGTGGCAAAATGTTAACGTTACCAAAGGCACCTAGGGAATGGAAGAAGGGAGGATTTCAGACAGAGGCACATTTTATTCTTCACAGAGGAGTTAATGTACTACACTAGATTGGTGAACTCAATTGTATCTCACATAAGTGATGAGTTGATTATACAGCAGTTTTAGTATCCATTTTCCCATCTCTCTGTGTATCTGAATTACCTCTGTGATGCCAAATCTGGCAGGGCATGCAGTTTTCCCATAAATGTTCCTATAAAATGTAACTTAATTCTAAATAGCTGGATTCCCTCAAGGGTGTTAATGTAGAACTTTGTCTTCTATGTTGTTCACTTTTTGGGCTGCCACACATCCTTACCTCAGAGAAACCAGCGTTGTTGTTTGGGCTTCGTGAAACTCCAGTGTTCTTAGGAAAACAACTGAGAAACTGAAATGAGCCTGCGTTGGTCAGGGATGGGGTTGATGTGTGTATTACGTGTGCCTTTTTGATTAGCTTTGTTCACATTTTTATCACAATACAGGTGTTGTGGTTTAGTTTTAGTTTTTTGGGGTTTTTTTAACAGCTTTTTAAGAAGTCTACTGTTGTTACATTTGCATTATTGCAATATTTCTTAATAACCTGGTGCTTGATTGCTCTCTCTGCAGCTTCTGCAGAGGCTGCTGGATGACCGCAAGCCGACTGTTGAGGCAATCAAGCGCGAAGGGGAGAAAATTGCGGAGTCAGCAGAGCCTGCTGATAGAGTGAAAATCTTGAAACAGTTGAGTTTCCTGGACAGTCGATGGGATGCCTTGCTCAGTAAAGCTGAAACAAGGTACTTGAAATTCTTTCATGGACTTGAAAAATGTAGATATAGCATGTGATAGATGTTTAGAAGCAGCATGTGGAACTCCATATTGTAAAGTACTATCACTCTTTTGCTTGCATTATGTCTTTGTGTCTTCATGTTGATATAATGGGTCCTCTGAGGGAAAACTGGAGAAAAGTGACCTGAAGAGACCAAAAGCTCTTTAAATGTGATAATCTACTAGGATTAACTACACCTTCTGAATATTTTATCTCTGTTAATTAATTAGAATTGCAAGTGTTTTGAGGCAAGCACAAGTTTTACAATAGAATCAAGTGCAAATTTTAAACCTAACAAATAATAATGATGTTCTCTCAGAACTTCAAAGTTCTGAATTGCTACAAAGAAGCGGCACTCAATTCTTTCTTTTTTTTTTCCTTTTCTTCTTTTTTGTTTTTGGATATCATCTACATAATTCGTTTCTGCAACTCAGAGGTCATTGTAATGTAAGTTGCAGATGCATGCCAAGTACTGAGCTCTCTTAATTTTCAAGAAAAAAAGGACCTTTAACGTATATAGTTATATATTCTAGCAACACAGAAAACCCTGTCTCTTAAAAGGCATTGAGGTCCACTTCAAGTTCCAATTGAACAAAATCAAACAAAATCCATGCACACAGTATCTAAACACAGACTTACATCTATGAGTTCTTGCAAATGTATAAGATACCTGTACAGTTATGAACTGTAAAGTGTCTTTGAAGAAATCTGTGTTGAAAGAGTTACTGAACAAGTTTTCTGGGTGAGGATTTGAGAAGGACAGTATTTTTCAGAGCAGAGAGAAGACTTCATGAGACAGCTTGGAAAAAGGCCTATAATTGAGAGTAAGAGAGGACTTGGGAAGCTGAAGAAAAATTTAAAGCGCACAGTGAAACTTTACAGTGAAGAACAAATGGTTGTGTTGGTGTCTAAAGTAGCATTGAGCTAACCTCACTTCTGCTGTCTTCTGCTCATTCTGGTAGCCTCTCTTTATCGGAACCTGTTTTGTTACCTCATACTAATAATAGGATTATTTAATTAGGCAACCACTAATAGACCATTATTTCCTTTTTTTTTTTTTTTTTTTGGTCTTCTTTTTTATTGAAGGAATCTGACTCCATTAGCTGGGGTAAATGTTCATGTCATGTTTAATTTAATAATATCCTCCCAGTCTAGTGATATCTAATTACAAATGAAATTGCAGCTTTTCCCAAGCCATTATTAGCTGCAAGCTTGTCTCCATTGTTCTTTGGCTGGTCTCTAGAAATGAAGAAGGAATTTGAGGATGATTCTGAAAACTATGTAGAGTATCTCACAGAGTGTTCCATGGCTAAGTATGTCAAGCTACTTTGTTTATAAACCTTGGAAAATACATATAAATGTAGCTTTTTTTCTGGAATGAGATCCTTATTTGAAAGACGTTACTGTGATGTTTTCACATAGAACAAATCTCATCTAAAAGTCTTGAATGACACCTGTTCAGCACTGCTTGTAGAGAAAACTTTGTTGTAATCAAGAGTCTTCTCTGACATGTAATAATCTGAACCAGAAATGTTTTAGTTACTGCTTTTCTGGTTTTGGGGGTCAAGTCTCTGTGCTTTATTAATGTTGTCTCAGTAGCTTCATTGAGAGCTATTATCCAGGACAAGAAAGACAAATTTAGAACCAAATAATTCTGTTGTCATCATTGAAAAAAATGTTTAAAGATACTTTACAACACTGAGGAAGCATGACAGTATGTTCTAGTTCAGTAAAGCCTTTGCCTAACTTTGAAACATGTATAATAGTCAAGGGAATGTAACTTTATGCTTTAAGACAGCTGGAAACTTGAAAACCATCTTAACTGGGTATTCAGCCAAACAATGTTTTGCTGAATTGAGTGCTAGATTATTTTTAGCAAACAGTATATGAATAAAGTGATATTATTTTTATTTTCAAAACTGGTATATTAACCTTGGAGGTATTTGTTTGTTTTTAATTTTATTTGATTTTTACTTTACCTTGCTGTCCATTAATTATCATGTCTGTTTCATTTGGTGACTGGTTGCTACAATGAGACTGAATTATTTCTGGAGTGGTTTGCAGAGGATTCAAGAGATTTTTTTCTTTATTAAAACTGTTTGACACTCACTTCATCACAAAAGATAACCATTCCTGGGTGCATTGATAGGAACCGTCAGCTGGAAGGCATCTCGGTGGTAGCGCAGCAGTTCCATGAAGCTCTGGAGCCACTGGTGGAGTGGCTGACAACCACAGAGAAGAGGCTTGCAAATGCAGAACCCATTGGAACACAGGCCTCCAAACTGCAGCAGCAGATTTCTCAGCATAAAGTAAGATACAAACCACTCACTTGCTTTGATCATACTTTTTAGATCTTCTGTAAAGCACAACGAAACTGGCAAAGCTGTTGCACTGTACTCATTTTACCATACTGTTTCATTTTTTTCCCCTTGTAATTTAAGTTTTATACATTTATGTTGGCAATATGTCCTTTTTTGTTACATTTTTATTGAGTTCCACTTAAATTTATTTTCCGTTTTTCTGATTTTCTTTTCCATTATTCTTCATTATTTAAAATAAAATATAGGCCCTAGAAGATGATGTCCTAGCTCACAATAAGAGTTTACATCAGGCCATTAGTGCTGGTCAGTCTCTAAAGACTATGAGCTCCAGGGAAGATAAAGATATGGTGCAGGAAAAGCTAGATTCTGCTCAGGCACGATACATTGAAATTCAAGAGAAGAGCAACAGCAGATCTGAACTTCTCCGGCAAGCTTTCAGCAATGCTCAGATTTTTGGGGAGGATGAAGTTGAATTGATGAACTGGCTGAATGAAATCCATGATAAACTGAACAAATTGTCAGTCCAAGATTGCAACAGAGAATTTCTTGAGAAACAGCACTCTGAATTACTGGTATTTTGATTTCTGTTCATTTCTTATTTAATTCATGTTTTTAATTTGATTTATATCCCCATACATCATTTATTTTCATTAATATATTTTGTTTAAAATGTCAGTATGCTTATTCTAAATAAAAATAATATATTTTTTTAGGTCTGTGCTAACATAAATGACCTTTATTCATAGGATCTTCAGGAAGAGATTCTTCTTAGAAAACAAAATGTTGATTTGGCTATACAAAATGGGTTAGAGCTTCTCAAGCAAACAACAGGTGAGAACTTACATAAAACTATAATTTGTCATACTTTTTTTCCTTGTACTTGCCTAAGAAAATTAAAGTGAAGCTTGTAAATATGGTTCATATTTACTGGTTAAAGCAATCATAGTTGTTTATTTTAATAAGGCTTGAGGTCAACCTAGGCTATGTTTTGGGGCCAATTTTACTTTTAATGTAAGTGAGCAAAAGGCCTTTTTTGCCTGTAGAGAATTTAGCCCTTGAATCATTTTATTATTTTTAGTGGAAAATTATTCTAGTGAACCTGCATTCCATTCCTAATAGTGAGTTATGGACATTACTCATAATGGAGGGCTGTTTGGCAGTGGACACAGTAAATTCCCTGCAGGCATCCACAGATGAACAAGGTATTAGACTACCTATTACTGCAAGGGGAAAGCTTCAGCCATGGGAGCTAATACTGTGGGAAAAGTTGCATTCCAGTTATACACAAGTGTGTCTGCGCTGTAGATCAGCATCTGTCCAGATTTTCCTGTACTTAGGAAGTTCTTGAACCCTTTGAGACATACATGTGTTGTGCAGGGTATTATCCTTTTCTGTTCCAAACTTTGACATTACACATATTCTGTGATGAAATCTGAACATTTCTAATATTATGGCTAATAAATTTCAATGCATTGTTTTTCTTTTAGCCTTTTGAGTTTTGTTTCAAATGGACAGCAATGAGGGTGAATTGTGATGTCAAAATCTACTGTAATTGAAAGTCTAGTTAATAATATGTAGAAATTTTTTTGTTCTTTACATTTTCAGTAACACTTTTATATCTTTTATTTGGCCTTTATAAGAAGTATTGTGAATTTAAGGGTGGATTTTTTTAATAAGAACATTTCTGTTTAAAAATGGATTTAACTCCTTAAGTTGTAATAGTTTAGTAAAGCAGAAAAAAGACAGAAGGACTGATCCTGAACTGAAGTAAAATTTGTACCTCTGTGGGTTTTAGTGATGGTAGGATAATTTACAACAGTTGAGGATTGGGCTTGTCACTTTGCTTGGGTTATTTTATGAATTAAATACTGAAGTTTCTGTAATATGTGGAGTTTGGGATTTTAGTTTTTTTGTTGTTGTGGTGGTTTTGATTTTTTAAAAATATTTGTCATTATGGGAGATAACATTCTTTTCATATTTTAGGTGATGAAGTTGTAATTGTTCAAGATAAACTGGAAGGCATTAAAGCGAGATACAACGATATTACAAAATTAAGTTCTGATGTATCCAAGACTTTAGAGCAGGCTCTGAAGCTTGCAGGCCAACTGCACTCAACTCATGAGGAACTCTGCAAATGGCTTGATGAAGTAGAGATGGAGTTACTCTCATATGAAACTCAAATACCAAAGGGTGAAGAATTAAGCCAAGTACAAGAAAGACAAAAAGTATGTTTTAGAACCTGGAAATTATTTGCTGTTCTGTGATTTGGTGAGGTTTTGTGTTAATTCATGCTTGATATGAAATAATTTTTTTAATAACTAATTTTGGTATCAGATAATTTGAATAAGTGTAACAGTAGTTAAGAATCAAACTCTTTTTTCCAGAGTCATCTGTTATAATCACTTATGAAGTTGGGCTGAGGTTTATTTTAGCAAAAGAGAAGAACAGCATTTTTGTTTTATTCGAGGAGCTACCTAAGACTGGGAAACTTCATAAGCTGTCAAACAAAGTTATTTTAGTTCTTTAGCTGTGGCACGGATAAAATCCTGTAAAGCGTCAGCATTTTAAACATATATTACTAATTTTGTTTAACAAGATCTATTTAAAAAAATGCACTGTAAGCTGCATGGTATAGAAAATGTTGAGGGTGGAAGCTTAAAAAAATTCTATTAAATTTCTTTAATAGATGGGAAGTTCTATACAGGTAAAAGCTTGTTCCTTTATGTGAATGTGTGCTTGAAATTTAATCCAATAATTTAGAGTTATTGCAGGAATAATTTTAATTCATCATGTTTTGCTATATTGCATGCCAATTTCATTTGCTGATGATTTAATTACTTATGGAGCTGCAGTTCAGAACCATCCATTAGTTTTATTTTTTTTGGATGCTTCACGAAGTACTAACAATTTTTAGAAAATTTTCAGTCATACTGAATGGAGAAATATATTTAGGTTAGATTTTGTGGAAAATTTTCTTAATAATTACTTACTTTTTGTCAAACAACTTACAGTACCAAAAAGCTAATACAGTTTAGCTGAAAATAAGTATTCTAATTTATCCCTTTGATTTGCATGGAAAGCATTTCATGCAGTATTTGAAAGAATGAAAAAACTGCGAACTGTGTATGTTGCATTCATATACTGCCATATTTAAATGGTTTAATTGTTTTAAATGGCCTTTTACAGGAGCTGAAGAAAGAAGCAAAGAACAACAAAGGCTTAGTGGACACTCTGAATGAAGTTGGCAGTGCCTTCCTGGAGCTGGTGCCATGGAGGGCCAGAGAGGGGCTGGACAAGATGATAACGGAGGATAATGAACGTTACAGATTAGTGAGTGACACGATCTCTCAGAAGGTGGATGAGATCGATGCTGCCTTCCTGAGATCCCAGCAGGTACTGAAAACTGTTCTTTGGACAGTAACAGTCTCTGGATGTGTGTACTTCAACAAAAGCTGTCCTTCAATAACGTTGCCAAAAGTTTGTTATGCTTGAGCAGCAAAAGGCCCATTTGAAATGGGACTCCAGTGTTAAAATATGAATGCCAAAAATCTGTTAATCTGTACTCTGCTGTAGTTGTTGCCTTTTTGTTCATGCAAACACCAATATTTTAGCTAAAATTGCTGTTAGTAACCTGTGGCTGCTTAGGTCGGGGTTTGCTTAAAAACTGAATGGCCCGCATCTTTTGTGCATCATGTGTTAAGTAAAATATGGTCCAAGACCTTGAGCCACCTTTTCTGGAGATGACACTGATATTGCTAGGTTGGCCATACCTTTTAGCATCTGCTGATTGTCTAGCTCCTCTGCACATTAGACCATTAATGTGGAGAATTTAAATATATTTTATTTTGCATTTTTATTAATATCCTAAATCCTTTTATTAATATCCTCAATACTTTTGTTCCTGGAGTGCAAAACCCGAGTTATTTAATATGTGGAAGTTTCTATACATGCACAGAAGTATATGTGGATACTCTTTGAGAACTGGGCTCTAATTTTGTCACTAAATAGTCTCATATTTAAGCCACCTTATAAATACATTGTGGAAACACAGTTTTCCAGTTCAGGCATACAAATATTGGTGGAGATTTCTCGTTTTGCTGTATAGTTTACTTAAACAGTTGTAGGAGGACAAGGAGAAAGCATGTGATAATTTCAAAATTTGCTCAAAGCTCACTAAAAGAGGCACTAATTCAGATTTTCTTCTAAGTGACCCTAAACCTCTTTTTAAGAGGTTTGATAATTAATATTTTCTCATCTCATTAACCTAATCCTCAAAAGTGACAGGTGATTTTTATTTTATATTTTTAATGAGTGATAATGTGAGATAGGAGATTATATTATTGGCTCTCCTTCAGATTTTCTGAATTCCATGAGTATGTTGCATCCTCTAGCATAAGTTGATCAGTTTCAGGTCCAGTCATGAAAAGTCCAGAGCTCCTATTCCACTAGCTTATGTTGCAAGGGCATGTTGCACTCTAATCCTGCATACCCCTAACCTCCACTTCAGCACAATATCACAATAAACTCCTATACACCATGTCCTGTGATAAATTTTGGGTGGCTTAATGTGCTTCCAGTAAGATACTTCCCATTCAGCTATGCAAAATAGAAGCATTTTTGGAGAAGCTAGTGCTTTTTAAGTTTGCCCTGTGGCAACTTGTTGAAGTGCCTATACTCTTAAGTTTTGGCTGGAGGACAAAGCTGCTGAGAATACAAGGCTTGGTAGGAGTAAGCATGGGTTTCTTGTGAGATGTTCCTGGACCAAGGTGAGGAATGCAGCAAGAAACACAGATGATTAAGCAGAATAGCTTCATATTGTGAATGGAAGCTGGAAGAATAATAGACAAATGCAATGTCTATTGCATTTTGCCCAGGTAGGTTTTTAACTACCCGGGCAAAATGGTCTCAGACTGATAATAAATTCAGCTACATGGTTTAGTCTTTATTTCTCAAGACTGAAGGCCTTGATGAGGTCCTCTAGTGAAGGAATCCTATATAGAAACACAAGGTCATATTCTACCTGTTCTTCACTCTAAAGCAACCTTAGAGAGTGCTTTAGAAAGCATTCATGGAGAAAATCACAGCATCATCATATTCAGAAGTCAATCATTCCTGATCAGAAGAAAATGTACCACAATGAACTATGCTTGGTTAAACTGGATGGGGATTAAGTAGATGATTTTATAGTGACTCCAAGTGTAGCTGAGGGCTCATGAGTAACTGCCATGTGTAACGGGAAGAAAACATTTCAAATTTTGGATGCAGAGAGTGCCAATTTTATGCTTTTTATTCCTTAATGTTGTTTTTAAGCATCACGAATTGGAAATCCTATGCCTTCAGCAAATTGAGTTTAGAGTTCTTCCCTTCCTCATTACTATTTAACTTAGAAGTTTCAGTGCCATGCCTTGGTTTTGTTATTTCCATGAAATATTTCCTTAGTATTACTTACGTACCCATGAATATTTGGTATCAGGAAGTCACACTGCAGTTAGTTTGTACATCTAACACATTTGAAATCATCTTCTCCTTTTCAGTCTTAAATAGATGGACATCTGAAAGCCTTGATTGTGAACTGTACTTCCTAAAGCCAGGATTTAACTAGTCCTGGTGTATGTGATTCATGCTAATGTTTACAGTACTGATTATTTCAGAACATACCTTTCTAGTAGGATGTCACAATGCTAGGACAAATCTTACTTTCTGTAACTTTAAATGAGAAATGACATATACTGAAAAAGAATGTTCTGCTCTTTCACGTAACAAATGGATTATAAAGGCCGAAGAAGACTTGACTCACAAAGAATGAAATCTCAGGATTATTTCTTTCATTTTGTGGGACTCATGATGAACCATTAAGACAAGCCTGTGTTAGTGACTAAAGTGAATTCCAATTATATTAAGGAGCAGGGTTGTTATGGACTACAGCCATAAAAACAAGTTTAAAGGCACGTCATATTTTAAAGACCCATCATATTTAAGTTTAAAGGCACATCATATTTTAAAGACAAGTGGGACTGAGAGTGTTCAGAAGAAGATTTCTGGGGAAAGTGTGTGGCATCAGCAACACAAGTAGCAGGTTCTGACCTATAACATCCTGACAAATTTTCAGAGTAACTCAGGGCTATATTACAGTTCAGGTAATTTTGGAAAGGGGTCAGAGTTTTAACGAATTTAGCAACTAAATTCTTATTTAGTTTCTAGATATTTTTTCTACATAATTTCAACAATGTGCATCTGATACATCCCATGTAATATTTCTCTATGGCTTAGGCTCAAAGTTGCACTGCTTGAGTACTGCAACATGTGCGTGCTAAAATGTGTGCCTATAAACTTGTTCTGAAGAGAGAATGTATGCTTTTGGTTTTTTTAAATTTGCTCTCACATTTCAGAAGACTTAGATTCCCACATTCTTCTTTTCATGCCTTTCTTTGCAAATTAGTAAGAAACTCATTTCATTATATTAGTGCTTTTAGGAAATTTCTGAAACACTTAAATGTTGACTATTGTAGTCAGAAGTTAATCTAAAAGTCAGAAAGAAGAAAAAGGACTGGCTGTATTCAAATGCGCAAAAAAAATTATTTTGCATTTAATCTGAGTCCTAGATCTGGATGAAATCCTGTCTTCTCTAAATTCGGTGAGGTTTTTGCACTAACTTTGCTGCACTGTGATTGTTTTGCCTTGATCATTTAATACCAAAGCAGCTCTTCAGATTAATAGGGTAACATCGAACAACTGTGTCTCAGGATAATTGCAACACTAGCAGTAATAATAAACACAGAGATGGAAAAGACATTTAAAAGTAGAATAAAATGAAAACAAGCAGTCTAGTTAAAACTCTGAGATTATAATCCTTTTTTATTTCCTTACAACTGTTAGAGAGCTGTAGGCTTTGGAAAAAAGTATTTGCTTCTTTTGCTTTGTCATGCTTATGAATTAAGCTGCTTGTATTACAATTCCTCAGAACCATTTTGGGCATTGTATTTCATTTCTATAAAAATCTCAATGGAAATTTAATAGCTATCTTTCTGAAAATTCAAAAATACACTGTTTAATCTTCTTTAAAATTTTTGAAACTATTGTTCTACTTTCATATCTGTAGAACTGCAGAACTAATTCTTGTCTCCCTCATTTAGTTTGATCAAGCAGCTGATGCTGAATTTGCCTGGATTGCAGAAACAGAAAAGAAACTGATGTCTCTGGGTGATATTAGGCTTGAGCAAGACCAGACCACTGCTCAGCTGCAAGTTCAAAAGGTAAAAGAAATGCATTTCCAACTGTCATGTTAATTATTGGCCGGCACACTCTCCATCTAGAGAACGTACTGGCATGATTTAATTTTCAATCCAATCATAATGAATGCATTTCAAAACCAGCTTTTGCTCCAAATACTTTTTTTAAAAAATATTATTCTTACCAACTTTTATTGTGTTTCAAGGCTTTTACCATGGAGATTTTAAGGCACAAAGATACTATAGATGAACTTGTTAAATCTGGGGATAAGATTATGAAAACATGCACTGAAGAAGAGAAACACACGATGAAGGTAAAGTTCCTTAAATTGCAGCTACAGTGGTAGATATGCAGATGATATAGAAGAAGAAGGATTCCTATTGTGTCTTTTTAAAAATACAAATGAAAAAGCATTAATTACGGTCACTTCCTGTCTGGGGATTGTAGTGCTAGAGGAAATGCTGTTGTGTATTGCTCTCCTTCCTTCAGGATGTTAAAAGAACAAACACTGTGTACTTGCTTCTTTGCCTGACACTAATTTGGAGTTCCATTTATCATCTTCATCCATAGTAAATAGTATTTTAGCCTATAGATGACTGAGTAAAGAGGTGTTAGTCATCTGGGTTGATGTGTGGAATCTGGCAGTTTATCTTCCGAGTTCTTTTGGGTCAGTGGTGCTGTGGGCGTGAGCATTTCTGTCCTGAATTCAATGGCTCTGCACCTCAGTGTCAGCCTTTACTTTCATTTCTGCTGATTTCCATGTAGACCTTCCTTGCCAAGATTATTGCATCCTGTCACAGCCCATGAAAGGCATTCTTATGACTTTGTTTATTACACACAGATACAGAGGGCCCAATGTCAGGGCTGCAAACATATAGAGATGGATTTTTCATGTTGGCATTAAGGAAAGATTAGTTGTGGGATTGGGATTTTTTGCCAAATTACAATGAGGCTGGATATATTGTGTAGATTCAGTCCTTTGAATCCATAAAAAACAAAGTTTCAGTAATTGTGCTCTGCTGCAGGATTTCTGAATAAATTTTATTTGCTCTTAAGTAAATTTAAAATAGATGAGGTGTTCTGCCTGTGAAGCTGTAGTCATAAGGCAGAGCAGTTTTGTGTGAGTCTCTACTAAATATTTTTATTTGTCAAAAGTACTGTATAGCTGTGTGTTAAGGTTATGTTCTGTCCTCTGGATAGCATCTCTGTACTTAATTTACATGCAAGACATAACAAATGAAAGGATAGCTTGTTCTGCCAAAAGGGAAAAAAAAAGTTTCTTCATATTCAATGTCTTGCTTATATGTAGTTTTTCCAAGGCTTGGATTTCTGTGCATTGTCACATATAATATTTCATAAACACGATAACATGGGCAGTTTTCCACAGGAAAAATATAGCTAGTATAGCTAGTTGATACTTTCATTTATTATTACATGCCCAAATACATTAAATTAGTAATGTTATTACTAAAATTAGTGATGTTACTACTAACATGTTATTACTAAAATTAGTAATGTTACTACTAAAATTAGCCTTATAGTTCTATCACTATTATCTGTGTTATTAATGGTAGTACATTCTCTTTAGGTAATGCATGCTAACCTGGAAAATAGTGTTTTGTAGTTTCTGTTGCAAGTCTGTAAATGACAGTCACAACAATATATCCTATTATCTTGCCAGAATGGAAAACTCCCCCCCAGAAAAACACCGAACTAAATTAAACATCCAACAGATTTTGTGTATTTTTCCTCTTGCTTTGATTCAGAAATGCTGTGGAAAACTTAGTTTCTGCCAAGTGTCACTGAAGATAAGTGTCTGCAGTAAGGAACTTGGGCTAAGATCTGTAGTCAAATCATTTGCAGCTTGACTAGAAGCCCTATGAATAAAGTGTCATTTGTAAATATCAGGCTTGTTAAATGTATTCAAATTATTTTGCAAGTACTCTGTCAAAGTTTGGTATCCCTCATTGTTGATTCTGTCCACCTTAAACAGTGATACTGTAGAAACATCAAAACTGAAATTTTATTCACTGTGAATTGATGCTAAAATTATCAAAGAATGTTTGGAAATGAAGGTAAGAGACACATGGAAAAACATACTTTTTAAAAATTAATATTATTTTACAGAAAAAAATTGAAAGCCTCTTACAGAAATATGATCAAGTCTGTCAAATGAACTCAGAGAGAAACCTCCAGCTGGAACGGGCTCAGTCCCTAGTTAACCAGTTCTGGGAGACTTATGAAGAGCTTTGGCCATGGTTAACTGAAACAGAAATGATCATCTCCCAGCTTCCTGCACCAGCCCTTGAATATGAAACTTTAAAGCAACAACAAGAAGAACACAGGGTAAGCATTTTGCCAGTTTTGAAAGAGAAAGTATTAAATATTAGGAAATGTTTTGCTTATAACTGTGGAGTACTCTGCAAAATTCTTAAAACTGAAAGAGATAATCTTCTGTTGAAAAAAAATTAAAACAATAATAAAAATTATATACATTTTCAGTAATTTCTCTACTGTTTACCAAACTGTGCATGTAAGCAAGAGTCTCTGGGGATGGTAGCAAGTAATGTGTAAGCATAAAAGAGGGCTAAAGGGTAATAATTGCCATTGTATTGAGAGAACTGAATACATAAAAGTTATTAGTTAAGGTGTATATTTAGAAGTACTTATTAATGTCAGTATTGGAACAAACCAAAACAGAAACAGAAAGATATGGGATGTTGAGCAAGAAACAAAAAGGGGGTACAGATCTGGACATATGCTGATCTTATGTATGTATAAAAAAATCTGGCTTTTGTTTTGTTGGTAACATTGAAACTAAACTTAGCTGAGTAAGGAAGATGAGCAATTAGAGGGCCAAGAATTGATTGCTTGGCTACCAATCCCATAGTAATTTATCGTGTCAAGAATGTTTATTGTGTAATAATTAAAATAAATAATTGTTTACCATAGCATCACAAAATAGAGGTGACATTGTTGTAGACTGGCCACTGTATGGGTTCTCTTACATGGATATAAATCAATTTGGATAAAAATTGAGGTGTTTCATAGATGACTGCTAGTATCACATGGAATCAGATGCATCCCACTGAGGTTAAGAACCTGCATGTTTTGGCAGATGCAAAACCTGCATGGCCACTGGAGATACCTGTTTCTCCCTGCTAAGCATGGAGTAACTAGTGTTTGTTTTGTTGTTTTTTTTTTTTAATTTTAGCTGCCTCCATTAAGTGACTCAAGATAGATAGCATGAGCCCTGGCTTCAAAGTCTTGTTTACTTTGAGACCAGCTAATGAAATGTGCCACTCTTATGTACTGGTAAACACCAGGTTCACTCATTTGTCTTCCTATTAGGTCCAGAATGAACAAACATGTTCTGTTAAGACTAGCTACATAACATAAGCTTTACAAACTACCTTGATTAGTCACTGTGAACCATATCATGCTTGCTTTACTTGCAGGATTGTTCCTCATGTACTTTAATCATGCTGCTTCTATGAGAAGCCTTTCAGATGAGTTTCTATTTTTGCATTTTCCCCAGGCTATGCCATTAGCTGAGATTTGTTTGTTAAATAGCAGATTAATGTCAGGCACTTTTAACATGTAATCTGCTCTGAAACACTTGTTTGCTAGAATTGTTTACCCAATAGTAGATCATGAAGAAGACCAACTAATTTGTTGTTCTGTTAAAAAGAAGAATAAAAAAAAGGTAGCTCTCAAATGTGAATGAGAACCTAATGTTTCTGTTCTGATGTATTTACTGATGACTATCTTTGTTCCAAGTTGTGGAATTCATAGACTTTAGACTTGATTCTATGTGAGTAACATGCAGTTAGTTTGGTTTGAAATGAGCTGTTGGCAGAGTATTAGCATAAGGTTTAGACCCAGAAATGTGCACTCTTGTGGTCTTTTGTCAGGTCATCTCTTTATGCTCAAAAGTAAACCATACAAAATTATTTTGTAAAAATTTTCAGAGTGTTCTTAAAATCTCCTTTTCCTCTTCTAAGCTAATCAACTTTTTTTTTTTTCTTGTGGCTGGGTGTAGAAATTAAGTTACATTCAAAATAAATAGTACAGTTAGGGGGTTGGGGGATTATTTTAATTTCTGTTCTGTCACTGGGGGACTGAAGAGTTGTGTCACTTTCTTCTCAGTCTCCTCAATGTCTCCTCTTCTGGGGAGGAGCAAGGAAGAAAGCCAGCATCTGGATTCCTTTTTAAGGGAAGGACTGTAGTAAAGAGAGAAGAACTTATTTACACTGAGACTGATAGAGGCTCTTTTCTGGGTCTTCATTAATTTAAACAAACTCTCAGCTGGAAGGAGCAGTGGATGTACTTCTCATGTTCCTGCACTGGAGCTATTGGATAGAAACACATGGAGTTCACAGCACTGAGAGGGACAGTGCCTCACAAGGCTAGGACTTTTCTGAAAAGAGAGGGATGAGAAAGTAAATAAAATTTAGGGATGGAGGGAAGGATGGGGCTACTCACATAAACAAAACCCTTTCCCTTTTGTCAGTTTTATGGGTGCAAGCAAGAAAAATCAGAAATCCTCCGACAACTTGGAAGACACCTTGTGATATTTCACTTCCACAAGCCCCTGCAGTTTTTGCCTCTGGGGTGGATGATGAGAGAGAATAGACAGCTGAGATCAAATATAATGCACTTACTAATTACTTGTTAAACATGGTGCAAGTTAAGTAATAGAAGGGTCTTGTGGCCTGAAGTGGAGATGGACAAACAAGGTTAATAGGTCTCTACTGATCACCCTTGCTTGTCCTTTTGCCTTTTTCACTGATTTCTTTGACCCTCCCTTGTGCTGGTTTCCTGTTCTTAAATCAAGCATAATTTGAATTAATTTTCTTGCAATGCTGGTCCCTCTTTCTGTGATGCTCTTCAATGAAAGGCTTTGCAGCATGTGACCAATATCAACATGAAAAGTATATATGTGGTGGCGTTACGCCCATGTCTGGAATATCGTTGTCCTTTCTGTCATTATAGGTACTAAATATGATGGGCAATGTCTGTTGTTAGCATCATATGCATAATTAGCATCTTACATTCTGCCGGTAATCATATGTCCTGCCAGAGTGTTTCCAGTGTGTCTCTAGTTCTGATGTTTTATGCATGGATAGTTGTGTGTTAGAGTAGGAACGATCACTGGCAAAGCAGTCATTAGCTTTATTTCTGCTTTACATTAAAACGAAAGGCATTTGTTTGGAATTTCTTGCCAGCTGGATGTGTTGGAAGTGTGGACAGTTGTAATGTGGTGGTGCAAACATAAGAAACTGATAAGTTGTTTCATTTGTTATAGCAACTGCGTGAGCTGATTGCTGAGCACAAGCCTCATATAGATAAGATGAACAAAACTGGGCCTCAGTTGCTGGAGCTGAGCCCGGGAGAAGGCTTTTCTATCCAAGAGAAATATGTGGCAGCTGACACCCTTTACAGTAAAATTAAGGAAGATGTCAAAAAGCGAGCACTGGCACTGGATGAAGCCATTTCTCAGTGTACCCAGGTATCAATTACGGTTTAAAGTATAATTGGGTTCATTCAATGGAAAAATACACGTTGTCATTTTACATGATTATATCAAGACTAAACTACTGTTTCATCTGGATTTTTCAACCTAATGGTCTGTGAATGTTCATATCACCGCTAATGGTATTGATTTTTCTATATCTCGAGCGGTTATAATTTTATATGTTGGTCAGTATTATGACTTTGCAGCCACTGAAAAATGTTACAGCTGCTTAATTTTGAAGTAAAACTAGTGGTCTAAAAATGTGGGATTTGATTTTCACTTTTGTTTTATCTTACTGGTCTGTTGCTAGCTGATGCTTCATTTGTTAACAAATGTTAATTTTGATCAGTTAACTTGGGTATAGTTATTTCTAGAAATTAGCAGCTGTAGTTAACAGTTGTCAGTGGAACTAGTGGGTAGTTTAGCAGTGGTAGTGGCATTGGCTCTTTGCTGCAGACTCCAAAGAAGGTAACAAACATGCTGAAACTGTTACAGAAAAGTATTGCCAGGAAACATGGATTTCACAAAATGTCATCAGCATAAAACTCAGGTCAAGTCCACAAAAGCTGCATATTCTAGCTTCATCAGCCAATGAAATGAACCTCAGTAGAGTATTGTCAAATGTCGTGTTCTAGCAACTGTTAAGTATTGGTTAATTGTTATAACTGTTAAATATGGGTTAATTGTCATTAAATTCACACAGAATATTTTTCTTCTACCCCAGATTCAGAAAAGAACTCAGTAAAACTTTTTACATAAACCCATACAAAAACCTGAATAAAAATACTTAGTTCTATACTGCTGTTTTTATAGGAAATTCCCCTTTTTTCTCTGTTCCCTGGAAATTAAGTACTATACTCTGCTTAGGTCTTAAATACTAAATAAAGAAATGCACCTTGGAGACCTTACCAATTCTACATTTTAAGGAATCTTTTCAGGTCATTATAATTAATGTCATATTCCTAGCCCCTGCAGCTGAGTTTAAGAATGTGAGGCAAAACTAAATGACATCAGATATCATCCTGCTTTTGAACTGGTTATAGATGTTTTATGTTATGTATATATTTACTGTCTAAACTTTCAGTCATTCTAAACACCTTCCTTATTCGCACCTTTGAAATATGCCTGATTATTTAGATCCTCTCTTTTTCTTTGTCATAAATGCTTAGTCTTCCCCGTATGTGGAGCTGCCAATTTGAAAATCAAGATACTTACTTAGTGTTAGAGTCCCTGTTTTGTATGTGATAGACATCAGCATGTTGTACTGGCTAAGTACAGAAAGCAAGAATTAGAAATGCATTCTTTGCTAACACCTAGAACATAATCAGATGTTGAGAAATTACTATTTATGCAATACTTTATGGTTAATTTTATATACCTAAATGTATACACAGATGGCAAAGCAAAGCATTCTAATGCCCACAGAATGTAATTATATAAAATATTTTTTATGAAGATATGTGAATGTGTATTATCAGATCTCTCTACTATGATGTTTATGTCAATGTTTGTCTAGACAGTCCTTGAAGAGTAATTATTTAACTCTTCAGGTTTGAAATTATATTAAATTGCACTGTGTATCAAAGGACGGACGTAATGTATGAAGCTAGAATGAGAGGTTGTAGTGACTTGCATTTTCTTCCTTTTAAGTTCTAAAACACTTTGTCTTATTTGTTGAAGTTGGTACAAGGAGGCCCGCTGAATGCACGGACAACTTAAAAATGCAGTATGTGTCCTAAAATGAGATGCAAATATTGCCAAATTAATTTCAGTTTTTATCACTTTTGTTAGGTTTCCACAATCAGTTGTTTGATTGTTGCCACCATCAGTTTCTCAGAAGTCTTGAATGTAGGAAAGCTACTTTCCTTTCATAACACATTTTGTTGGCTTGTATGATATTCACACTTCCAACAAAAACACTGAGGCCTGTAATGTTAGTCATAGAGTCAGATTTGAAGTGGGTTGTATGGTGGGAAAACATAATCATATTTATATTGCCTGTGTATAATCCTTTGAAGAGAAGGGATGTAGCTATTTGTTCACAAAAGTTAATCTTGTTTTACTGTGTTCTTTCTTGCATCTTTCCCAGGTGTTGTCAGGAGTACTTTTTGTACATCCTGGAGAGTCATTAAATGCACCCGTGATTTATAGATTTCTTTAATTTGAAGGGAGTGTGGTGATACAAGATATTTAGGAATCTCTGTAAATTCAAAAGCATATAATAAAGCCTATCCCAAAGGCTGAACCTCTTTAACACAGCTGTAATTTAATTTCTGAGCACCTACCTGGGCTCAGTCAAACACAGAAGAATATAGTATACACTGTTCTGTGCTTTTAGCTGCAGAAAGTAACATACCTTTACTTCACTGGTGATCACCTCCTGACCACTAACAGATGTCTTTTTGCATGACCTTACACATAAAGCCTCAGTTGGAGGTAGTATGTATATCAGGATGTTGGTCCTTACAGGAAAACGTATGTTTTTAATAATAAAGTACAAATCTGTCTAAAATTATGAAGTCAGAAAGCTATGGCTCTCTAAAGCTACCAACTACATGAGTTTCACAGGGCTAAATGTAACTGGATTCTGCCCTGTGTGTAGTACCCTCAGAGGGAGTGTCTCAGGAGTGAACCCGAAGTTAATAGAAAAGTTCTTGAATTTGAGAGAACCTACCATTTTACAGGGTTATTTTTGTAATTTAGATATTAAAAGAGCCTAGAGGGAGGTACTGCAATTTGCACATATATATGTTGGATAGAGATGCAAAGTACCTTTTCCCAAGATAATTTCAGATGCCATTTTTTAGTTTGTTGTTTTGCTTTTTTTTTTATTTATATTTTTTTATTATTATTCTAATGTGTCTGCTATTTCCTTCTGTCCTGTACCACCCTCATAGTTTCATGACAAGATAGATCCAACTCTCGAGAGTCTGAAACGCATAGTGGAACGTCTGAGGCAGCCACCTTCGATCTCAGCAGAGGTTGAGAAGATAAAAGAGCAGATCAGTGAAAATAAGAATGTATCAGTGGATCTGGAAAAACTTCAGCCAGTGTATGAGACACTTAAACAGAGAGGGGAGGAAATGATTGCTCGCTCAGAAGGCGCTGATAAGGATATGTCTGCTAAAGGTAATAGACTGAGAAAACTTTCATGTAGTGGAAATGCAGTAAGCTGCAGCATATAAAATTCTTCATTTCTAATGACCTCTAATCTGGGGAATGTTCTTTTGGGGAAGCTGCTTAAGATGTATAAAAACAAAACATTTGTTTAAAATAATTCATTGTAGATATGACCTTTATTTTATTTTTAAAGGCCATTGTGTTTGTTTTCACTTAACATTATAAGGAGTCCTGCAAAGAAATATTTTAGAGTCTAAATTTTAAAATGTACTCATATGTTTCTGCTGTAGAACTGTAAAGAGATTTATGACCAAGAATTGTTTGCCAAGGTAGTAATCTAGTTCCTTTGTTGTTTAGCTGTTCAAGATAAACTAGACCAAATGGTCCTAATTTGGGAAGACATCCAGACCTTAACTGAGGAAAGAGAGGCCAAACTGTTGGATGTAATGGAACTAGCTGAAAAGTTTTGGTGTGATCATATGGCTCTTGTAGCTACTATTAAAGATACTCAGGACTTCATTCGAGAGCTGGAGGGACCTGGAGTTGACCCATCTGTAGTCAAGCAGCAGCAAGAAGCTGCAGAGGTCAGTAGAAAGTATTTTCTTGATTTGAAGTACTTTATTTGTGGCATGCAGAGGAGAAATTACTTTGTAAAAAGAGGGATAATTGTGTAGAAATTTACAATAATGGTATCACAAGATTCTACAGTTAATAACATGTATCAGTGCTTAATTGCAATGAGCATACAACATGTGCTTGTCATTACATTTCCGTATTTGTTTGTAAACATATATATAATCATCTTACTCAGACTTTTAAAAGTTGTACATACTTGAGATTCCTCGAGTAGTACGTAACATCTAAATGAAAGGTGGACAAATGTATTATGCTCCATGTAGAATGCTCTAAGCCTGTAATTAATTATACTGATAGTTAAATGTTTGAAGGTTGAATGATAACCTCTGACAAAGAAGACACTCTGATTAAAGAAATCTAATTTAAAACTTCCTGTTTACTTTTTCCATCTCATGCAAAATGGTATCATAAACCATTGTTACAATTAAGACTGATGTCAGCTGATTTCATCTGACACTCAAAGAGATGCTTATTTTTTAAGTCCAAGTGACTAGTAGGAAAACAATGGTGGAATCCTGCTGTGTTCTGTCTTGAAAGCAAGTTGTACATATGTTATTAAATTTAGTATTAGCAGTGTTGGATTTTTTTCCTCTTTGTAGGCTGCTAAAGAAGAAATTGATGGACTACAAGAAGAACTAGAAGCAGTTGTGAGCCTTGGCTCTGAGCTGAGAACTGCTTGTGGAGAGCCTGACAAACCTATTGTTAACAAGAGTATAGATGAGGTATGGGAAATGCAGATGCTTAGGTCGGCTACATGATAGCTTGCTCAGCTGAAATTGGTATATTGCCTATGACCCCAACAAATTTTGAAAATAAAAATTTTGTGACAGGAGTGAGACACCACTGAAGCCTTTGTGGTAAATGAAGATTTGCCTTTTGAGTGAATAAATCTTAGAACATTACACACTGTTTTATTTCATTGATTTATGGTTTAGAGATTCTGTAAAAGACAGGTTTTTTTAAAAATAGTCACTGATTAATATTGTAGGTGACTATTTCTTGCAAAAAGTTATGCTAGAATGAGTTTTGGTTATGTATTGTTCATGCTAAGTGAGACATCTTAACTGAGACTATCCTGTTTGGATGACTGTAAAGTACTTTTTATTTCTCCAGTGTTCAGCAATGTATGATTCTTTTAAGCTATTTTTATTATGGTGGTGCAACTCCAAATGATTTAGTAGTATTTCCTCTATTAATTGTAATATCAGTCAGTATTGGAGTTAACACCTATTATAATCCAGAAGCTCTACTGAATTCTGAAAGAAATTAGTTAGGCAGTGATAGAGAGGACAAGAGTGTTAACATGGAATAAATATGAACTAGTTATGCTTAGTTTATTTGTATTACTGATCAGTGAAGTGTTAGTAAATGCACATTATATAGCAGTAAAAATATTTGGTCTGTTGGAGTAAATTGTACTTTCTTGCAGCTCAATTCTGCCTGGGATGCATTAAACAAAACATGGAAAGAACGTGTAGATAAGCTTGGGGAAGCTATGCAGGCAGCTGTTCAATACCAAGATGGACTACAGGTAAGATGATGTGATATACTTAACCGAACCTTGGATCAATGGGATCTAATGTGGTTTTAGTAAAATGTGTTATGTGATGAGGTAGGTGACAAGTACTGCACTGTGATTGTAGTGACTATTTTCTTGAGTAGTTAGGGCTTTTTTCTCGAGATTGGTTCGGGTTGGTTTGGTTGGGATTTTTTTGCATTAAAGAATATGTATGTTGGGTTGTTTTCTTCATGTCCATATATTGCACTGTGTTTAGAGTCAAAATAATGTCCCTTTGTTGATAAGAGTAGAGGTTTTTTGGCACCACACATTCAGAGTAGTTCTGCTCACATTTTTTTATGATAGTCAAGGCAGGTTAAAGTTGTGACACATCTTTGTGGTCTGAAAGGAACAGAGTTCAGGTCTGTATATCCACTTGCTGCTATTTTCTTTGAGTAGAAGACAATGCACTTGACTTTTATTCCACCTTTATTTATAAGTAAAATGAGTATTTTAAACAAAATGTTGCTAAACCATTATTCTTAGTATAATTTATCCTATCATGATGCTTTAGAAGGTGATTCCTTTTTAAATCTGTAGGCAAATATTCCAGCAGTTTTAAGATATCTTGTACATTGTGCTTCCTAGAACTGATGACGTTTAAAAAAAAGAGGAGTTGTATGACCTTTAAAGGTCTCTTCCAACACAACCTATCCTTTGAAACGATGGTATTTTCTCTGTTTATGCTGTTGGGTTTTTGTAGTTGTTTGTTTTTTCTTGGTGGAATTACTGTCTTCCCTTGTTCATTAAATCTTTAAAACTGGAATTTCATATGACACTGAGATCAGTTCTGTATTTTGTGCAGATCAAGCAGCAGACCACTCTTTAATAGTAATGCAACATGCCTGTTTTGCAGTGCACCATCACTGTGGATTCTCCTGTGTTCTTACTCTGCAGAGATTGATTATACAGTTAGAATCATCACCATTTGGTTTCAGTGCTTTCTATTTCCTGTAACTGTATATGGCACATCCTACAAACCCTGCTACTTTGTGAAAGAGTGTATTGGAGTGCTGTCTTACACTCATTTCAATAGACAGTATGGAAAGTGTTATGGACAGATTGTTAACTGCAGCTGCCTCACCCTCTTGAGCACATTGGGCATGGTTTTCCTTTTCTCAGGGAGCAGTGGACAGCTCCAAAAAGTTGTACCCTAAGCATTTCTCCTTAATGGTGTCTCCACAGATAACAGGCAGGTGGAAAAGGGCCTAGTTAGAAGTGTTTTTTCCCTTGTGCAATTACTCAGATTGATGCAGGTGTTCTTAATCTATGTAGAGGATTATTGAGGTTCTGCATTGTATTGGGAGCAAAAGGAATACCCACAAAGCATCAGAACTGGGGAGACATCATTTATTTATAATTTTATTTTTTTTTAAGTCACTCTGCATTATCCTATAGAGATTCATTCTGTCGCAATTATGGTCCTTTACCTCCTAGTATGTGCTGAATAGGTAGTTCCATGTTCCTTACACCAAAAGAAGTTTGTTTGTAATCCTCATTTAAGGTGTGTTATCCACCACCTTCCATTTTCACTCCAAACAATTGTAGAACAGAGTAAAATCTTGAGTAAAATCGGACATTTTTATGAATCCTCGGAAAGCTAAATACAAGAGGTAGATTGCTACTCAGCATGAATGATTCTGGCAGAATCTTGCTGCTAACAGAAGTCCAATCTTGCAGAATTTACACTCCTATAACTGATACATGGGTATTTGTTCTATTATATTACAAAGAAACCTAGGTTTTGCTGGGAAAGTCATTTTCTTTGAAAGAGAACAGCAGTACCTTCTCTGGAAAAAAGAAAAGTTCTGATATTTTATTTAATACAACTTTCAAAATAACATTTCTCTGCTCACACTTAAATATCATTTTGTGATTTTCAGGCATTATTTGACTGGGTAGACATTGCTGGCAGCAAGTTAGCTTCTATGTCCCCAGTTGGAACAGATCTAGAGACAGTGAAGCAGCAAACAGAGGAACTTAAGGTATGAACTAGAAGTTTGTTTCCTTTATATTTCCATTGTATGTATTTTTCTGTGTTGTGTAATATTTTTTGAGAGTCAAATGCAATTTTCATTTTCAATTTTTAGTAAAGAATAATTTGCATGAAAATTTAAAAATATTTAATTGCAAACTTTTCATTTTAAAATGCACTTAATTAAAAAATATATTTCAAATTTTGTCTAGGGTGGACATTTTTTCTGATAGCCCAAAAATAGTTGTAGCATCAATCATTCTCTTTCAAAAGCTATGAAGTTATTATGTCCAGGATTTTTCTGCTATGACCTTTATATTTTCTGGTTTCTAACATGAACAGTTTCTTTGACGCTCTGCGAGAAGGCCTCCAAAGCTTTGCTTCTGCCATTTGAGCCTTTGTGTAAATGCTCACACAGATAATGACATTCCCAATACATGACTTCGGTGAAAATCAAAATTCCAGTCTAACTCAGAAATCTGTCTGCATGGATTTGTACTTGTGACCAAATATGCTCCTGATGTTGGGATGCTGTTATGCCATGTTTAAAAAGTAGAGATATGTTAAGATCAGAGAAGGTTCTTGGTTTTGTTGCTCACTTGTAGATTTTGTTGGCTGTGAGCAGGCTGTTTTATATATTTTATGATGTAATTTCAATTGACCTTACATAGTTCAGAACATATGTACACAAGGGGCATTCAGATTGTTGCACCAGTTGTGTGTTAATGAGGATGTTCTGCTAAAGAAAATTTGCTTTCCCGTCCTGTCAAGAATAATTGCATTTGAACTTTATAGCATTATCACCATCACAACCACAAGCGCTAGAACGTAGAATCATTCTATGATTCTATAATCATTATTTGTGTTTCATTTATTTCTATTCTTTTTCTATTTACAATAGCAATTTAAAACAGAAGCTTATCAGCAGCAGATAGAAATGGAAAGACTGAACCATCAGGCAGAACTATTGCTAAAGAAGGCAACACAAGAGAGTGACAAGCACACTGTTCAAGACCCTCTCTCAGAGCTCAGACTATTGTGGGACAGCCTAGAAGACAAAATTATAAGTAGACAGGTAAATAAGCATGGAGGTGGGGGCTTTAGTAATGACTTCGTTTTTTGTGAAAAACTCTTTGTTATGCATAATGCTTATATTAATTTACACCTTCCTTTTAGTTTGAAAGCTAAAACACCTATATATAATAGGATTTGAATTGTACAATTAGTTGAGTTTTTAAACCTTCTTTTTAAATTTTCTTTCAGTAATGCTACGTTGAATGATTATTATTTCATTTTGGTTATTTGATGATGTCTTAAGTAGCAGTTGAAAACATGTTTATATGTACAAAAGTAATAGTAGCAGCTGAACTGAACAATTAAATAAAACCCCATTAACTTAATATTAAACTATTTTGGTGTTATTTCCTTAAATTATCAAGATATGTGAAAGAATCCTTTGAAGTGTATTATTTTTTTCTAAACTAAATAATTTCATGACAAAGAAAAGATTGTAAAGAGATCATGCACCAAATTGTATTTATATTGTTAAGTGACAACAAACTACTAGTACATCTGATGAAAGGACCTTCAATCTTAACTCTGGTCTGGTATGGCTTCTTCCAAGGTCAGGAATTTGAGCCTGGAATGCAAGGCTTTACAAGGGAATTGCTAACTCAGCTGTAGTTATAAAGCATTGCCTGTACTGAGTAACTCTTCCTCCCTGGTTTTTATTCTGCCTCATGTGTGGACTCTGCTCTGGATTATGGTGACTAATGGTAATGAAGACAATTCAATTGATTTGTGAAATGATTTTCTTGTTAACTTTATTTTTACTGTAGCACAAGCTGGAAGGTGCCTTGTTGGCCTTGGGGCAGTTCCAGCATGCCCTGGATGAGTTACTGGCATGGCTGACGCATACAGAAGACTTGCTGAATGAACAGAAACCTGTGGGTGGAGACCCCAAGGCTATTGAAATTGAACTTGCCAAACATCATGTATGTAATTATAAACAATATTGACCAAAATGTTCTTTTGATATTTATCTTAGGGATGAGTCTTCTGATTGAACTTTACATTTGATAAATAATTCTCTACATACACTTTCAAGATGCAGATTATAGCTGAAGTGAAGGCTTAGAATAAGTAATATCTTTCCTCTTACTCCTCCACATTCCTTCCTCTCTTGCATATGCTGTGCAAGTAGCATAAGTTTTAACTAAAAATAAACAGCTTACCCTAGACTCCACCTCTAATCACCTTTCTTTGACCTAGGGAATTCAAAACCTGAACCTACTACTCTCCCTGAAGCAATAAACTCCTCGATTAGTGCTGTTTAAGCCAGGTCTCACAAACTGCATGGCTCTTGCATATCTTTGGTTCTTTTTTCCCTCTCAGAACATAGTGATTTGTTCTGAATTCTGCAAAATTGGGTGTCAGCTGGTTTAAGCTAAGATGGAAAATGCTTCTCTGAAAATCTGTGCAAACTCCCATATTTTTCTCTGTGTTACTTGCAACATAGGGTTGTTTGTTTGTTTTAGTATTTTTACTGATCATTGTTATTTTGGAGCCCATGGAATAATGCTTCTGCTATGCCTTTATTTTAAAACACCTCCTCGGCGTTTTCCCTGACTCTATATGTAACTCTGTGCTCTTCATAATAATGTGTTCTTTCTGGGCTTGAAGATTTCAATCTAATTTTGTAATTCCTTTCCCTTTAAATCTGCCGTTTAATTTTTGGCCTGCATATGATGTAAAAAGCACTCAGAGTCCATTTTGGATTTTGAGAGAATGGATTGAAATTGACAGTACACAGATAATTAAAGTATTTTCATTCTGTGTTAATGCAGCTATGCAGTTTCTGAAAGTTTTTGGGTGGTCAGTTGGAACTTGAACAGAATACAGTATCTACATACCCTATGTGACTATTGTTATAAACAGACCCTTTTAAAATAGAGTAAATAAAATTACAAAACCAGGTTCTGCTCCACGAGCCTTTTATGTTCTTATCGAGCGGAAGTGTTTTACTAGTGAAGAAGCATTGAGACATCATTTGTCAGTGCTGAAGGAGTTCAGCAAAAACATGAATGAATCTACTTCCTCTTCATAATACAGAGTTTATAGGTTAGAAAGTTCACACAGTAGTGCATCCTGTGGTAGCCTGTAAAAATATCCACCTCTTGAATAACTTTGGAAAGAATAGAGCTTGTTCTTAGTGAGTCTCAGCAGGAAGGAAGGGATAAGATGCATCTGCTTCTTTGAATACCTTTTTTCACCCTGTTAAGAAAATAAAATAATCTGGTTCTTAGCTTAGAAGAATTAAAGTAAATGTGATGTGTATTTTGTATTCAAGGTCTACCTGTGACTTGCTATTTCGTATTGTGCTCCATTTGGTTTATTTTTAAGTTTATTTTTGTTTAGCTTTATATTTTTTCCATATGGTAGTACTTTGACGGAGGTGAGTTTGAGTCAGACCCGATGGAAGACAGCAATTCATAAACTTGAATTTCTTCGATAGGGTTGATAATTTTCTTCCCAACCATTTTGTTTATTTCTTTTTCTGTTCTGTATTAAAGCTTTTTTTGCCCTGCCCTCCATCCTTCTGAAAACAGCATGTTTTTCCCCAAATGCACCTTTTGCCTTTTATGGTTTTTACTGTGGTTAGTGATAAGATGTTTTCCAGCAGATGGAGGAGGTCTTTTGGTGTTAGTAGTACAACCATCCCCCAGCTTTTAGCACAGGTCAGGTGTCCTGGTAGCCTGACATGACGTGAAAGGAGTTGTAGCCATGATAGGCACAAGAAGACATTGTAGCAGCTGGGTTGTTGTATAGCACAGCAGGCACATAGTATTCAAAGCAAAGTCCTGTTAAAGAAAGTATATAATACATTTAAAAAGTGAAGAAATAATTATTCCCTAGCACTACTAAAAACCTTTAATAATTTCAGAAATACATGCTTTCAGAAGGAATATATTATTTTTTTCCAAGATACAAAAATTAGCTTTAGTATTTTGTCAGAATGGTTACTGCCAGAATTATTAGTGCTTTTGATTGAAGAGGTCTAAGAGCTTTAATATGTGATGCCTGTGCTGATGTTTAACTTGTCTTGTCCTTGGACTACAACTGGTTCAATCACTGTGAGTGCCTTCAGTCAGTAACTTACCAATATGGCCATGCTGTGTTACAATTGTAGGTGCTACAAAATGATGTTTTCGCTCATCAGTCTACGGTGGAAGCTGTTAAAAAAGCAGGAAATGACCTGATTGAATCAAGTGCTGTTGAAGAAGCAAGTAATTTACGGAGCAAGCTGGAACTCCTGAATCAGCGCTGGCAAAACTTGTTGGAAAAAACAGAGCAAAGGAAACAGCAGCTGGATAGTGCCTTGATCCAGGTGAGCAGGAAATTATCAAATATAGAGATAACTCAGAAAAAGTGTATTTTACATGAAATACACAGATACGTGTATTAGAAGTTGGCCTAAATCAAAACCATGGTGCAGATGCTCCTGAATTTGGAGAAAGTTTGAATCCAGCTGTATCAGGGAAAACATTGGTCTCACAGTAGTTATTTTGACTGCTTTCATGATTTCTACGGTTTTTGTTCTTATCCTTTAGATTGAATTGAGCTAGTTTGTTTGCTTTTTCCTTTTCCCCCTCTTCTTTAATTTCCTTTGGTTATTACAAATATCTGATTAAACCAGTTGCCAATGTGCTTATACATCTGAGCTGGTATTGGAATGGAGAAGATGTAAGTTATCTCTAAAATGATGTGGTATAATTTAGGCTCAAGGTTTCCATGGTGAAGTTGAGGATCTGCAGCAATGGCTGACAGACACTGAACGTCAGCTGTTGGCATCAAAACCTGTTGGAGGCTTACCAGAAACAGCAAGAGAGCAGCTTAATGCACATATGGTAAGTATCAGTATTAGAATGCTTTGCAAATTGCATTTCAGGACTAACTATCTTTTAAGACTGTTTTTTGTAAATACAGAGTGTGTTCTATGTATCACAATGTCTGTACAGTGTCTTAAACAAATTTAATAGCCTTCAAAACAACACTGTTATTTACAGTGTAGTTTAGTAGCCTGTTGGGGCATGCCCAAAGCTGAACCATTATTAGTATAGAGACAAATAAAACAACTTTTGTATCTTGACAAAAGGTATTTGCAGATTTTTCAGTGATTCCTATTCTTCTTTTCCCTTCTGACCCCATAACTAAGTTTATGATTTTTCTAAAGTTTGAAGATTAACCTAAAAATGGCCTACATTCACCTTGATTTAAGAGGTTTGATCCTTTATTCCTTATCTAATCAAATTTGACAGTAGTCATCATTAGCATAGAAGTAAGAAAGTCTACTGGCTCGTAGAGGCTGAGCATTAATTAGAAATGGCAAGCTGACCAGGATGCCTGAATTATTCCCTTTCTTTCTCTTTCAAGAGACATTCTGTGGCTTTCTCTACTCCCATAAAACCATAGAGTTTAAAAAAGACACACTTGATCTCTTTCCTCTAAGGAAGGTGGTTCTTACTGCTCCATTTGTGTAAAATCATGATGTGCTATTAGGCCAAAATATAAGCCCAGACCTTGTGATCTAAACCTCTGAATTCCTGGCTCAGATGTAACAGTGATACTTAACGAACTGTCCTTGAACAGGAATATGCCTGACCTGACACTTCCAATTAGAATGCTGAATTGTCATAATGTTTAAAAAATCAGATTTTTTTTTTGAATGATGCTAAAGATCATGGCTTACCAACATGAGGCACTTTTTGTTTCCTTCTTTTTTGTCCTCAGAAATTTGCCAGTATTTGTAATTGATAGGGAAACTAATTCACAATTTTAAAATCAGTTAAGACAGAAAACTAGATCCAAACACAAGTACTCCTGTGGTTTTGAATTCCTGTAATCCTTTTCTTTTTGTCATAAAGAAAAAACAAAAAGGGAAAAAATAGGTGGTGAGATTTTTTTCCCCTGTGAGAGTGGACCGTAATCATGATTCCTTGAAAGTCGGTGACAATCTTTCCTTTTTTATCCTGCACTTAGATCAAGATGCAAAACTTTTCCATGGAAACTTCAGGATTTTCTTTTAATACATTCTTTGTTATGCTAATTTTCTACACATTTCATGTTTACAGAGTGATTAGTTAAAGGGCCTTTAAATTCAGTGTTATAGTCTGAAAAAGTCTGACTGTCCCCAGTAATATGCATTCTAGGGTACAATCCCTCCCTGACTGTACATGTACAATGTACATGTACAGTAAATGTATATGCACATTTTAGCAGGGTGTTACTGACCTGGTGGCCATCTGCAGGCACTGACTTGCTATCAACCCTTAAAGTACAGAACTTTATTTCCTTTTGGTTAAACCTTAGTAGACATGTGCAGATATGTGTTAACTCTCTCTCTCTCCTTTTATTTTTTATTTTTTTCTGAAATGTTGAGGCCACTTCTCATGTTGTCTACTGCAGTCCAAATTCAAACTTGGCTCTAAGTGATTAGAGCCAACTGTGTTAATTACTGATGAGAAACTGACGGAGAAAGTTTTGCACTACATTTTGATTTGTTCCTCTTTGGAAATAATGTTATTAACCATGTTCTTTAGTATAAGGCCTGTTTCCACAGATGTGAATAAAATATATGAATAAAATACATGAATAAAAGAACCTCAGCCATAATTGGTTCACAAATGGAGTTGAGACTGGGCTGCATTTCCAGTTAAAGCAGCTCCAGGAAAACAAAAGTTATGAAGAGACATTACAGGATACAAGTAGGAAAGGGGCTTAAAAATACACCTTTTTAGCTGTCCCAGTGCTGCTCAGACCATCCCTCTCCTTTTCTTATCACTGTTTTCAGTTTCTTCCTGAAGTAGTAGGAGGAAGCAGGCTAGGGTACACCAGTTTCAATAGTTCTCAGTAAGAAAACAAAAAAGCTTTCTGTTGTGTGAAAATCTTAAGCTCATGAATGAACCTGCTTCTTGCTTTGCCCTCCTATGTGGTCAGGTACAGCCCTGTGTATAGTATCCCTTAACCCCCAAAAAATGTTTGGTTAGGCTCTTTTCCTGAGAATCAGTGGAAAAACTTTTTTTTTTGCAAGTCGCTTATTCCTCATCTCCTTGTGAAGATGTTCCTCATTTCTGAGTCTGCAGCAACTTTGTTGGTACATTTTGATTTGCCTGTTACCAATACTGAGCATGTCTTTTTGAGTCAGACAGATGCATGGGAGCTCCCAGACTGTTGCCAGCTTACCTTTAACATGATTTAAAAAGCATAATTATTAGAATAGTTAACAGGTAAAACATGTTGTTGCCATTATTATTACAGCTTTCTCTTAATGTCTGAAATGTCTCCAGTGCTCGTGCCTGGCAAGTGAAGGAAGATACTGACAATGTTTTGAAGGGTACTGGATAGGTCTGGACTTCTAGCACACTGTGTAATGCTGGCACTTTTTGTGTCAGACACAGATGGACTTTAAACCAACCAAGTTGTAGCAACTCTTCTTCAATAAGTGCATAGTACTTTGCCAGTCACTGAAACTCAAAGACATTGACAGACAATACAAGTTTCCATTTCCTGAGGGACTGTGTCCCTCATTTTATCATTTGGGTTTTTATGAATTACATGTGTTTCCTTTGCTAGTTTTAATCATACCTGATAAATGTTGGGGGAGGAGTAAATATTATATAGGAATTTATAAATAGTATTGAATTTCTACCTTATTATTTCTGGTCCTTTATTTAGGAACTTTGTGCTGCCTTTGAGGCTAAAGAAGAGACATACAAGTGTCTAATGCAGAAAGGCCAGCAGATGCTTGCAAGATGCCCAGAGTCTGCTGAAACAAATGTTGAGCAGGACATAAATAACTTAAAAGAAAAATGGGAATCTGTGCAAACAAAACTCAGTGAAAGAAAAGTAAGTGTTTTTACATTAAAAATTGAAGTGTAAATCATGCATTTTAGTGTGTTAATGATCAGGTTTTTTTATGGATGCATACTTGCCACATTTTTACATTTAAAATCAGTTGTAGAGACTGACATAATTCAGTAATATGTTTAGAAAGTTCTGGGGAAAATAAGATTCAAGAAGTTAATTATCCATAACTGGGGAGGAGTATGGTGAGAATGGCACAAATCTGTTCCACAGAAATATATTAACTGATACTGTTAATACTCATTTGGTAGGACTAGGGGTTTTTTTGGTTTTATTGCAGTAATTGTAGACATGAGAGACTGAATGATCCTTCAAGTTGATCTCCTCAGTACAGAATTGCTGTGTTAATTTTCCTAGATTTTTTCTTAAAGTTCCCAAACACTTGGCCTTTTACCATTTACTTCAAGTGTCTACCTTCTCTTCTAACAGAACAATAGCATGATTTCACTGATATGCAGCGTACGTTTTCTTGTTATTAATTTCATGTGGCTTTCATTCCGTCACGAAATATAGTCCACTTGTTCTAACTCAAACAAAGAGAATACATATGATTGCAAACAGAGAAACTTACAGCACTGATAAGTATAAAGAACAAATATTTAACTCAAAACTTAGCTGTATTTTAAAGTTACAGTGCTGATGTAAGGTAATAATAGAGTAAAAATGGCAAACAAATTAATACCCAACATGAGCACCTTCTTGCAGGAAGCTGTAAGGTTGGAGTGCTCAGTGAGGTCAGCAGTGTGAATGTTTGAAAATCTCTGACTGCTGTCTCACGATCAACAAAGTTCTATATCCCAAATTAGTTTCTTTTCGGGCAACCAAAATGACAATTGGACTTTATTAAAAAGAAGTGCTCTAGGAAAACTTATTCTTCATTAAGTGCAGGAGAATAATTTTTATGAGCTACTTGATGCTCTTCCAAGTGCACTACCACCTTAGATTTCTGAAATTCAACTGGTTTTGCATTGAACTTGATAAATCAAATGTCCCATTTGGATTAAGTAGTAGGGAATATGTTCTAATGTGGAAAAATTTATCTTGATACCAGCTGCTGTATTTTCTATTAATCTGTTACAATAATTTTGTTCTAACTTCTGTATCCATCTCCTTGAATATGCTTGAATATAGGTTGTTATTTTAAAACTCTGAAACTTTGAATTGGAAAAGTGTTTTAAAATGCTAAAGTAAAATGGTTTACTCCAAAGTGCTGAACTAAAATGGTTTCCTTGGCTGAAGCCCGTGCACAATATCAGCCTCTAATGAAGTTTGGCCTGTCTTTACAGACCAAACTGGAAGAAGCCCTCAATTTAGCAATGGAGTTCCACAACTCACTTCAAGATTTCATCAACTGGCTTACTCAGGCTGAGCAGACTCTAACTGCAGCTTCTCGGCCAAGTCTTATCTTGGACACTGTCTTATTTCAAATTGATGAACACAAGGTATGTAAAGAAACAGATGTGTAATGTTTTTCTCCCACTCTGTGGAGATACTGTAACAATGTCCAAATGAACCCTATAATGCTGGCACTCAGAGAAACATTTCATTTGTTTTAAAATTGTGTTTTGTAGTCTTTCTCACTACATCATTCTTTATCAGACTGTGTTTTTTCAGTGTTTACCCAACACAGTACTCAGTAATTTTTACCCTTTTTTTCCAAGGTTTTTGCCACAGAAGTGAACTCTCATCGAGATCAGGTCATAGAGCTGGACAAAACTGGAACCCATTTGAAATATTTCAGCCAGAAACAGGACGTTGTCCTTATTAAGAATCTGCTGATTAGTGTACAGAGTCGATGGGAAAAAGTAGTCCAACGCTTAGTTGAAAGGGGAAGAGCTTTGGATGATGCAAGGAAAAGAGCCAAACAGGTAATGGGACAACAGCTGTTATATAGCTCTTTGAACTTAGTTGTAATTGCATCCAGATTCTTGAAGAATATGATGCTTTAAAGCACTTACAAAGCAAGCCTGGGTTTAGTGTAACAGACAGTGTTGAGTTAGTGGAGCAAATTCTGTGATTCAATCCCAGAGCACTTCATTTGGGAGGTGAAAGCATCGTTTTCAACCCAAGCAGTGACTTCTGTGTGCAGTATAAGATAGTCTGAAAAAAGTTACAGTATGGATTCCAGATGTGCATTAGTGCCATCTGTCTTCAAAAAGATGTTTCATAATCAACCCTGTATGTTTTAAAGAATGTGATTAACCCTTTACACTGATATCTGGGAGTATTTTCTTCTTGGGTCTGTGTTGTGTCCTGATTAGACTCCACACTTATCACTCAATCTCTTACGTTAGTTACTAAACCAATATCTTCTGTGTGGTAAGATATCTCCATTTATTTCCTTATAAACATGGAGAGGTTGTTTTTTGGGTGTAGGGGTGCTGTTCTCACAGTTTTCTTTATTTGGGAGCATCTGTGTATTTTTCCTTAGATACATGTTTCTGTCACATAAGTGATAAGATGCAAAATGTGTGAGAGGAATGTAAGCTGTTTAAATATCAATAGGAAGTTCTAGCTCTTTTCTAATCAAGGGAACATTATCATTCAAGATTTGGTGATGTTCACAGCTAAACCACATTCCAATGTTCACCACTACCACCACTCAGTTCACAGAGCAAGAAGTTCTTTGGGCAATGAATTAGCCCATAAGCCAATCGTGTTTCTTATTTTCCAGCAGTTTCTCTTGTGCTTTCACACACACAGCAGTTCTGCAATGAGATGGGTTTCATCTCAATATGCATTTACAAAGCTGAATACAGTGTTATTAAGATGACAACTGTGTGTGTAGAGTGTGGAAGGAGTACTGAAGGCTGTTGGTGTCAAAGCCTAATCCACAGCCCTGAGCAACAGTGTCTTAGATGCCTTGAAAGGTTTCTGAACTAGTTTCTTGTGCTTCCATGTATAGGCAGCCCAGGCAAGAGGAATTTTCAAGAGAGAGAGAAATGACAAACTTAGAAAAATCAAAACCCAAACGGGTGACACTTTGTGAAAGCTGGTTGAATCTTTACTTTTTCCCTGCTTCCTTTCCTGAAGTGTTCTTTTCTTTGAAACAGGAAGGAAGATCAAAAATCTGTTCCTTGCTTGTCAATATAGCATTTGATATAATGAGAGCTTTTATAAGAGTTACAGGGAACATCTTGGGCAGTCATGCAGACGGAAGCTTTCGCCAGTGATTTACTGCCTTGGTCCCATATAAGCAATAGCTAAGCCCAGTTCTTTATTTACTATCCATTACTAAAACTGTAGAAATTTAAATTTGGTATTACCAGTATGTCTGGTATGACATGGTATGACATGGTATTACCAGTATGTCTCTGACAGGTACATATGATGTGTGCACATCATGTACATTAAAGGTTGTTATCTCACTTGGTGATGGGAGAGTACTAGCCCAGACCAGTTCTGTTTCAGAGACCAGGAAGAAAAAATAATCAAATTTTGTCTAAGTTTTAAATCTTGATTGAGGTTTAATGATTTTGAACTGTTTCATGAACCAGTGAATTTTAACGTCTATGCAAATCTGATTTTTCTTTAGTTCCATGAAGCCTGGCATAAACTTATGGAATGGCTGGAAGAATCAGAGAAGTCTCTGGACTCAGATCTTGAAATTGCAAATGACCCTGACAAAATAAAGATGCAGCTTGCACAGCATAAGGTGAGTCATGACACACAAAATGCCCAGTGAAATGTAGGTAAGTCTTTCGGCCTTGTATTGTTCAGTCATCAAAAAAGTAGATTTTTGGCCTGACTGCAATGGGGTGTTTATTCACCTCAAGTTAAATAATGGTATTTTAACAGGTTGTGAATGAAAATAACTTTTCACAGTACCTGATATGTGAAGGAATGGTTAAAAATGAAGAGGAAAGAATAATACAGCACCATGGAAACTTTAAAAAGCAGATTAATACAATTTCAGAATAGGGATCTCTGAAGAGGCTTTCTTTCAGTTCCTAAGCCTAAAATTTACTATCTGCTTACTTGGGCTGAGATTTTTCTTTTAATACTGCAGGACGCCTTCAAAAGTGAAAAAAATCTTAATCAAATACTTTGATTGGCAGTTGTTTTTTATCAAAAGTGGAAATATTAATGAAATCCCCATGAAAGCACTGTGAAAGTATTACAGCAAATACTGCTTTCATGTTTCTCTTTATTGGATTAAAAATTCTTAAAACATCTTTTCAGAAATTCAGCTGTGAATATGTAAAAATTTCTCTCATTCACTTAGCTTTTCAAACTTGATAATGTAAAGCTCTGTAATTCAATCAGACAGAGCAAAAGCAATACCAGAAGTAATCTTTACTTCATTTTGACATCTTTAAAATGCCTGGAATAATATAGAGTTGAGGGTCAAGTAGATGAGTGGTAGAATCTTTAGAGGTATGATTGTGTCTTAAGATTTCTCTTGGGGCAGTTTCATTAAACACTAGAGTAATTCAGTTTTCTAAATTTTGGCAAAAATTTTCTTTTTATGTTGGTTTTATTGTTCTCCATTTACTCCTGTTTTTTTTTTTCATATTTCACAGTATCCTGATTGCAAATCTAATTTTTTCTTTTCACTGTAACTTCTGGTGATTGCTATTACCTCTGACAAATTTTGTCATATATAATAATGACTTCATCAGTCTGCTTGATTTTTTTTATCATCTCTCAGGTTGCATGACTTGTTTATCATCCAGGAAAACATTCTACTTTAATATAGCGAGAGCTGGTAATTGATCAAGCAAAAATAGTTTTACCTGTGTCTGCTGTTAAAAATCTTTAGATTAAAACCTACGTTAACATTCTGTTATGCCAACTCTGCATTTGGGATTGCTGCTGTTACCAGAATTTGAAGTCAGTGAGCTGAACTGGCAGGGGGGAATCTTGCTGTTACGATAGTCAGAGTTTTACTAATCTTCTAATCCTTTCACTTCTCTCTTTTCTTTACATATTCAAATTCTTCACGAGTATGGTCAGCACTGTGACTTTGCTTTGAGGTTTTCAGGACTCTACTGTATTTTCATCCCATCTTCAGAAATGTTAAACCTTATAAACTTGATATGTGCTTTATACCTGCAGCAGTATGTTTTATGAGACCAAGCTTCCTCAAATGGACTGGCAGACTCATCATTTCTGTCACTGATATATTTTCTTCAATTTCTTTCATGTAAAAAGCCTGCAGAGCATTACAGCTTGAGTTGCTTAAATCTCATTACAGAATGGGATGAAATTGGTACAGGCACATAAGGATTGAAACTGGTGATCTGGAGAAAAAAGATGAATGTGTGTGAGAGAGGGAGTTTGGTGAACTTTGTGACTTTAAACTTCAAACACCACCCTCTCAAGAAATCAACTCAATTGTTTTTTAATGAGTTGTCAAACCTCCCAACACTGCAACGTCCTTCCTTGTATTTTGAGTCTTTTCCTTCCACTCCCACATACACTCTCTGTGTGTCATTGTCTTTTCTGTCCAGCCTTGAAGGTTTCCTTGCTCCATTTAGTTAAGGATTTTGCTATCCCATCTGAATGTGTGCTGTAAGCAATAATTTGGACTCGCTCTTTGCCAGTCGTTACTGCCAAAAAAAAAAGTCCCTGAAAGAGAAAAGCCAAGATAATATGTTTTCTCTCTCACTCATATCTAGCATGTTGCCAGGGACTTTTGGGGTTTATTCATAGTCTGTTTATTGGAATATTTTTCTCATTTTTAGGAGTCAGGAATGGAAAAACCCGCACTAGGTCACCCAATCTGTTCCTGTGCTAGTGCTGATGTTCTTACTGAACATTTATATGAATCTGGCTAATTTTATCTCTATGGGCCAATCTTCCTTAGAAGGAAGGTACCTAGCTGAAAAAAAAATCTCAGTAATTAACTTACCTATCTGTTCCTGGCAGCTTAAACCAAAATCTACTCTCAGTTATACCTGAAGTCAAAGGAAAGTAGATATGGTTTAGTCTCAGGGAATGAGGTAACTGCAACCCTTTGTCATCTTTAAATCTTTTTTTCCTGTATGATCCTTCTTTGGCAGCAATTTAATTGTTGTTTCCTTGTGCAAAGTAGTAAACAAAACCTATCAAAGAAAAGAAGCCTAGATATATTGTTTGTATTGAAGGAACTGTTATAAGAAATGGTTATTTTGAAAATTATATTTATTTTTACTGTAGTCCTAGCTTGACAATTATGTTTTTTCTTAAAGTTTTTTTCTTGTTTTATATGAGGAAAATGAAAGAATAGTAAGGAAATACTAAATTACCAAACAAATATTGGTTCTTTGGTAACAGAAGAACTTGAAAATATTTGATGCTGTATAGAAGGGTTTTCTAAAGCAAACTTGTGATTTTTTTTTCCAACTGATTCCCTGCTAGCACTTCATGTAGGTGTGAAATAAAACATTTCAAGCATTTCTGCAATTTAAAAACTGCCTTGTTGGGCTGGTGCTGTCTTTGGCCAATGTTCCTTCATATAATTATTTACTCTGTCAGTCAGTTAATTCCTGTGTGGTATCAGATGAATTGTGTTTCTTGTGCTCTTCTGTGCCTGTGAAAAGCTTCCAGAGGATCTGTGCAAAAGGAGCTGGCAGAGCTGGCAGTCAGACTCTGTCACTGTCATTGTCCAAAGTTCTGGGACTCAGAAACCTGCTTGTGATTTTTACTTCTAGCACAGATTGAGTTATTTGGATGTTTCCTGACTGCTGCTTCTTCGCAGAGGTTTCCCAGCCTGTTCATATTGAGCTAAACTGGAATAACCTTTGTAGCTCTTGGGGAGCTTTACAAGTGACTTGAAATCTTAGTTTGTAAGAATGTAGTGCAAAGAATGCTCAGTTAATGGCTCCCAAAGTAGCAGTTCTTTCACGTCTGTCTGACTATTAGGCTGAAATTTGGGAATACTATGGCAGGAATCATTGCCCTCACCGAAGGTGGGATTTTCCCAAAGTTGTTCCAGTAAGCAGAGAGCTACATTTCCAGAGAAGGACAAAAAGCAGGGGTCTCCTAGTGTCAAGCCTCAGGTAGCACTAGCATAGAAATTTTGCAGTAAGTTTAAATTTTACTGTATAAAATACAGTAATATTTATAATTTATGTTGCGGATAGTATGTCAAAAATGACTTAACAATGGTCTGTAAGCAGTTAATGATATACGGATATTTTCTCTTTTTTTCCCATATATATAGGAATTCCAGAAATCTCTTGGTGCCAAACATTCTGTGTATGATACCACAAATAGGACTGGACGTTCCTTGAAAGAGAAAACCACCTTGGCTGATGACAATTTGAAACTTGATGACATGCTGAGTGAACTAAGAGATAAATGGGATACAATTTGTGGAAAGTCAGTGGAAAGGTAAATGAAATGCAACGAATTATTCATTAAATAAGGAAAAGGCTTCGATTTTTGGAATTTGTTGTGTAAAAGTAGAACCAGAGTGGCTAGCTTGTTTGATAATTAAGAATGCCAAAGCAGTAAAATACTGGGAATGCATACTTTGCTAATGGTATTGCAGAAGAGCAGGGAAGGAAGAGCCCTTTAAAAAGGGAAACTTGATTTGAAGTTCTCTGGAGGTGCTGGTCAACAACCAACTGAACATGAGCCAGTGTGTGCCCAGGTGGCCAGGAAGGCTCGTACATCCTGGCCTGTGTCAGCAGCAGTGTGACCAGCAGGACCAGGGCAGGGATTGTCCCCCTGTGCTCAGCACTGCTGAGGCCGCACCTCCAGTGCTGGGTCCAGTTCTGGGCCCCTCACAGTGAGAAAGACACTGAGGGGCTGGAGCGAGTCCAGGGAAGGGCAGTGGAGCTGGGGAAGGTCTGCAGCACAGGTCCTGTGAGGAGCAGCTGAGGGAGCTGGGGGTGTTAGCCTGGAGACAAGGAGACTTTATTGCTCTCTACAAGGGCCTGAAAGAAGGCTGTAGCCAGGTGAGAATGGCCTCTTCTCCCAGGCAGCAAATGACAGCATGAGAGGAAACTGCTTCAAATTGCACCAAAAGAGGTTTAGGTTGGATTTTAGGAAAAAATTCCTCTCTTAAAGGGTTGCGGAGCATCGAAACAAACTGCCCAATGAAGTAGTTGAGTCACCATCCCTGGAAGTGTTCAAAAGGCCTGTGCATGTAGCACCTGGGGACATGATGTATTAATGCCGGGATAGTGGTTGGACTCAATGATCTTACCAGTCTTTTCCAACCATAACACTTCCATGATTCTATTATTTTATGCTGAAAATATTTTCCTGACATGTATAAATGATTATTTTATCTGTGTGTGGTTGTTTGGCTTTTTTTCCCCTCTCAGACAAAATAAACTGGAAGAAGCCCTTCTATTTTCTGGACAGTTTACTGATGCTCTGCAAGCTCTCATTGACTGGTTATACAAAATTGAGCCTCAACTAGCAGAAGATCAGCCAGTACATGGAGACATTGATTTAGTAATGAACCTGATTGACAACCACAAGGTAGTTCCAAAAATTCTGGTTTTTAATTACCGGATTGCTCATAAGTGTAACATTTTAATAATATCTCTGTCTTTCACTATTCTGTGATTTTTGGAAATATGTAATATTTTTGTAACAAAAATGTAGACAACAATAGAAAATGCTGTAAAACGTATGTGAAAGAGGACAACCCTTAGTGACTCATTAATTACAGTTAGCACTGAGATATTCTGTTTTATTGTGCTTCCCTATGTATTTATTAATATCTTGTCATAAATCAAAAAATATGCATTTGCGAATGTGGGTCTTGGGGCAAGAGAGGCAAAAATTATTTTACTGGAATACTCTGGGGCAGACAACTCTTTTTCAGTCCATCTGCTAACTAAATGTCCTGTGCACTTATCATGATTACAGCAGCCTTTCAGACCTGTGGGGCTGCTATATATTTATTGAGAAAAGTAATTAGAGTGCTAAAGTTATGCAAAGATTTCAACTAGACCATGGCCCAGGGAGCTTGTGTTGGAAACCTGCAGTATTATATTACTAAAGTGGTTTTGGGTGTGGGAATAAGTAGGAGATGTTGGACTCTGCCTCTGAATCCCAGTTTTGCAGTTCAGTATGTCAGAAGAAATGGCTGCTGAAGTTACTTGTATTGCAAAGGTGACACATATGCAGAACTCTGCAGCCTGGGAAGATTAGGAGGTCCTCTGTTCATCCACCTGTGACTTTCAGTATCTCATCTCCACTGAGGACAAGATAAAAAAAAAAAAAAAGTGTTTGGAAACATGGGTTGTCTATAAAATTAGCCTGCACAATGCTTCAGTTGCTTCTGAAATCCCTCTGTCCATCACAAGTAGGTTGTAGTTGGTAGCACAGCACACTGTAATTACCTTCTTTTAAGTAACTGGAGCTTGTTCAATTTACTACTGTGAACATACTCCCACATAAATAAATGAATAAGCAGCAAGATCCACAACCATACAGTTAGACCCCCAGGTGGAGATTTATTTTTGTTTTGATGATTTTAAATCCTCTCCTCGATTGTTACTTTTTATCTGATAATTTCTGGATGCAGCAATCTTCTTATGTGTTAATATGTGTCAGATCAATTGCTTTGATAAGGAATGGAAAGCCAGCAGTGGTAAGGAGACTAGATTTCCCGTGCATTGCACCAGAATGGATTCTTGGGATCTGTCTGAAATTTTCCTACTATATTCCAGTTTTATTATGTTAGAAGAGGGTGTTATTATCTTCCTACAGAATCTAATAAATAGAACTTAGGTGTTTTCCATCACTTAAATGGAGTTACTCTTGATAGAAATAAATCTGTATTTTCATTTCTTTTCATAACCAGTAGTTTTTTCTTGTTTTTTACATAAGCATATCTTAATGAACTAAACATTTCAAATATATTTGATGGTGTCTAGGTTTTCCAGAAGGAGCTGGGAAAAAGAACAAGCAGTGTCCAGGCTCTGAAGCGCTCTGCAAGGGAGCTGATAGAAGGCAGTCGTGATGACTCTTCCTGGGTCAAAGTCCAAATGCAGGAGCTAAGCACTCGCTGGGAGACAGTTTGTGCCCTGTCAGTATCCAAGCAGACACGACTGGAACAGGCCCTTCGGCAGGTAGAGGAATAATAATGTTACTACATGTACTGTATGAGAAGGAGTGCAGTTTAGTTGCCAAAAATTTAATTTAATTTTCACTTGAAGTTACTCTCATTTCATTTGAAAATACTCATTTATGTGCTAATGCATTGCTTACCTTGTCTATCCTTTTTCCACAGCACATAAATAGTGCCTCTTAGCATTTATTATTCCTGTTATTGTTAGTCTCTGCCACAAATGCAAAACAAATGTTTCTAAGACCTTACCATCTAAGGAAATCACTGAAGTTACAGTCAAATATGAAGGATGATAAAGAACTATGTCTCATTCACAAGAAGCAGGAGGTTGCAATCATATTTATATTTTTTGTGCCTTATTGGAAAGAAGTAATTTTGTGTATTGAAAAATTCTTCACACTGGCACAATTAAAATGCACGGTGAGGTACTTCAGAGAAAAAAAAAAAAAAAGTTGTGCTGGGTGCAGTCATGACCTAGAATAGTCTTTGTATATCAACATTATGTGGTACTAATCCCAGTAAATAGGTGCATCTGTATTGTTTCCAAACCTGAGATCATATGGATGTACAGCTCTCTGAAGATATACAAGCTTGGACTGATGCTAGGATGGGGCTCCTGCAGGTAGCAATGTATCCACTATGTACAATATTCCTGCTCTGCTTTGCTCAGCAGACACAATCCTGAACTTACCTCAAAAAATAATTGTGTCTGAATATGGCTGTACCCAAAGGTGAATCTTTTTTGTTTTTTCTAGACACAAGAGTCATTCTCGAACAGGCTGTCAATTCATTTTGCTTTACTGATGCTTTAGGCTGTGCAGACAATAGTACTCCTCTTTCCAGCTGGTCCCTGAAAGCACCTCCTGTGTAATTTGTCAGTGTAAAGGCATGACATTCTCAACTGAGCTGCAAATACACTATAAATCAGATGGCTAAAAGCATGAACAGGCTTTTAGGCTTCCTATAATTTTTTTGGGAAGCATGAGCTGTTCTTACAGTTATGAAAATGTAGTGCTGTGTACCATTGACTTTTTAATGGAAAGATAATGTGCTGGTACTGCTGGATGATTAATGATTCCAAATGTGGGCTCAATCTCCCTGTGTAAATGCAGTGTGTCTGTCAGGTCATCATCTCATGAGTGACCATGACTTCTTGTATCTTACCAGGCAGAAGAATTCCACTCAGTTGTCCATGTCCTTTTGGAGTGGCTGGCAGAGGCAGAGCAGGCTCTTCGTTTCCATGGCATCCTTCCAGATGATGAAGAGGCCTTGCGAACACTGATAGAGCAGCACAGGGTAAGCACGAACATGAAGAGGATCCTCTTCCTTCTAATAGCTCTGATAGTTCTATCCCAGATAGTTCTATCCAGCATCCAGTGTTGAAGCAATTGTTTCAGTAGAGAAGCTAGAAATTTAATGTAGTTAAGAGTTTGATGTCCACACTGGTGTTGGGCTGTTGTTTGAGTCATCTTGGCTTATTAAAGAAAAAATGGGCCTTTAGAAAGTTGCTGTAAAGATTTAGAGACAGATGCTAGCCCCTCTGTGGAGCATACTATGCCTGTAATAGTCACACAGACTGCTACAGTAGCAAAAGTATATCTGTTTCCTTAGCACCATTGACTTAAAGGGCATAGACTTTTCTTGCAAGGTCATTTGTAAACGTCAGCAGAATGATGTTGTCATCCATGAACCTTTTGTCATGGTGAAACACTGTGCTGCCTGACTGCACATGCGCTGGCAGCTGTAATATTCTAGTGGAATAGGTACTGCAGGTAGTAAATTATAGGCCATCAAACTAACTTTGCTGTAATGAAACGGGAAATTGGCTAAGTAAGGATCACAGAGCTTGAATTTTCACTCTCCAAACAGGAGGCTACAAACATGCACAGCACAGCCTACACAAAACAGTACCAAGGGTGTAGTGCCCACAGTGTTACAAAACAAGTTATAAGTCCTGGATATGTTCATGATTGCACTGAAGAAAGTTAAAGCAAAATTTTTGAAATGGAGATTGGAAAAGCATCCTGTTTAAATTGAGTTTGCTAATATTATTATGCAGAGGACTATTATTTTTTAGAAATATATATAATTTTAGCAAACTCATATTTATAATATTAGTTTGCTAATATTATTATGCAAGATAGGACTATTAAATGGTTCTTAACTGAGGGATTTTCAATGTACTTAAAATGGAAGGTTTTGAAAAAGTTTTCAGTTTTAATTTAGGACCCTGGAAACTGAGTGCTAGTCATAAGCTGGCAAATGTGTGTATGCATCAGTGTGTGCTGATGTAGCAACCTCACAGTGTGTTGACTAATGCTGGGAGCAGCAACTTAATGTCTCTGTTCAATGAAATGCCTTTCCTCCATGTGTGCTTCACCAGTTCCCTTTTATTTGATTTTTTAATCTTCTGACTAGAGAGAAGAGAACTGACTGAAATCTTAGGTCCACTGAAATAATTAGAAAATAGAATTTTAAATGTCTTCCTCCACACTTTAGGTGGATTAGCAAAATATTTCTGTACTAATTTTAAAAATTGTGCTGACAAAGCAGAACTTGGAACCTCAAAGCAAAGTTTGTGTGAGAAACCCTGTCCAGCTGGGGAAGGATGATAGCTAGCACAACATAACCAATCTTGGTGTTAGATGTGGCCTTACTGTACTTAAATTTTTTCAGTAGGCTTTAGAAGGTGTTCACCCTACCACATTTTTCTTTTAAAGGGCAAACAATATAAATAGAAAAATTGTCAAGTTCAGAAAGATTATGGCACTACAATTTTACCACTCACACACAATCTTTCTCAATAGGTCATCTCGCCTTTTAAGCTTATAACATTAGCTTTCAAGAAGACAGAAAGAAAATAAGGGAAGAAGTAATATATATAACTTTTAAATACCATGTATGCATTATAATGCTGCATACTATAATAAAAATGTATGACTAAAATTATTGTATAAATATGAAATGTATCATCCTTTTGTCACTGTGATTTTTGTAAAATAGTTTTATTGCATTTCTATTGAACTACATATAGAAATGTTTTCTTCAGGACAATATTTTATCCAAATGGTCCCTCTTTGTGCCCATTTCTGATTTTTCTCTTCTTGAATACTGCACATGATTTAGTGAATTCTGCTATCTCAGAGAGATATCTGTCACTTGTCCACCTCTCTGGGTACTGAGAGCTGTAGTGGGTTAATGCACTGCATTGCTCGATGAAAAGCATCCCCTTTCCTCTTTTGTAAATGTGTCTGTGTCACTGGTTTGCCACAGAGTTCAATAAAATTAGGGAGAGTTTAAGACACTGTGAGTTGTGTGCCATAGATTTAATTCTTGAAATACTCTAATACAGCTGAGCAGGGAACACAATGGGTTTTTTTGCCCATTTTCCACCTGCCTGTGGCTTGTTTTGGTAATCTCTCATTATAATCCAATTCAACTTTTCCAAAAGCATGTTGAACTGACATATTGTAAGGGTGCATGTGTTTTTGTGAGAGGTTTGCTATTATGATTTTGGTCTTAAACTCTGGCAATAATTAAAATTTAATTCAAAATCAATTAGCAACAAATACATTTAAATATAGAGCCTACATATTCCAGGCTTCTAGAACAAGGTAGAAGAGATTATATTTTACATTTTATTTCATAGTAACTTCATACTTTCTTTGTGAAGGCACAGGATAATGTCATTATGAGTTGTTGGAGAACTTGCTTTTACAATGGTTTTGGTGATTTTGAATTGTCTAGGATCTAACTGGGCTCATCTTTAATCCAAAATAAATGGATTTATGGCTGGAGAGAGGAAGACTAAAGCTTTCAGAGACATGTTTCCATTTTGTAGCCTAATTAAAGATATTAAAGTATAAAAAAAAAAATTCCACTAGGCACTGAAAGGTATTAGCAGTTCTAGTTAAGGATGCTCGTAAAGACACACAGACTTACATAACATTTAGGCAGAAAAGTAAAACCATTGTAGTAGTAATGTTTAACAAAAATAAAAGGGAAAGGGAAAAAGGAAAAAAAAATTTAAAAATGCAAGTGATAGAAAGGATGGGAAAAGTCCTTCCTTTCAGTTGCTTTTTCTTGTTGTTGTTTCTCCCCCACATCCATTTCTGGTCCTACTATCATAGGAATATCATAGTGATGATACTCTCATCAATAACTATGAGCTTGGATGCCTAAAATTGTAAACATCCTTCTGCTTTTACAAGATTTTTTCCACATGCTGTGTCTCTCCCCCTCAGATGCTGAGTTGTCACATTTGTGTTACTTTAGTAGAGCTGCTCCTGAACTCTGTCATCTTGTCTGAGCATGCAATTGTAGTTAGACATTTCCAGCCTCTGGTAGGAGCTGGATAGTTTTTTATGAAGAATTACTGTAACTGACAAACCAAGTCATTGAAATGTTGCCAGTAGTGATTCTAACCATCATATAGATGGTTTAGAGCACTTCTAAATGCTGTGATTTTCCTTTGTATTTTTTTTAATGGCATGTATCTTTCAAGGCTTTAGATTGTGGTGAGCTTTTAAGGATCAGCAAGTTGGGATCAGGTTTTAGAGCTTTGTTTAGTACTTTATATGGAATAAGCTTTTAAAATAGTTTTAAGCTTTTCTTATACAAGTGAAACTTGCCTCTTGCAAGTTGGATCTGCTTGAGCAGTCAAGAGGCTCATGACCTTCCAGATATGCACTCAAACTTCTCTTGCAAATTTTGTCAGTATCTTATTAAAACTATTACTTCTGTTTTAGGAATTTATGAAGAAACTGGAAGAGAAAAAGGCAGAACTGAATAAAGCAACAGGTATGGGAGAAGCTATTCTGGCTATCTGCCATCCAGACTCCATCACCACCATTAAGCACTGGATAACAATCATCAGAGCCAGGTTTGAAGAGGTCAGTATATGTTGAACCATCTTTGTGGCAGTAGTCCATCTTCGATTAGAACACAGCTGACAACTAACATGGTAGTTACACTGTGAGGAAATGATCCAGCTGTTGAGAACTAAACATTTAAAATACCCATGGTGATGGATGTGAATACTGTGCTTCCCTAGGCTTTCTTTCAAAACTTACAGGGCTTTAAGAGCTAAAGCAGATGGTCAAGCTCCTTTGCTTGTATGTATTAAAGGAAATACTGTCTGACAGTTCCCAAGTGAGGAAAACCAATAGTTTCTAGGGGAAAATTGAAAAGTTACAAAGGAAAGAAAATACAAGGGCAAATGTGAAGGATTTTCTGATTACATTAGAGAGGATTTCAGTCCAGCATATTCTTAATCTAGAAGATATCTAAAAGTTTTAAGTTGCTACAGGTAGGTTGTACCTTCAGCTGTTAAGGTGATACTATCTGTTTAATATTAAGCGTAAAGGAAACCAAAATACTGGTGATAGCATAGTGTGGCTTCAGGAGTGCCCAGAAAGAAAAATTACACCAAATCCTGTGTGATTCACTAACTCACTCATATAATTAAAATTCTTAATATGTTGCCTGAATGTGCTAGTTACTCTGTTTAGCAGCACTTAATCCTGAGTATCTGTAGAAGAAATGTTTTGGACTAGGAATTCTAGTTACCTAGCTACTGTTAGTGATCAGCCACTACATATGCAAACAGCTTTGATATGCAAACATCAATAGGCCTAAGAAGTAGCTCTGGGTTTACAGTTAGCAGAGCAATTTTAAATACATTGTGAAGAGTTTCAGATATGCACATACTCATGTATTGGTTCCTTTGTCAAGGTCTTAGCATGGGCTAAACAACATCAACAGAGACTGGCAGGAGCTCTGGCTGGACTCATTGCTAACCAGGAGCTGCTGGAAGCCTTGCTGTCCTGGTTGCAGTGGGCAGAGACTACACTAACTGAAAAAGACAAAGAGGTTATCCCCCAGGAGATCGAAGAAGTTAAAGCGCTTATAGCTGAACATCAGGTAAGGAGCAGTAGGTGACATGTGTCACTCACATGGGGTTCACATCTCAGCTACACTGCACGATCAAGTGCGAATCTCCTTTGCTATTTTTTCTTATAATAATTGAAAACAAGCAAGGATAATATTAGGAATAAAAGATTCACAGAATCACAATGTTGGAAGAGACCTTCAAGATCATCGAGTCCAACCTGTTCCCTGACGCCATGGCATCAAGTGCCACATCCAGTCTTTTTTTGAACACATCCAGGGATGGTGACTCCACCACCTCCCTGGGCAGACCATTCCAGTACTTTATCACCCTTTGCATGAAAAACTTTCTCCCAATATCCAACCTGTATTTTTCTTGACTTGAGAGTGCAGCTTGAGACTGTGGCGTCTCGTTCTGTCAGTTGCTGCCTGGTGAAAGAGACCAAACCCCACCTGACTAACCCACATGAAATGTATGATAGTGCTGCCATCTTAGAATAGTGCTGCAGTGTGGCTCACCTGATTAAATATCAAAAATAGTTTTATGAAGTGCTAGAGGGAGCTGCTGATGTATTGAATTCTAATAGATTTACCCCAGCTTAAACACCAGAGCTTTCTCACTTCTGTGAACTGTAGTCTGAACAGCAGGATCTTGGAGGCAAAATTCTGTTCTATATCACCTCACCATATACAGTTAATAAAGGAGTCTGACAGATTGGTTTTTAGACTTAGCCTTCTTTTAACAGCCAGGCCATAGTAACCTTAAAAGCTTGTACTGCTGATTTTTCTTATCTACAAAACATTTATTTATGTCTATATTGTGAGGCTGGCATTATAATTGTCTTTCTGTGTATTTCTTTTTAACTTTGGTGTTTTGCTATTGTGTATGTTTTTCATTCCTCTGGTTACTTTTGTGTATTGTTAATTAACATCCCCCCATCTGATTGCAGACATTCATGGAAGAAATGACCAGAAAACAGCCTGATGTGGATAAAGTTACAAAGACCTATAAAAGGAAAGCACTTGAACCCTCTCCAGTACAATCTCATATTCCTGTCCTTGATAAGGGGAGAGCAGGAAGTAAGTAACAGCATATTTTGGGGTGTGTCACATGTACCATTGCTCTATCTATAAAGTTTACAGATTGCTAATAATCTAGTAGGTTTGGTTAACTTCTGGTGAAAGGGGGTAAAACTTCACAGAGAGAGACAAAATTGTGCTCTTACTGTCTATAAAATTATACTAATTCAGTTAGAAGTGTATTCAGTGAAGTTGAATGGAAAGTGAATCATAAGTGAGGAAATTGCTTTTTGTATTTTTAGATATACTTACCCATTGTATTTTATACTTACCCATACATGGAACCTGCTTCTAAAATGAGGTTGTTTACTTTGCAACTCTGAGAGATTTATGAAGATTTAATTTAAACTGTGCAGCATGACTAGTGGAGCCCTCACTAGTTTCTTCTGGCTAGATAAAAGAGCCTGTAACCACCACTGATTTTTTTACCATTGCTGGTTGTTCCCCAGCAAAGGTAAAAAAAAAAAAAAAAAAAAAAAAGAGCAGTCCCACTATATAGAATCATCCATATATGACCTCCTTATTTGGGACAGGAAAGAATAATTTTAGGAAGGTCAAGTGCATTTCATGGGAACATTTGTTTTGTTTGAGCTGGGTGAACCCTATGTCTTTTATCATGTTTTAACAGGAAAGCGTTCCCCAACACCAGGCATTTATCCATCAGCAGCCCAGGCACAAATTGAAACCAAGAATCCCCGGGTAAACCTTTTAGTCAGCAAGTGGCAGCAAGTTTGGCTTCTGGCATTGGAGAGAAGGAGAAAACTTAACGATGCTTTGGACAGACTTGAAGAGGTCAGAAAAGCACTATCCAGACTGTACATACTTTTTGCATCATTTTCTTTACCCTGGATTAAATTCCAATACTGTGAACAACTTCTATATTCATTGTGTTATACTGTCTGACACAGCTAACTGAAAACACTGTGATACGTGTGCTTTCATGTGCTTTAAAAGCTGTCATTGTCATTTTAAATGAGGAGAGCTGCGATACTTAAAATGCTTGCATAGATCCTCAAAAAATCAATTATTCAACAAAACACAGATGGTATCTATCTCATTGATGTTCTGGATTGATGTATTTCAGCTGAAATTTTTTTTTCTGTTTTTTATTAAGCTGAGAGAATTTGCCAACTTTGATTTTGATATTTGGAGGAAAAAATACATGCGATGGATGAACCATAAGAAGTCTCGTGTGATGGACTTCTTTAGGAGGATTGATAAAGATCAGGATGGAAAGATTACAAGACAGGAATTCATTGATGGAATTCTTTCTTCAAGTAAGTTTTAAAATGAATGTAATGTTGAACTTGGAACAAGCATCTCATGAAGTCTTATTGTGTAGATAGTGTGACCTATGCATTTTATTGTATTAGAAGGTTACAGATTTCCTTTTTGAATTTATTATAAAATATTATTATTTTACTTGAAAATATTTTTGGATTCTAGAAACTCTTTCTAGTTTGCTACATTATGAATCAGGTTACAGATGTCACATTTATATTATTGTCTAATTAGTAGTTTGCTGGTTTATTGAACTCAGATTATCATTTCCATAGTACACTAGCTACTTCAACAATTACTTTTTGATTGATTACTCATAATAGTAAAAAGTACCTTATGTAACCTATAGATGATTTTCAAAATCAGTTAATAGGATCATATGGTTTTTATTAAAGAACTTATATAGAATAGTTTCAATTATAGAAGGAAACTGTAATTTTTGAAACCAGCATTTCCATGAGCCATGACAATATTCATATACCTATATAGTAAGGCTTAAAATGCCAAGCAATCAAACTAGAAAGGAATTTTCTTAGCTTTCCTGGTGGATTATATTCCTTAGTTATGGCGGTAATGTCACATCATATATGTGATCATATTTCCTTTTAGGAACAGACTAATAAACAGTTAAGGACCTAATACTTGAAACAATCCTTTATCTTCAGATCATGGAGACTTTTGCTTTGAACAGTAATGATTCAGAATTGAGCTGCTTCTAGCATTTCATTTTAGTGTTACTCAGTAGGAAAATGTACTCTGTGTATTTTCCGCCTGTTTTAGGAAATGCAGTAAAGGATCACTATTGTGAATATTGTTGTTTTGCTTGAATTAATAAAAAATAATGAAAAACATAATACCAAGAGGTTAAATAGTTTACTCTTTTAACTCAGTTGGTATCAATTTATTATGACCACCAAACAGTCCTGAATAATCCCTGTTCATCACCTTGAAATTTTCTTTGACCATTTCCTTGAGAATCTCTGCTGTGAACTTCATCTAAAGAAGGACTTCATGAAACACCATGCATGGATCTGCATTGAGAAGGCTTCACATTCCATATTTAATCAGCACTGAAATGCTTGCTTGACCTTTCCTCACTAATTATTTATCTTGTTAATTTCTGGTATTTTAAGCACTTTGAAGGTCAAAATGTTAATGTGCACACACACCTCCCCCATATATTTTACAGTTTAATCTCTCTAAGCCACACTATGATACTCATTTTTATCCAGTATCTGGGATCCAGTATCTGGGTAACACTGGAGATTCAGATTGGGGTTTTTTTCAGAAATATTCCTTCACTTGTTTGAATGTCCTTATTTTTTTGATAAGCACAATCTGTTACTAATGCCTAATCACTATACAATATTTGTGTTAAAGTTTCTCATTGTAATGGAATTGAAAAGTGAAAAAAATTGTGTTGTCTTTGTCCTGCAGAGTTCCCTACAAGCCGACTTGAAATGAGTGCTGTTGCAGACATTTTTGATAGAGATGGTGATGGATATATTGACTATTATGAATTTGTAGCAGCTCTTCATCCGAACAAGGATGCGTACAAGCCTCTCACAGATGCTGACAAAATTGAAGATGAGGTATGTTCTCTGCTTTCTTAGGTTGCATTCTGTTCTACTGGAGTCCTTTTCTATAATAATTCACTTTATTTTCATTCCTATTTAATTTGAAGTTTATTAGGTACACAAATCTTTGGAAATGTGATATTTAAAGTAATTATCCTGTTGTGGTTTTTTGCAGGTTACAAGGCAGGTAGCAAAATGTAAATGTGCAAAACGGTTTCAAGTGGAACAGATTGGGGATAACAAGTACAGGGTAAGTCTTTTAAGAACTTCAGTTATTTCAGCTTTCTTCATATGACATGGTTTACACAAGGAATTAGCCTATATGAATTCACAAGAATCTTTTATGACAATTATACATTTTCTTTAAGATTGCCTAAATTTTTTTTCTTGTTAGAACATATAGACTAAAAATATGGAAAATTGCTGATGCTTGTATTTATTTTCACTCTAACAACTGAAGCTGTTTTCAGTCATAGGAATTTTTAAGAGCTAACGGCACACATCTATACACATGCATACATACATACAAAATATCCTCAAAAGCTGGTCTTTCTGCCTAGATACCTTAATGTTTAAACTGTAGCTGATTTTCTATTAGTTTAATAAAAACAGTGACTGATATTTTCTTGTGGTATTGTGTTGTACTTCAAAAATCTTTTACCAAAGTGTATTCAATCATTTTTACACTCTTGTCATTTTATTGGAACACGCATACTTCTGAATATAAGCAAAGAGTTAGATACCTGCAGAATTATTTTAGATCACAGAAAAATAAATATCACACAGTAGAGAAATATCTGCTACCCCTGGATTCAATAACCAGAACAATTTGAGGTAAAATATTTGGCTAAGAGAGATTAATAAGCACTTGTAGATTTTAAAAGACCACAGAAACAGCAATGGGAAGGAAATGAAGGCCTTGAATATTTTCCAATATTCAGTCTCTGGATGGCTAGCTACCTGCTCATCTCTCCAGTAGATACTTTATTTAGAATGTCTAAAGTGTTAATTTGCATGTGTTTTAGGTCATGTAGAGAATTTCCTGTAAACTAATCGTGTCTTTCTTCCATTTTTCATTTCTTATCAGTTCTTCCTGGGAAATCAGGTATAAACCAGTGGAATGTGTTATGAAGTATTTTTGGTTTGGTTTTTTTTTTTTTTGTTTAGTTTTTGGTTTTTGTTATTCTCTCTTTTTTTTTTTTCCCTAACGCATAGTGATTTAAGCTTGCAATGGTCAGCCTTCTTGCCATCCTTTAATTTTCAGCTAATTCATTGCTGGTCAGCTGTGGTATTTATTTAAATGCTATGGAGCATTCCTTGTCTCAGGATCACTCTACAATCCTCACCTGCTTTCTTTGGTCATTTTCCTCATTAAGGAGATTACTTTTAAAGGAACCAGATAATAGTCAGCAGCAATTCCCATAGCAAAAAGTCTTGAGCATTTAAATTGCAATTGTAGAGAGTATGATTATCTAATCAGTTTATAGTTGAATCCTTCAAAATTCTGTAATGTCTTTTTTAGGCTATTTGATTAAAGGTTAATCATGGCAAACAGATCCCAGTGTCTTATCACTTATTTATTGCAATTTGCACAAAAAATACTTTCATCTTTGCAAAAAAGAGGTACAGTCACTATGCAATCAAGCAGACTGATTAAGAACCTAGATTATAGTTATTATTTTATTTCCTTAACACAGTGAATCTTTAAATACATATTTTGGAAATAGGCAAAATAAAATTACTGTTCCCATGTAGACTAATCCCTCTCCCAAAGTGTTTTCAAGGAGCTATGGCAAGTCTATAATGAGCTGGAGCTGTGTTTAAGAATACTTTGTGTCAGCTGGGTAACTGGTGAGTCCTCCCTCAGGAGGAGATGCTGCCCAGCGCTTAATCCTGTGCTACACACTGATGCACAGCTTCCTGAGGTGCTAAATCACATCTGCCCAGTAAGAATGGAAACATCTTATGCAAACCAGATATCAGATACTGTTAGTCTTATGCTTTTAAAAAGGCAATAAAGGATGTAATCAATTCTGGACATGCTAGCATCAACAGCAATAGCCATTTTAAATCTCAAGATGCTGAAAATGTGAGTGCGCTCTTGTTTACTAGCAGAGCCTGTTGAAGTGTAGAAGAAAGCACAGAGCAGTGGATAACCTTGCCACGTGCCTCAAGCAATACAGATCTAAGCAATAATTTAAAATATTTTCCACATATAGATCAAGTCTCTTTTTGAAAGAACTGTTTGAAATTATGTTAATCCCATTATCTATCATCTGTACTCTCAGATCTGGGGAACATGGAGCATTTCTTGAGAAGCTCTTAATGATGCAGAACGGCACCTACAGGCTATTGTCAAGATCAGGCCTTTTTGTAGCTTAAACTCCTTTGTTTTTACCTCTGGTTATTTGAAATAATGTTAAATACAGTTTAAAAAAACTTGTACCAGGCTATTTTAGGAAGGAAATCAACTGAATTGCCATAAGAAGAAATGCAGTGATAGGTACTATTGTATTACTGTGTTAATTTCCAGCGCCACTTTCTGAATTAACTTCAGCTAGTTGGGGAGTTTCCAAAGCACACTGTATTTGACCCTTGGTGTAGTTGCCTGATGGGGTCTAACTGACTAATTAGGCTGTGATGGAGAAAAAAATAAAGAAAAGACGAAAGATAATATCTTCAGAATCACTAGAAAAAAATTTGGTAGGAACAAGCCAGTGAAAATAAACAGTGTTAATTTAGATGCCTTTTTAAAAAAAAACAGTGATCTACATATATAAAATGGTTCTTTGTTTGGCACATATTGAATGCATTATTAAAAAACTCTCAGAAATAATGCTCATGTGAATGTTCTTACTTATAACAAATACAATTTATTATTAAATTAAGAAGCAAGCTTTGCTTTTGTTTGGTTCCTAAAAGTAATATTCCTTTAAACTTATTCTCTCTTCTTGGCTTGAATAGTACCAAACAACTAAAGTCATCTAACAAGTAGGGAGCACATTTGCTGTGTGGTTTGTTCAGTCCCCTTACTGGAGCAAGTAGGTACTGTTGAAATATGGCCTTCTCCAAGGGTCAGAGATTGTCCAAAAGAGGGGCATTCGACTCCCATTGGTTTTAGTGAGTGCTCTGCATGTTTGTGTGAGGGTGTGCTGCACTTGGCCTGGTGATCTGGTATCAAAATATTTCAGTAGTGCTGGCTTAAAAGTACTGAATTCTTTGTGTTAGTTTTCTTGAGATTGTGAGGTCAACATTTTGGTCATGCTTTCTCTGATCCGAATTTGAGTGAAGGTACTGCGTACAGGTTTTGTTACACAGGTTTCAAGAGCAAAACATACATTAGGCCTGGCCATCAGCCCAAAGGACTCGTACAAGAACTTAGTATGAAACAGACTCTCATCTCATCTCTGAATCATGAAGAACCTTCATGTGTAGTCAGAGGAATGACAAACATAATTATAGTTATTAATCATTCATTGCTTCTTTAATGTTCTCTTCCTTACATGCACCTTGCTATAGGTAAGCAGTGTCAGCACTGTAGTGCTATACCTGAAAATATTCCCATAGATTAATCAATTGATAGAACAGTGCAACACTCATAACACATTGAATTTCCAGATTATATACTGATTGTTTGAAGTGATGCTGCCTTCCTTTCAGCTGACAACATAAAAAATCAAGACTGTTGCAGAAGAGTGTTTGCTTAAGATTTTACCAATGAAATAATGCAAATAGGTCTTCATTAATTTGCAGAAAAGTAGACTGTAACCAATCAAATAATGTATTACTAATTTTGCTTCTTTTATGATCTCAGACATTTGAGAATCAAACATGAAATTAAACCTGAGTTTCTTTCTTATCATCCTGCCATCTTCTTTTGATTAATGCAGTGCCATCTGATTTGAAATCTTAACAGCTTTAATAATCTGCATAAACAAATTGATTTTTTTTTTAGCATTTACTAATTATTAAATATTAAAATAAACTTTTAAAAATGTCTGATTTTTTTAACGTATCAGTGTTGAATTGCATCTGAATGCCTGAGAAGCTTAGACTGTCATTTGATTTCTATTGCAGTTTGGTGACTCTCAACAATTGCGTCTTGTTCGTATCCTAAGAAGTACGGTCATGGTCCGTGTTGGAGGTGGCTGGATGGCACTTGATGAGTTCTTAGTGAAAAATGATCCTTGCCGTGGTATGTAACAGAGCTGTTAAAAACTTGCAGCATATTATTTGGATGCAGTCACCATTCATTGTCTCAAGATGAAGATGGACTTGTATAAAATGCCAGTTGTTGTAAACATCATCTCACTAAATGTCACATTTCTGTGAACTTTAAATCACATGGTTGAGATCCTTTTCAGTTGCACTGATGTATGTCTGGAAAAACTGTGGTGTCTTCTGCACAGTTCCTTCAGTGTTATAGTGGCGTAAGTAAGAACTGAACTTAGCCCAAATAGACTTTATGGTATGTAAGTGGCTTGTATGACTTGGCAGAAATAGCACACAGAAATGTCCAATAAAACCTTCTCAGCAACACAATAAGTCAAAATGAGGCAATTGAATTGATGAGTAACGCCACCACCACAAAAACCTCTGGCCAGTCACTCTTCCCAGTCTTTCAGTCTCTACCTTTGTAACCTTTTCTTTTCCTTGGCATTTTCCTCAGAAGCACTTTGTAGAGCCCTGAGCCTTGTACAAAGCTAGTGGAAAATGCTCTGGTCCGAAGGACATTGTACTCTGCAGGAGCCGGGAGTGCTCTACCACCGAGCCCTCCAGGGCATTGCATCAGATGAGCTGTTTTCTCCGTACACAATCCTGAGGACTGTAATAAGGAATTCCAATAAATTATTGGATATTTATTAAGTATTATATCTTTCATTGTCAACCTGGGAATGAATTGTAACAGTCTACCTGTCGATAGGCCTGAGAAAAATGTTTGGGGTACAACAGAACTAACCAAGTTAACGTTTCAATGAAGCCAGATTTTCTGAGGCATGTTTTATCCTCTACTACTCTGCACTTTTGAGGAATAGAAGTAGAAAGGAATAAAAGGAAGACTCTTTTTCTTGGGTATACGTGAGCAGATGTCAACACAGTGGATCTGAAGAATACCTGTAAGAATACTCTGTAAAATCAACATCACTGGATGTTGTGCATTGCTACCTAATCCTTGCCTGGTTGGAATCAGTGATGCAGGTTCAAACTTTTCCTAAACCACTTCACCTTGCAAATTTGCATTTCCACCAAGTGCTCCTCGTGAATTCAGATGAATCATATTGCAAAGAACTGTCGTCATAAACAGTTTTGAAAGTACTGCACCTAGTTATATAAAATCTCTTTAGCTTGTATTATTTCTTTATGTCAGCAGATAAATACCGCTGCTACACAAGTATACTTCGGACTGTAGCTGAGTCTGTCCAAATGCCATTTCCTTTTTGCCTAGAGGACCTTTGAGAACTCGCCTCAGAACACTTAGGGACAGCTTTTGCTCAAGTCCTGTCTTTTGGCCTGGTGCTCCAAGTCTCTTGCATATGCAGCTGCTGTACTTGATTTCTCCTCCTGCTAACGATTTTCTTTAATGTGACCCATGTCCTGTGTCATTTTTTCTAGTTCATCATCACGGGAGTAAAATGTTACGTTCGGAATCAAACTCTTCAATTACCACTCAGCCTACTATAGGTTGGCAAACCCCTCTCTTTGTCTCCTTCTCCTCTTCTTCTCTCTCTTAATTTCCTTCCTGCTTTTTTAATATCTGTATACTTTAAGCTATATGCTTCACCCATCATATTTAGCTTAACATGTTCCTACATGGGCTGGTGCTTTGCAAGCTAATTTTTTTGACACGCTTGAAGAGTGTTTCAAAAACAATTGCCATTCACACTGACACAGTTAATTGCTAACATGTCTTGCATTTGTTCATGCAGAACATTCTCTTGTATGTGTGTTTGTATGTGTGTGTGAGTGCTTAGCCACCAATTACCTCATCATAGTTTGGGTTTTATGTTCATCATTGCATGTTGCCAAACTACGTAACTTCATAGTTTTGAATAAATATATTTGCTGCTTTCCTGTAATATCTTCTAGAATGTCCAAGCAAGTATTATTTATTATGAATAGCTGTAGAGTTAGCAAAACTGCCCATCAGGTTGTGTCTATGTATTAATAGTTGATTGATTAACAGTGATTTAGCACGTTGAGCATTCCATTATCACGCTGACTTCCTTTGACAGTGGTTCATTCCTGCTGGCATAAAGTATTAGGATAAGTGAGTCCCGCACATAACTCTTCTGTGTCTAAAATAAAAGCATTACACAGTAATGCATTTTATTTATTGTTAAAATGTGTTGGAGTTGGCATGGCAAAAATGGCAATGAGCAGCCTTGTGACAGCTTTCATATCTGCGTCAATGAACACCTCTCTTTGCAGCTAAAGGGAGGACAAACGTGGAGCTGCGTGAAAAATTCATTTTGGCAGATGGTGCCAGTCAGAGCATGGCAGCTTTCCGACCAAGGGGCCGTAGATCACGACCCTCTTCAAGAGGTGCTTCTCCCAACAGATCTACTTCTCTGTCAAGTCAAGCTGGCCAAGCAGCTGCCCCACAAGCTGTTACTACAAGTACACCAAAGGTAAGGAGAAACTTACCTGCACTGGTTAACAATGGGATATAGATTGAATTTTTGGGTTTTTCCTTGCTCCAGTAATATTGTGCTTACTCTAGTTGATGGAGGAAAAGTACCTCCATTTTATTTAATAGTCTGGGGTGGATCTGAAAAGTGTTTTCAATATGTTTTCACTACTGTTTGTTTGCAACATGGCAGTAGAAGAATTTCTACCTTTAAGGTGCCACATGAACTAACTGGAAGTTTGGGAACTGCTCTGAAAGATCAACAAACCTCTCCGTTTCACTTGAAAAATAAACTGTCATCTCTTCATTTTAGAACATTTGTCATTAACTTTTTCTGCTTAGATTTTATATCTACTGAGATTTTGAAAGTCCGGGTATCCTTTTCCATTATGTAGTTTTCCTCTACTGTCCTTCATATTTTGATTTACCATTGTTTCATACAGACACCACATCATTTAACACGCAACTATGGTAAACCATGGTTGACAAACAGCAAAACATCAACTCCTTCTAAGCCACCAGAATCCTCAGACTATCAAGGGTCATCTGCAGAGGTACAGTAAGGACAGAAATTCTAGTCTAATGACTTCCTTCACTAAAACTGTCACTTCACTAACAGCCACTAGAGTTTCAGTGCTTCTGAGCTGCAACATCCTGTGTATATTAATGTATTGTCTTAATTTTAGACCTTCATCAAAGTATTTCTTACTTTTTCCTCCACAAGTTTGCTTTGTTTTGTTTTTGTTCTATTGTTCTATTTTGTTCTATTTTTTGTGGGTTTTTTTAATTTTTAGGAAAATACAGCCCCAATGAGCTAATGTTTAAAGCTCAAATGCTTAATAAATCATAAAAGTATGGAATGAAATGGTTGAGTAAATGTGGAAGAGTACTTTTTTAAAGAAAAACAAAGTATTCAATATACTTTGCAGGTTTCTTTCCTAAAATTGTTCACTTTGAATTCATTAAGTAATCAGTGTTTCTATACTGCATACATGAGATTAATAAACCATAATCTCTAGTGCAAAACCACTAAATAAAGAAATACCCAATCACAGTGAAGAACATGGCAAAAAAGTCTGGCTGTGATACATAAATCTTTACAGCAACTAAAAGTTTTGTTAGGGGGGGTAGTGACCAATCATTACTCTAATAGGATAGCTATTAGATGACATAACAGAAAAACGTGGTTTACATGGAAATTCCTAGTACAGCAATTAGGATTATGCTGGCAATTAGGCTGTATGAACAAAATATAAAGGGCCTTGAACCCAAAGTGTTTGCTCTAATGTCATTACAGTCATGAAAAGATTGCAGGTGGATCAGGCTGCACACTGAGGTGTCATTTGTGGGAGTTACTCTTGCCCTGGGTTGGATGGAGAGCTTGGAGAGAAACTTGTGCTACCACCCCCTCTGTTGTATCTTCTGTTCACATACCTGCACTTTGATGCCTATTGCTGTTCATTTGACACCTTCTGGTGTGAAGTTTCCATAACCTCAGCATGGCTTAGCTCAAAGATGCACAACAAACTTCTTCCTTCCTCCCTCCTGTGCGTGTTGTTGTGCACACTGCAGGTGTGTCTGCGGGTACAGCACTGCAAACACACGGGGCTGTGGCTTAGACTGATTAACAGTACACAGCTCAGTCAGTTGTCAGTTTCTAACATATTCCTGTATTGTCTTTCAACTCTTAGCTGGTGACTGCAGTAAAAGATTAATTGATGGTGCATTAAAGAGTTTATAGACATGGAAAGGTGTTGTTTTCATTGAATTACAATGACAGGAAAGCAGCTGGCCTGATTTCATATGGGGGCACTGTATTTCTTATCTGCTCTTCCAACTACCAGTAGTTTCAGTGAGTTTCTTTTATGTGAACCAGTATGGTTTAAGATTATAAACAGAATGGTTAGGGTGGGGTAGGTTCAGTGAATTTCTAAGGCATTCTGCAGCATTTACTGGCCAAGAGAGCAGTTATTCATTTTATATGTAAACTGCATTTGGGCTTAGGGCAAGACTAAAAACAGGCTTGTTTTATTTTTCATACTGATTGTTCTCTCCCAGTGCCTTGCCCAGAGTGCAGCAGCTTCAATGGAGGTAACAGAGTTCCCTTTCTCCTTACCCTGCCAAGCAGTGTCTGTATAGCAGATTCCCAAGGGCTAGCTGTATGTCAAGCACTGTACTTGGCTTTAATGAGAGTTTAATATTGTGACCTGCCCTGTCAGAGCCAGCAGATTGCTCTGTAGCATCTCAGCACTCTTTTCTTAACAGTTCTTAACTCAAGGCAGCTTCCAACACACTTCTCTGGATCTTGGTTTTCAGTACCTAATTCTACCTAGAATTGTATGGGGATTAAAGGCACAGAACACAGGATCCTGGAATCCAGGCCACTCCACAAACTGCATTCATCACTGCACTGTTTTTTCTTTTTTTGAATATTTATATATTATTTTTTTGTTAATAAATTACTGTGAATACTGTAGTTTTCCTTTTATTTGCATATATCTCTTATTTAGTGAGTGATAGTCATTTGGAGATCTGATGCTTCAGTTTTTGTGGCTGTGAAAGAAATTTTCTGATTTGGGCAGATTTTAAATCAAGACTCATTTCAGAACTAAGAAAGCCGGCAGGGTAAGATTGGGTAGTAGAGACACTGAAAGGCACTATATTGACAACTGGAACTTTACAATTAGTCCTATGGCCTTTTTTGTGTTTTTCTTGTTTTGGCTTGGGGTTTTTTCCTCCTAGCAAAAGGTTTCTGAAATTTGGTAGCTTTGTTTCAGTTTTAATAATATTTTCATCACCTATAACTACAGCTAGAATGGTGGAAAGTCAAGTTATGCAGACATAAAATCTCAATATGTACCATCAACTAATCTTACCTGCTTGACTAATTTTAAGAAGGTAGTTTTTTTCTTTCTTCATATGTGTTGAAATACACACAAAGATGCTAAAATGTTAAGCAGACTGTTAAAATTATTTTTTTGTTGTTGTTTTACATTTGGACTGCTTCAAATGCAAACTGCTAAAGGAACATTCTAAACTTCACATTATGAATTATGCCCAAAGTGGCTTAAACCAGTATTTCAGATTCACAGTGAATGTTACGATGATCACATTCTAAGCTATGTAGCCTCTAATACTAATCCTTATCTTCAGTTAAAAAAGCTTTTTTTGTTGTTGTCTTTTGGTTTGCATAGGGAACACCAATTCAAGGAAGTAAGCTCAGACTGCCAGGGTATCTATCAGGGAAGGGTTTCCACTCAGGAGAAGACAGTGGCATCCTGTCAACAGCAGCTACCAGAGTCAGAGCTCAGTTTGCAGGTGAGTGTCTTGACTTCAGAGATTGATCTACCACTTGCTTTGTTTTCCACCTGAATACTTAAGGACACATTACAGTTCAAGGGAGAGATGTCAGAAGAGTGGAAAGGAGTAAAAGTCATTCTGCCCATTGCTGAGAGTGCACATAATCAGATCCTCCATTCACATGTTCAGCTCTGGATGTGTGAATTCGTGGCTGCAATCTTCTCGACAATGGTACCTCCAAAATATCTGCCCAAGGAACTAGGGAAGAAGCATTTACTCAAAGGATCCAGTTCTTTACAGTTATTCTAAAGAATTCAAGTTATTCTCAACTGTGATGGAGCAAAGGGGTCACTGAGTCATGACCTGTCCATTTCTTTTGGAAGAACTGCAGGGAGCAGCTGTAGATTACCTTATTAATGGAATATCCCACAGAGATTTTTAAAGAAGTACACAAAAATAGAAAGCAGTGAAGCTCTGCTTTTCAACACAGTGTTCTTCATACATACCAGGAACCAGATTTGTGAAGATCAAAAATACTTAATAAGTAATTGAAAAATTATGAAAAAACAAATTAATTATTTTCTGTTTAAGATTTCTTGTGGTTTTTTCTTCATGGCACATTGTCTGGGCAGGCTTTTACTTAGTAGGCTTGCTGAGAGCTCATCTTCTCAGCCCTTTGTTGGGCAGGATGTCTACTTCGCCCTTGTTTAGTTGCAGCTTTCATCTGTATGGATTTTAATTTTTTTTTAAAAAGAGGGGTACACATTTAAATATTGGGATGTTCATTTGTATCTCCAAGATACCTATACTTAGAAATCATGAATGCATGAGGAGACCAGATAATGATTTTTTTTTTTTTTCAATTAATAGCTGAGAAAATGGCAAGGGAAATAAAGGCTCTGGCTGTTGAGTGAATGTACAATGCATGTCTAGGAAGTCAAGAAAAGCTGCCAGGATAATGGATTTTTAATAAGATGTGCTAGTGATTAATTAACTAGGTGTCAGCATTTGATCTTGCATTTCCTTTTCTTTAGTGCGAGACACAGCATCATTTAGCTTGCCTGGCAGACATCTAAAGTTTAGTTTGTGGAATGAGGAATCTTTGGGGCTGCCAAAGACCTCGGAAAGACCTGCACAGGTTTTCCGTCCTTACCTTCAATCCTGGTGGTTATCTTCTCTCTTTCTAGACACCAGAAGAACTCCAAGCAGACCTGGTAGCCGAGCAGGAAGCAAGGCTGGCAGCAGGTCGAGCAGCCGCCGCGGCAGTGACGCTTCTGACTTTGACATTTCGGAAATCCAGTCTGTGTGCTCAGATATGTCAGAGACTGTTCCTGCTACAAGCAGGCCGACACCCCGAGCAGGTTCTCGGCCAGGATCCGCCAAGCCTTCTAAAATTCCAACCCCCCAGAGAAGGCCACTAGCCAGCAAATCGGACAAGTCCTTGAAGAGATAATATGATTGGCTCCATAAAGGTCTTTTCCTTTTGCATTAAATATTTAAGTTCATAAGATGTAAAATATTATGTAGAAATTACTGTGAAATATCGCAAGAGGTGGATTTTTAATTCTGCAGATGGCCTTATTTGTGTATTTGTCTTCTTATTTTATGTGTATAATTTTTGTCAGATTCTTTTTTGTTTTGCCATATCCTGTGAGAAGGGGAAGAGTTCTAATGTAAACTAACAGTTGTATACAGTAACATGTAGAAAGTACACTAAAAATAATTGCCGAATGTACAGTGTACTGAATGTACAGTAAGTCTGCAACCTCAATAAAAAAGGCCTATCACTATGTCATTAGTTAACAGTAAAGGATACCTCATGATTTTTCTTTAAAAAAGAAAAAGAGAATACTGAAAGCCAAAAGATACAATTACACATTTTGAGCTAACTAAACAAACACTAAATGATGTATGTCAAAACTACTAAGGAATACGGACACACATTCACAGTACCCTTATTTATACAGCATCTCTCAGAGAACTCACAGAGTTAATTAAGCACTTGCCAATAATATGATACTCCAATACCTTGCAGCATTTCTGTGCCATTGCTTTCAATGAGGCCAGACACATTCTGGATATCTGAACTATTATTCTGTAAGAATATCAATATAAAGTGCATTCATGTAAATGTGAGGTTTTCTTTTGCTTGAGTGGATGGTAGCACTGTATCATTGAACTCATTTTGTATCAAAGCAATTTTGCTTGCAGAAGGCTCAGAAATAAACATGTCCCTTAACTTTATTTCTATTGTATTTCTTATTTCACAGGAAGGTAATTTTCTGTGTTATGTTTTAGAGCATATGCCATTTCAGATGACCAATAATTACCATAGGAACACAGGCTTTAATGTTATTTACCATTATCAGCTGATTTTGGTTAGCTACTGTATTTGTTTAATAAAACACTAAATTGCACATATCAGAGCATATGAAATTATATCTAATTATTTTGTGTCGACAATTATTTTCTCCGTATTAAACTCTGTCATTTATATACCATGTATAAAAGGCATAGAGTAATTCACTTGCTCTACTAGTCAGTGAAACATTCTAGCCATGCATGGATTCATTGAAAGGATAGCTAATAGCTCAATTTCACTGGAAAAAAGGTGCAGCTTCAAACAGGAGTGCTGTAGCATGGTTGGATAGATGCTGTGGTAAGTAGTGACAGAATCCCTAGAACTTTCAAATGACCTTTGATAATATCAGAAAGACTTGGGTGGGATTTGGCCAGTAAATAAAATAATACTCAAAAGATAATTGAATCAGTCAAAATCCATTTGTATCAGGATTTCTTTCAACACAGAGTTGTACAAAGGTTTGTAGAAAGCCATGATCAACCGGTCTGGCTTGGGAATCAGCACAATGTTTACTGATTACTGAAGCATCAGTCTCTGCTGCACTATTTTATCTTTATATTTTTCACCTCTCCTGTTGCTTCTATTCATCCAATGATTGCTTTCCTAGAACATTAAAATAGATCAAAATGACTTTGGTGCTTTTTGAAGCCCCCAACGCCCTTGGATAGTTTTCAGTATTTACAGATGATAGCTGAAATATCTCAGCTTGTAAGCAAGAGAAGGGAAAAGGATAGAACTTAGGCACTTGCATGGATAACTTGACTGAAAGAGGTGGTGGTGCCCGGTGGGATATTCTTGGTGCATTTTTTTAACCGCAGAACTGATGTTCAAGGATGTAGGGAGGACAAATATAACTCCTTTGCAAGGGTACATACATGTATCAATACCTTGTATCCCAAGAACAACCTTCCTGCACAGGAGGTAGTGTTGGCACCTACAAAAAGCACCTTTTATATTGCAGTCTTAGCTTAAATGTATTTTTAATGCTCCATTAATTATGCAACTTTATGGAATTTTTCTATGACTACATTGTAGCTTTATAGAAATATTAGAGGGATGACCAGCCTCTGGGAAGTCCAGTGCCAGCTGACACCCAAGGACAAAGTAGATTTAGTAATGACTTGCTAGTGATTCCAAAATGGGGGAGGATGGGACTGGTAAAGTGGGAAAGTTCATTTATTGGCTGGAGAGAATCATCCAGCGTTGGAAACCAAATTAATAGTAAATTAAATAGGACTGGATATTCAGTTAAAAAGCTTAAAACTGCCTCCAGATGTTGTACCTTAAGTAATTTCTTCAAAAATTAACTACTTTAGCTTGATACTAACAGACTTTTCGAAATTCTGTTGCCTGTGATACAAAGTTCATACTGACAAAAGTCTGAAAAGAAATAATGGATGCTCTGTACTTCTGTGGCCCAAGGAAGAATCTGCAGAATTTCATAGAAAAGGCATATTGTGAACATGTAGATAGGTGATAGGTAGTTCAGTTTTAGTAAACATTTTTGTAAAGAAATTAGGGGTATTCAATATCCTTCTTTCTGTAATTGAAAAGTATTTCTTCTTTGGTAGCAGCAAAAATGGGAGATGAAGGATCAGCCTGACAAGTACATCCCCACTTTATTCAGTTGCATTAGATTTTATGTAACCTCATCATTGGAGATGCATTTTTCACCCTTTTATTATCTGCCTTTTAACAACAGGAGTTGATCATAAATTCATCACCCTGCTAGGTGACCATGATTCAATTACAACTTAGTGTGGCCTAGACTCTTATATCTGTTTATTCTGTGATTGTCCTGCACAATGAAGGAGCAGAGGTGATGGACTGGGAAGAAGGGTTGGAACAGCCTGTGGATGTGGGAACCATATTGTTAAGTGAATAATGTATATTTAGCACTTGGGAAAGCTGGCTCAGTTCTAGGCTCCTTTACTTTTCATTTTCAGGGTTCTGCCTTTCTGTTTGGCTACCTTCAAAATGGGAAAGTTTTCACAAATTTTCTGCAATCTGCAGATGAAATCTGTAGTGATCTGGTGATACCTCCTGGCCTAGGCATCCTCAGCTCCAGTTAAGGCATATTGTGAGCTTCTTACATGCTAATGCAATCAATGACAGTAATTCAGGCTTTGCCTTCAGCACATCTCTTTACAAAAGCATATGAATGAGGCTATATTTAATCTTAATTTAAAAACTAATGCATTTTATAAAAATAAACTGATGCAAGCAGCTGTGCCATACCATAGTGAGCAGTAGGGTTTGGATCAATGGTTGCCACAGCTCTGACAGGGCTAGCAGCACCCCAGAGCTTGCACATAAGACAGAGGCTCTAGCATTAGGTGTGTTCCTCCAAGGATGGGGCAAGCAGAGACATTGCTGAGCACTTGCTCTTAATGTTCTGGGAATAACCACAGGGATGGAAAATGAGCATTGCCTCATTTGCTGCACACGAGCTGCCCTAACTGCTTCCAGGTGTTTCCCATTGTCAGGTGCTTGGTGGCACCTGAGCTCACCCTGGGGAAGAGGCATTTAACTAGATGTTTGTTCTAACTGGGTGGTGACGTTAGGAGGTTTATAGACTTGTGCAACGTGAGTAGGCTTTTATAGAAGAAAGAAAATGTGCTTCCCTAATGAAACTTGTTCTCTCTGCTGGATTTGAATAACATGTTTGCAGACATGGAGGTGGAAGAGATGGTTGACTTATTTGCTTGCCTTTTTTTCAACAGTGCAAGTAGGTTACTCATCTCTGTGGAAAAAAAATCAACTTACATTTTCTAAAAATGGGAACATTGCAGAGGAAAAGGGACCTCCTCAGAAATGGATGAGGCAGCACCTTGAATTCTATGTAACTTGCACAAAAATACTGGGTGGCTGATAGTATTGAGCTATTTTTAAGTCCTCTGGTAAAGAATTGTTCAGAATTTTTCTGTTGCAAATGAAGTGGTATCTGACCTGAAGCTAAAGGAATCTTTGGGGTTGTTTTTTCATAATTTATTAGTTGTTCTGGTGAACTGAAATAGTTTAAATAGTCTGAATTGCATCTTGGGGTACTCAAACTGTATTTCTCTATTGGAAGGGTATAGGAAACATGATGAAGGTGAATCGTGTAACTTAGCTGGAATCCTGGCTGAGTAAGTATGAAAGTCTTAATACATGTGTTATTAGCACTTGGATAGTTGAATATGAATAAAAACCCCAACCTATAAATCAGACCCTGTCAGCATTCACAATGGTATTTGTTCTTCTGAGAGGAGGCAGATGGAGTGGTGATAGCTTTGTTCTCAGGGAAAGCTGATGTTGAGCTTTTTGTAGGGGTCATGATGATCTTTACAACAATTGGAAAAATTATCTACCTTTTTTTTCCTCTTTTTTTTGGGTCTTGATCTGGCTCTTCCAAATCTTAGTCACAGAATAATTTAAGTTGGAAAAGACCTCTAAGATCTTTCTGTTCTTTAGGCAGAACAATGGGAACCTAGGGATCTATGAAAGAATTTGCAGTGTCTGGGCTATTTTTAAAGACAATAAGTTCACATGATAAATAAATACCTCTATAACTTAAAAAGAATTTAAAATATTGAAATATATGAAAAGACACAAGTGGGGATGAAGAAAACAGGCTTGTAAATACGAAACATTGAGGAACTCTACATCTGCTTATCCGAAAAGGGGATGTGACTTTAAGCAACACTGATTTGAAGCTTTATAGACTAAACCAACGAAATAAGGTAATTTAGGCTATGTAATGTCCACCAAAGAATGAAGTAGCTAAGCTGCTACTTGGAGTCCTCTTGTCTCATGTGAGCATGAGAGGACTGAAAACTGTCTAATATGTAATGGATGCCTTTTCCAGAAAGATACTGCTAAGCTTAAGAAAAGTGCTGATTGGTTTAGACTTGGAAAAATGATAGATGCAGTATTAAAAGATAGTAGTGGAAACCTGAATAAATATACTATGGAAGAGTTGGCTCAGCTTTTGAAGGGATGTCATGCCTTAGAAGCTGCTTGAAAGGATCAGTTAATCTGGACAAAGGTTGAGATTGACCACATGGCTTTGCAAAAGCAATCAGTAATTCTCAAAGGAGTGAGCACTTATGGGATCAGAAGAAAGGGCTTACTGAGGGTAAATAGCACATTGCAAGCTAGGAAAGACAGTGCTGGAGAACGTGTTCAGTTTTAACAGAGGAAAGAGTTCTGCAGTGGAGCCCTTTACAGGTTTTAACATAAAGCTGCAAACACTGGCTCAGAGGTTCCTGAAGTGCACATTGTTGGACGGGTGCTCTGGAAAAAAGAATCTCTGCGTTTCTGTGATTCATCGCATCCCCTGGGGGTGTGCATTGCTTTCCACTGATGCTGGGGATCCTGCAGTGACTAGCTCAGCCCTAGCCAACTAATCTTCATATGGCTAATTTAAGTAGAAGGAATCCCACCCCAAATTAATGAGCTTATTTCAAGCTAAGAAACACTGGATGGGATTTTCCTGAGTGGTTTGGAAATTCCGTTTCCAGCTTTTATTACTTTCACACCTTTTTGGTGCACTAAAGGTTTTTTAGGGTATGCAAAGTATGGATCATCATGTAATTTTGTGTCATTTCTAGTCACATTAAGGAAATGCAAACCATGGAAGAGGGGTGGAGAATCCCATCATGTTACTGCTGTCATACTGTAGAAGCACTTGAGCATGCCTGGTGTCCTTCAGTAGCAAACCCAGGTATGAGGGTGTTCCTCTCTGTGTTGCTCCCAGTCACATCTGTCTCTGCAAGGCGCCTGGCAAGCCTGTTTCCTTTCAGTTTTCCAATTGTTGATCTTCCTGGGATCCACTTGCACAAGGGAAGTGAATGTGTCTTTCAGGGGACAGTGGCAGATCATGCACAACCTCAAGACCTAAACCATTAAAAAACTGAAGTAATTGCAAAGAATACCATGTTGACATGTTTCTCTTCCTTTCAAGTGTCCTATGGATGTGAGGAAGATAAGTGTTTTTTTTCCAAAAGACATGAGCTATTCATTAGTATGGTGTGGTAATTTTCAGGGTTTTTTTTTTGTTTGTTTGTTTGGTTTTTTT